AACTCGTCGTCAGTGCCTTTCCCACTTCTGGTCCAGCGGGCTCCTCATTGGGGTATCCTCACCTCTGATTGACCAATGGACCAGTCAAAGTCAAGCCTATCTTAAAGGGGACTGACCCTCTAACTGAGTTTTACTCAGCCCCCCTTTCCCCCCAAGAATATTGTCACCCACCACCGATGAGTCTTTTTGTATTCAGAAATAAAATAAGGAATCAATATCTGTATGTGTGATGATGACCAGCTGACCATTGTGGTTATAATAATAATAATCCTTGCATTTGAAATAGCGCCTTATCACATCGTTGAGACATCTCAAAACTCTTCACAGAATATATTGTAAAGTGGATTGATTGTATTTTGTGGGTGAAACGCGCAACCAATTGTGCACAGTAGTGTCCACAGCAGCAACAAACAGTCGTGTCCCAAGTTTTTTTGAGAGATTATTACCCCTGGAAAGTGATCCGCCAATCGACTAAAAAAAAGTGTTCCAAGTGTAGTAAACAAGTTGAGTGTAGTTTTTAGCAAGAGGAGCCTTTGTTTGTTAGAACAGACCAGAAAGAAAGTGCAGAAACCACTGTACCTCTTTCCTCCAGATTAGGTAACTGCCGTTGCTACACTGATAATAAATAAATTGAACTATGTTATCATTGTGAGCTTGATTATCTGGTGTCCTTATTATCTTGATTATCTTGATTATCAGCCCATAGACTCATTCTTTAGAGTCAACACTTATTTTAATTGGCAAGGTTACAACCATGAATGAATTACTGACTGGGCATTAAGTCCAGTTTAAGCCAATATGTGGCGCTGTCGAGAACAGTACTCAATATCAATAGAACGTTATATCAATTTAAGCCACTGTGAAGGTGTAGAGAACTGCCTTTAATGACATTATGATATTGGTATGTCAAATTTCAACCACCCTGGACAGAAATTTTGTACAGGATATAATGCTTTTTTTAAAATCAGCATATATACATATCTTAATAAACAAATTTAAAGTAAAGTGTTAACTTTAACATTATCCCTCAAGCTCAGGCCTTTTGCACATCCCTCAATTCCTTTGCTCCATCATCGGTGGCCGTGCTTTCAGCCTCTGTGCCACTTGATGCAATTCCTCAATCCCTCTACCTTGCTCCCTCTTTATCCATTTTCAGATCACATCTGAAGACTTATGGGCTTGGTGTCAAACTACATCATTGTTAAGTGCTCAGAGACGCTACCCTGTATGAAAGGTGACATAAATTCAAGTTGTTGTTGTCCCTTATATTCCTATGTCTTGCACAATCAACAACAACAACTTCCACTTATACAGTGCTCTCCACGCAGGGTAGTGTCTCAGAGCGATCAGATACAATATTGTGATAAATTATGGTACAGATATTTCAGTTGGACTCAAGCTGTATTAGTCAATATCAGAAATAACACAAAAGGGAACATTGACTTAGAACTGAATTCCTTGGATGTTTTTCATTCTGTCCCAAGTTTCATAATAAAGCCTAACTTTTTCCGTATTATAAAAGGCAAATTTCTCCAAAATCAGGAATATCTCCTCTCTAAAATGGAGACCAGATTTGCATGGTATTCAGGACATAAGATGGAGCTGTTTACGATTATCTACTCTGTGTTCACAATATATATTGTACTTCAAATCTCTGTATCCTTCTGGAAATTCTATCTCCGTTTTGGAAAGCCATTCTGTATTTTTCTCTCTGAACCAACAAATCAACGAGAAAATCTGTAATAATTTTGATCACTTGCCCAAGTATAAATTACTTCGCCCCCTGACAAGCTGTCATTTCAAAACAACCATTTGGCAGTGTGCTACCAAGAGATAGCTTTCTTCATAATACAAAATAGAACTCATCCGCCTCTAATGCAGACTTGTCCTAAATACCATTTCCAGATGAGTCGGTGGTTGCTGCGTGAGGTGTTTTTGTAATCCATGTCTTTGGAGTGGCTTCTCCGTGCAAAAGGACCAAAATAATAAGTAATGGTAAAATGAATTCTGAATGTCTAGATGAGGAAAAGAACTTTATATTTTCCTTTGATGATTTTGACCATTAAATGATTTAAAATAGAAACTTGGTATCTGTATTTGGATTTGTAAGAAATTATTGATTTCTATTGCCTCATCTTAGATTAATGTTTGAAATATAAAATTTACTTATGATAAGGGGGGGGCATATTTCCATGGTCCAGGCATTTAGTGTTAATGTGTACATATTTTAATGTACGTAATGGTGGGTAACAGCCTGTCAGCCTGGTGCACTGGTGGCACTTTCACCTGTGAGTCAGAAGATTGTGGATTCAAGCTCTACATTGGGACTTGGAATCATATAGTCAAAGTTGACACTCCAATGCAGTGCTCTGGAGAGGTCGGGGGTGGGGTTACATTGTCGAAGGTGCTGTCCTTTCGTTGACTTTGAGACATTAGGCCAAGGTCCCATCTGCCTGTTCAGGTGGACGTTAAAGATCCCATGGCATTATTGTACCAGAAAAGAGTAAGGAGTTTCTCCCGGTGTCCTGGTCAACAATTCCCCAAATAAAATTGGTCACTCACTCCATAGGCTGTATGTGGGATATTTCTGTGCGCAAACTACACAGTCAATCCACTTCCAGTATATCATGTGATGCCCTTTAAGACATCTCAATGATCTAAAAAGGCGCTATATCAAATGCAGAGTATTATTAGATCATTTCTGTGGAGGCAAAGTGCAATTATTCATAACTGTCTTGTTGAGGGAGTGTTGCAACAGCCCCTAATAATAGCAACAGCACTAAAGATGGGCCTTTTCACATGCGCATCCTCTTCTCCACTGGTCTTTATGCTCCCATCCTACATTTTGTGTCAATTCTCTATGTTGACTATTTTATCTTTCCAACAGAGGTTGTTGTGGGAAAATTAAATCCTGTTTTATACATAGTGCCTGCCTTTGGGGCTTCTGTTGTCTGTTGCGCATGCAGTGACATGTCAAAACACATTGAATAATGGGAAATATAGTCTTGACCCGTCACTGCATGCACATTTACCAGCTGCATTAACCAAGTACTGCAGGCGCAATGTAGATTATTGATTAAATTATATTTAATATGAGTTATAGTTTGCCTGGAAGTTTGTGTAATGTATAAGTTGTATTAAATGTTATGGTCCCGACTGATAATAATAATAATCCTTGCATTAGATATAGCGCCTTATCATGTCTCAGAAAAGACTGTAAAAACGTGATAAAGCTCTATATCAGATGGAAGGATTATTATTGTGATTACTACATGCGACAAACCAAGTCTTTTCCCATTATCCAAATTCTGAGTTATATGGTCAATGAAATTAATTTTCTCTGATGCATATTTTAACTATCAGATTAGTTTGTTATGCTCCCAACACCAAGCATTCCAGATTTTCCATGTTTTTCTCCCTTTGAGCTTCTGAATCACCATTTGGGGCAAGCATTCAGTAGCAAACCCTACAAAATGTAGCAAATACAAATCAAATTAGGCTAAATCTTTGGGTGCCCCAGATCCTTCTGAGTATTTTATAATACTAAAGACGAAGTCACACAAACAGACTTCTTTAATAATAATTTCAAAATTCTGGCATCAAATTTATGCAAATTTGAAGTTGTTTGTTAGTGTTTTTAAACAACCGTGATTAGGCACAAGCAGGAAGTATACATCAGGCTTCTTGCTGTACTGTTGAAAACAAAATTGATTCACTACCAGCGACATATATGCAACACAAATTTTCAAAGTATCTAAATCAGCGCGGTCCAACAGGTGGTCCACATTACACAAACTTACAGCAGGCCACACCCGGCGACTGATTTCATCCGGCCTGAGACCATTTCCAACATTCCACCTTCCGCTCCCTCCTTACCCACTGAACGTCTTCCTAGGGCAGAGGCAGGAGCTGGCGGTTTTGAAGACGCAGCGCGGTGAGTGGAAATAGCTGTTACTGCAGTCTGTACCCAAGCTGAGGGGACGACAAGCACGTTTCCTCATCCACCACATCCTGAGTAACCACCGGCTCCTGCCAGATAGTGAACCACGTGGCTGATTGGGAGAGGGAGAGGTTGTGGAACGAGAGAGAGAGTGATTGAGAAAGATAGAGGGAGATGGGGTAGAGAGAGAAATAAGAAGAGTGAGAGAGCAGAGAGAGAGGGAAAGTGAGTGCAGAATTCTGTGGTTCACTGTCAGGACAGACGATCGGAGCCTCCCTCGTCTACCATGGTGGGGACCGAGACTGAATGACGTGCCGTGAAGGTTCCTCACAGAAAACGGCCTCTTTCCCTAGTAAAAAAAAACTTCTCAAAACACAAAATACTGCAGATGCTAGAATCTGAAACAAAAAAGAGAGAGCTGGAAAAACTCAGCAGGGCAGGCAGCATCTATGGAGAAAGGAAAGTGAGTCAACGTTTCGGGTCCAGTTCTGACGAAGGGTATATCCTTCATTCCCCCCTACTCACCCTACCTTTGCGACCTCCTGTACCGGCCATTCCCTTCGCAGAGCAAACACCAGTTTGCTTCATGTCCCCACAACCCATCTTCCTCACCATCGCCATTTATCCCCCTTTCCCTGGAGTTCCATTACTGGAGTCCCTCCGACTCGCTGCCCCCTTCCCTCTTTCAAGGCACGTCAAGACCTAACTCTTTAACCGCGCTTTTGGTCCTCTTATCCCCTCACCATCCCACCCCTCTCAGCTTAGGTGCCCAGCCAGCAGTGTTGATCGCTTTGAGATGTCCTTCCATCATGAAAAAGTTGCTGTGTAAATGTTATACTTGTGCATGGAAGGGAAATATTGCTTATGTGGCCCACGAACCTTCCTCAAATAGCGAATCCGGCCTGCGGCAGCCAAAAGGTTGGACCATCCTGGTCTAAAGTATTCCAAATTTTTAGATGGTGTTTGTGAAAATATATGCCATCTTACCTTACTATTACTATGATTACAAGTTTAAACATCCCTCATTGTTTTTATTCTCTATACTTTTATTCTTTTCTAGAGTACAGAACAGGTGACAGCATTTTGTCGAGGTCTGCATGAATTAAGTCCAACCGACATGTCATCCCAGCCTTTGGATTCTTCATTACCTCACCAGGCTACATCGAGACAGCTGACTGATGCTGATAAATTGCGGAAGGTCATTTGTGAACTTGTAGAAACAGAACAGACATATGTAAAGGTGAGAGCATGGAACACAACACAGAAACCCATTTTATAGTAATTTTTAGTGACTTGGGAACAAATTAGGTATATTTATTGTATTTAGGGTTTTGCTCCAAGTTTTAGTGAAAACATAGCTCAATTTTAAATTTTCTCCACTAAAGTATAACCTGAACTATAATCGGTGTCATTTGAGAAGTCATGGGTGAAAATTTCAATATACTTTTTAAGCCTGCTGACCTACTGTAAATTTGCTTTCTGGGGTGTGCTTATGATGGCTTTGTTCAGATTTATTTTGTTCATTTAAGTGGTATTCCTCCAACTAAATGTGCAGTATATAGTGTGGCCATTGTGAATGGAGATTGGCACACCCAGGGACCAGTCAGTGTTTTCATTATCATAAGATTGCTATATTTACCCTCGTCTGTAGCCAAATTGGAATGTTGATTTAAAAATAGTTTTCAATTTTCCTCTCCAAACCTCATTTTTTCTTCACCTTTCCTCTGCTAATCGCCAGTGGCCAAATGTTTCCAAACCTATGTGCTAATTAACATTTGTGGTCAATTTAGCAACCGTACGATATTAAACATATCCTTGGTCCCCAGGCGTGCTGTAATTGCCCCCCCACCCTCCCAGTATCCTTATCAAAAATGCAGAGTATATTAACTCGCACTGGAGCTCATTCATTCAGGTGCATTCAGGTTGTAGCAACTGACCTTAGCTGCAGCAATCTTGTCTTGGTGTTGATGTGATTGTTGCATTCAAAGATTAACTTAGATGTATCCATATCGATCTCGAGAGCTTGGGATTTCATTGACATCAGTAGTAAGAAGGAAATGAAAAATAAGCAAAATGATAAAAATAGTAATTATTTTGTTAAATTGGACACATTTACATTTATTTTAACTAGGTTAATATTAATGTTGTTTTCAATATCACAGAACCAGATAACACTCAGAAGCAGGAGTTCCTGTAAACCTACCAGCAGTTAAATAATAAATGTGATTTTGGTGTACTTTGTTTATAATTTAGTAAAGTTTGTGAAGAAGTTAAATATGGTACACTGACATATATAAGAAAAGTACACATCATTATTCATAAACGAGAGGGTCTGGGTTCAATTCCCGAGCAGGGCGAAACCCTAGGCAAATTTCCTTGTTCTACACACCTCTGTTTACCTAACAGTAAGTAAGAGCTTGGTTCGAATTCAAGATCCTTGTCCTCACTTTCAAGGCCATTCATGGCCTTGCCCCTCCTACTTCTCTGACCTGCTGACTCTCTACCAACCTGCCCACTCCCTCTGTTCAGTGGGCTCCGGTCTGCTCCATGTCTCCTGCCCGAACCACCCTACATCAGCGGCCGGGCTTTCAGCCTCTCTGCCCCCAAACTCTGGAACTCCATCCCACGGTCCCTTCGCCTCGCTTCCTCCCTTGCCTCCTTCAAGGCCGGTCTCAAGACCCCTCTCTTCGATCGTGCCTTCGGTCGCCCTCCCACCTCTCTACCTTCCCTCACCCCTACACCACCCCTCCCTCATGCTTGGGCCCCGACACCTGACTGTTTAGCGCTTTGGGAAGTCCTCTCGACGTAAAAGACGCTCTATAAATGTGATTTTGTTGTTGTTGTCTTAGTCAATTGTCGAATCGCTTTCCGGAGATAATAATCACTTTTTAAAAAAAAAATTGGGCTGTTCAATCCACAACTTTGTGTTGGACATTAATGTGCTCTATTGGCTGCTGCGTTTCGCCCCAAATTATTCAGTCAGTTAACTTTACAGTATATTCTGTGAAGCTTTTTAAGACGTCTAAACGAGGTGATATGGCACTATCTCAAATGGAAGGATTATTATTATGGTTAATATTTGGTTTGCAGGATCTGAATCTACTCTTGGAGAGATATTTGAAACCACTGCAGAATGAAACCTTTCTCACTCAGGATGAGGTATTGCCTTTTATTTTGGTCATATTAAGTGTAAAATATACACACCGGTTTATTTTGTGTAAATAGTGTTTGAGCTTGATCTTTATATTTCAGCTTGATGTCCTTTTTGGAAACTTGCGAGAAATGGTTCAGTTTCAAGTTGAATTTTTGAAAACGTTAGAGGATGGTGTGAGACTGGTGCCAGACCTTGAAAAACTTGAAACAGTTAATCAATTTAGGGTAAGATTGTTTCAGCACTCTTGGATTATTATCAGTCCTTCCTGAATAGTACGCATATTTTCTTCTACATGGTGACCAACAAGTCGTCATACCATTGCAGTGTCTAATAAGTCTTAAAGAAATTATGATATTTTGTTTTTTTTAGATAATGGGGTAGTTATCATGACTTTGGTCACCCTGTATTTCTGTAATTTGGTCTTGATTATTTTTGCGAGTTAAGTAAAAATCCGACCATAAAAGAATGGGAAAAGTGAAATGCCAAAGCAATGTAGCGCAAAAATCTACAACCATCTTTTAAAAAAAAATGTGAAATAAAAATACAATACAGCACATCGTAACACAAGCAGGATTATAGACTTTTTGAGTTCTTCCTTGTAAATAATTCACATAGTACATTACGGCATGGATACAGGCCTTTTGACCAACTAGTCCATGCTGGAACAGGGTTTTGAATTTATATTTGAGATAAAATCCAAGAAAATCTTTACTTTCACATCATTTAAAGTTTATTACTTATATCATTTCTGACTGACCTCGTGAATCTGTCTGTGGAAATCCTACACGTTTGTAAAAGTAATCTACTACTGATTATTTCTTCCTTCATTTGCAGAAAGTACTCTTCTCATTGGGCGGTTCATTCCTGTACTATGCTGATCGTTTCAAGCTATATAGTGCATTTTGCGCCAGTCACACAAAGGTTCCCAAGGTTCTTGTTAAAGGTAATAGTTTTGGTTTAGTTTTGAACACTGTATAGTTTAAATTCCATATCTTGCTTCAACTGTCAGCTGAGAACGTTTTGTATTTTTCACAGTTATAAAAAGCATGGTGTAAAATACTTAAGAATTTATGGAATGTACAAAGTCCAAAATTCAGATAATATTATCATATTTGAAAGAAACATTTAATTGAACTGAACGGAATGTGAATACTATTGGAGAGTTTCCCGTTTCCCCCCCAGCTCGGGTTCTAATCCCTGACTGTTCAGCGCCTTGGGACATACTCCCAGCCTGAAAGGAGCTTTACAAATGTAATCTTGTATTGTATTACTCCTCCTCCTTTATTAAATATAGAATTTGTTTACCACTGTTGAATATTTTCATGGCATATCACATCAATGTTTCAAATAGTTTGCTACATTATATGCTATTTTTGTTTAGCAAAAGTCAATCCCGATTTAAAGGCCTTCCTCGATGCGCAAAATCCTAAACAGCAGCATTCATCAACGTTGGAGTCCTACCTTATCAAACCCATACAACGGGTTCTGAAGTATCCCCTTCTGCTGAAGGAACTGATCTCGCTGACAGACCCTGACAGTGAGGAACATTACCACTTAACAGGTAAGAATGAGTAATTATTTAGATTGGCTTGTTTATTGTACAGAATATAGTAGTTAGCATTTTTTATTGAGTCTGATAGAAGATTTATTAAGGAATTCATGAAGATTACATTAGTAAACACCTGTCATTTTCCTCATGGACAGATTCACAGATATCTGGTTGGCTCAACTGGTAGCATTCTAGCTTTTGAGTCAGACAATTGTTGTTGGTGCAAACCGCATAACAGGGACTTTGAACCCATAGTCAAGGCTGACACTCCAAAGCAATGCAGGAGGAGATATTAAACCAGTTGTCTGCCTGTTCAGGTGCATGTTACAGATCCCATTACACCATTCCAAAGGGATGAGCGTGTGTCCTAGCCAACAATCCCCCAGATCAAAAAATGGTCATTCACTTATTTCATGGCAGTTTGTGGGATGTTGCTACATTAACCTACAATTACTACATTCTACAGAAAAATTGAAATGTTTTGATGTGATATGAGGCTATGTCAAAAGTGAGGATTTGTTTTTATTATAATAAGCTTTTATTCCTGTTTTAATATTTCTCCAGTGTCTGTTGAAAGTTAAGAAATGAATGTCTGATCTAGTTTTTTGTGTGAGATAGAAACAAACAATGGTACACATATGCTTTTAAATAGAGGTGAACTGTAGGAGGACAATTTAAACTTAGATTGCAAGCTGTGGTTGCGACTAGGACAGTAAATCATCAAATTTTCTCGAGGAAAGAAATTATTAGGGCTTTAAAAGATCAAATGAACAAGAGACACCAAGTTTTAGAGGCAGGCAAGCAGACATATGTCTGCAGAAGAATAAACATCAGATAAAAATGAGTAAACCACAATGTGGAGAGAGAAGGAACAGGTTCAACAAAAGCAATGCTATCAATGGGATCTCCCCCCACCTCGCCCTCCTTACAATGGGATCTATTTTGCAAAGGAAAGTGTAATGCATACTGTCAAATGCAAGAATATCCTTTGCTGAAAAAAAAATTCTTTGGAACAAAATAAAAATGATTACAATTTTAGAATCTTTAAATTATGCATCAAATGTAGCTGTCGGCAAAATGTCAAACAGAAAACAAAATATTTAAATAAATAAAATGAAACTTTATCACAGAAGCGATGAAGTCAAGATTATTATACCTGTACTGTCTAGTTTGAAACAGACACAAGAAAAACAAATATACTGTTAAATTTAGCTGTCTTAGACATATCAATGAAAATCAAGGAAGGACAACCATGTACACAACTAACTTTGTAGTCGACGATGTAGCATTGGGAAGGATATACAGTACTTACATTTCTTGATGGATACAGAACTTCAGCACCACAAGCTCCAGCTGCTACTTTGCCTAGCCTTTCTCTCTGCGTTCACAGCATCCTAAAACGTAACTCTTTGACTGTGCCTTTCGTCAACAATCTCTCTGGGGTAGTCTGCAACATGAAAGGCATTATATAAATATGTGGTTTATAGAGTTGCATGAATGATAGAGAAGTTATATAAGACATAACTCCTAAAAAGAAGCCAAAGAAGCTTTGCAGCAGAAAGAGTCCTCCGAGCAGATGAAAAAGAAACAGCAATTGCAAACTTACAAAGGTTCGTGAAATTGAATATTGAATACATTGTTTCCAGTGCAACATACTCACATAAGGAATGTGCACAAATAACTTTGAAGCTACCCACAAACCCCTTGTTGATATTTTTTTTACTTTCAGTGGCAATGAAAGCAATGAATAAGGTGGCAAGCCATATCAATGAAATGCAAAAAATACATGAAGAATATGGTGCTGTGTTTGACCAGCTTATAGCTGAACAAACTGGAGAGAAAAAAGAGGTATTGAAATATTTAATTTAATATAAGCTTGCTGGAACTCGTATTGACATTTTATTGTGTCTAACATTTTTTCTTGATACATGTAAAAAATAATGTAAAAAAACAGAAATAACTTCATTTTCTCCAATTTTCCAAATGGGAAATACTAGAATTAAAAATGTGATATTCCAGGAATCTGAATTGATCGCAACTTTTTGCGAATATCAGATTGGGAAATTCATGTGATATTAAAAAACCCCACTAATATTGGTGCCAGTGTCAGCTCTAAAGGCTGGTGGCAAAATTAAGGAACGGCGATAATATGTGTTTTGAGATACACTTGTACACCCTTCCTGATTTATAACCCCGGATGAAAATGTCACAAACAATCATGTTGGTTTCCTGCCAGGCAAGCCTGCTGCTTTGGAAGGAAGCAGTCTTACAGATGCCACATTACAGGTTATAGAATTGGCCTGCAGACCTGAGCCATATTTAAATCCATAGTCTGTTGATCTCTTAAGCATGGCCACATGTGCCTGACCCCTTAAAATCTTGAAAGCTGTTATTCCAGGACTCAGACTTTCAATATATTAAACATGTCCAAAGCATCTAATAGGAATTACATGGATGTGCTGGAAATAGCAATTTTGAATCTGAACAGCTTATGGAGATATAGGTGGTGTTTACACCCACTAATATGAATAGGTTTTAAGAACATAGGTTTTCACCACATTTTCTGTGCAGTTGATAAAGCATTCCTTAATTAAAGAGCATTGTTAATTCAGGTATGGAATCCAATTTTCACCCCATTGAGTGCAAGCTTCCACCTTGCTTTTAGTTGATTACAAGTACTGAGTAACATGCATGAATGATGTCTAGTAAAATATAGATGCAATTTTCTTTTTAAAAATTTGCTTTATTGCAGGTTGTGGATCTTTCAATGGGAGACCTTCTTCTCCATTCTATGGTTACTTGGCTCAATCCTCCTGCATCTTTGAAATGTAAAAAAGATCCCGAGCTTGCAGCTTTTGGTATGTTGTACACTCTTGCCAATAATGAACGTAACATATGGTTTAAGTTTAGAAATTAATAGATGTTGAAAAGGATTCATCTGGATGTGCCAAAGCATCTTCCCCCGACACAGTTCATAATGACGACATCTCTGAAGTACATTTGACTTGCAGTTCGCAGATCGTGGCTTTTGACTGCCTGACAATTAGTAATATGATAATTTACTTCTGTTTAATAAAGAGTCATTTCTGATAGCTGTCTTGTCAAAAGCAGCAATTCATGAGCAGGAAGCTGAATGTCCGACCCAGCTTCACTTACATTGGGATTAAGAATAGAGTTGGGCAAGTTTCCAGCACTCCAAGGAATTCTCATTAGATGCTTTGGACACTTGTATATTTAAGTTGGATGCTAGACCCCAATTATTTATTGTTCAGAGTGTTTACTGATCTTAAATCCTATAAAACTGATATATAGTATAATAATCCTTGCATTTGATATAGTATAACAGAATACAAGATGTAGCAGAGTGTTTATTTGCAGTTTCTCAACTTGTATCAGTATTGATTGATCAGTAATGATTACTTTTCTTTATTTAGTGTTCAAAACTGCAGTTGTTCTTGTGTATAAAGATGGCTCTAAGCAGAAAAGAAAATTGGTAAGTACCTAACTAATACCCCAATTACAGTTAGATTGGGATTGCATCCAAGAGTGCACAGTACAAGTAATGCTATTAGAATATTATTGATACAAATTCAGCAGGTTAATGCATTGAAAAAATACTTCAAACTGACGAATGACATACAGCCCAAGGAGAACAGAAAGATTAGAATTGAATTAATTGATGCGATAGGGTGCATATATTAATGCCAACTTATGCTGCTTGAAGCAAAGCAATTTAGCTTTCAGCAGTGATATAATTGGGAGAGCCATCATAATTTGTAATGTTTCATGAACTTTTCTTACATCAAAGTATGCATATCATCACGTAAGCAGACCAGATCTCCTCTGAACATAAATGCACCCTTTTCAGGGAGCAGAATTTTTCCTTATAATGAGCCCTAATAACAGGAACGTAGATACTCATATTGTATAATCTTTCACAGTGTCCCAAGTCTCAATTTAGGAGAGGAAATATATGCTCTGACAAGGGGTTTAGCCAATTATATCAAATGCATTTATTAACAGAGAAAGACAGGCAAACTTAGTGTAAAGTGGTACAAAATCTATGAAGTCCTCCTTCATCTCAGATCGCTTTATTCAGTACTTCAAATGGTATTGTGTTCATTAAAGTAAGCTTTGATCCAAAATCATCAATGATGTCTCTTAGTAAACATCCTTCACATGAATGAGCTGAAGACTCTCTGTCTGATATCATTAAAAGCCTTTGATAAACTGCAGTGAATTCAGTCGCTATGCAACAGTATATTCTCAAGTGTGCTCATTTGTGATTTTTTTAAACTCCACATCCATGCCATGACCCACTCTGCCTTCCCCCACCTTTGCAACATTGCCGACCTCTGCTACGATATCTTCCCTCAGGCCGCTGAGGCCCTTTTCCAACTACCTGCTTGCTGCACTTCCCAACTCTTCCATCCACAAGCTGCAGATTATTCAGAACTCTGCAGCTCGTGTCCTCTCCTGCACTAAGCTCCATGACCCAATCGCCCCCATCTTCACCGGCTTCACTGGCTCCCCAACCCCAGAGTATCAAGTTCATAATCCTCATCTTTAAAGCCCTCCACAGTCTTACTCCTCTCTACCTTTGTGATTTACTAACCTGTTCCTCCACTCAACGGGCACTCACCTGCTCCATGTCCCCCAGCCTACCTTCCACGATCAGCTTTAGCATTTCTGTCCCCACCCTTTGGAACTCCATCCCAGAGCCACTCCACCTTGCTCCCTCCCTTCAGGCCTATCTCAAGACCTTTCCCTTCAGCTGTGTCTTTGGTCCTTTTCCTACCCCCACCCCCTTGCCCTCCATCCCTCTTGATTCCAACCCTCAGCTCAGGTTCAAACCCTTCACTATTCAGCACCTTGGGATGTGAAAGGTGCTCTATAAATGCAATTTGTTGTTTTGTTTTTCGTTATGTATGAATTATATACCATATTGTTCTAAATTAAATAAATTGTAATTATAGTTCTGAGTTCATGTTTTCCTGATGACTATGGCTTGGTTACTTTACTAAATTATAGTTAATCAGAAGCTGTTTATCTCACAACTATAATTTTAAATCCACTTTGAACAGATATTAAAAGCATCTCATATTTAGTCTTCTAATATAACAGTAATGTAACTAAAAATAAAAGTGACTCTCTCATTACAGGGAAACATTTCTCAGAGAGGGTATGTCTCTGATGACAAGGATCCATTCAGATTTCGTTATATGATTCCCACTCAGGCATTGCAGATTCGATCTATTGCCATCTCAGGTATGAAAGAAGAATTCTCTATTGATTTCAACAAAACGGTTGAACTTTGTTGAAATGCGATTCTGCTAAGATGAACTAGACACTGTAAATAATTGGATTTCCAAGGTGAGGATCGAGGTTTAACCTCAGAATTTGGAGGTTTAACCACTCAATTGGCCCAGCCATTGTAACTTGCAAGATAGCCGTGGAAGGCACTTCCAGGTTTCCCCCCTCCCTCCTTGCAGCAAATATTCAAGTTTTATTTAATAATAATAATCCTTGCATTTGAAACAGGCCTTATTACATCATTGGGATGTCTCAAAGCGCTTCACAGGATATACTGTAAAGTGAGGCGACTGTGTTTTGTGGGCGAAACTAGGCAGCCTATTGCACACAAGTGTCCCACAAACAGTTGAGGATTGAGTGACTAAATTATTATTATTGTTGTTTGTAATATTAAATTGTGGCTCCCCAGCTGAACATACTGCTCACTAGCCTGTCTGGGAGGGAGCACTGACTGCCTGGGCTGTGAATTACCTGATTACCTGAGGGGAGGTGGAAGGAAACAGGACTGGATGAGCCCTGAGGGAGACTGTTCCTCGAGAGAGAAAGCATATGGAATGATATAACAGACGAGGTTTCACGTGGCTCATAGAAAAAAACAGGATTAATGGACTGAATCGGCATTTCTTATGTTGCTAAAAGTATGCGAGCAAGTTTTAAGATTGAATAATACCATGTCAAGATCAGTTAAAATTAATTTGATCTTATTCTTGCACTAAAAGATGGTCACCTCCAAACTTTATAAAAATCTAAATTTCCTTACCTACTATTAAAACAGTTGGATGGTGTATTTTTGTTTGTAGATGCAGAAGCTGACTGTATGTTTGAAATTGTTCATGGAAAATCAGAGTCAGAAGGGAGACCAGAGACAACTTTTCATTTTTGTAACAGGTAACCATTTTCACATCTCTTCCCCAGTTTGATTGTTTTTCTATCTAGGACTGTGGTAGCTCTTGTTATATTAAGGTTTTTAAATGTAATTTTAAGGCTTTGTAATATATCTTTGACAATTTTTAGTACTTCAGACACCAAGCGGGATTTTGTCAAAGCTGTTCAGTCGGTTATCCGTGACAAGCAGCGAAGGCAACTTCTAAAAACTGAAAGTTTACCACAATCCCAACAGTACATGCCTTTTGGAGGAAAGAGGCTCTGTGCACTGAAAGGAGCAAGGCCAGTTGTAAACCGAGCTGGTAAGAATTCTAGGTTCTGAGTGTTATAAAACAGTGTTCCCCCTATAGGATTGTAACAAATGTAAAACAAAATGTTTTTTTGGGGTCCTCATATTCTTTCATTAATTGTTAACTCAAAAGAATCCCAATTCATATTTTTAATTTTTTTCCTAATATTTATATGTGAATTTATTTGTAGAAATTACATTAATGAAAATGATTCTGAGATATTCAAAATTTGTAGTTTCAAAAAAAAGCATCTGTGAGGGATTTTCAACATCTAATGTATAACCCAAAGCTTCCCTCCAAAATTATTTGCTAGCTAATATTGGACCAAGCTATAACTATTTCTGTTTTGGCTGAACATTGCCATTTACAAGATTTAGAAATGTTACCAAATGTTACCAAATGCTGGGTGTAATATTTCTTCCTTCTTTCTGAATGATGAGTCTCCCAGATCATCTTTTCTAATCCCCGTCCCAACTGGCCTTTAAAAGACAAAAAGGTAGCATTGTGGGAAAGTGAAGATAAAATACAGTACTGTGCAATGAGAAAGTACTATTTTTTGGAAAAAATATTCTAATCTTCAGGTGTTATTCTATAACAACATGCATTTACAATTTTAAACCTATGTCTCCCTAGTTTTACTCACACAGTCCAAAACTCACTGGGCTTTTCTTGATTTCGACCTCAAGCTTGAAGGTCTAACTCACATCCACTACCAAACTATTTGACAGGCCAGAATTTTTAATGATGTGATATTTAGCAAAGGTATCTAGAAGTTGCTCTTCTATGGTCCTTCTAACTTCTGGTGATACCCAATTTTGTTGATCCCACTTTTTTGCGAATAGGTGCATTCTTTAGAAGTGGTATTTTAAAATTTAAAGTACTGTATCAAGTTAGCAAATAAAATATTATTGTTATTTGTTTCCTTTCTCCATTTATTCTGTAGTCTTAAATCTCATTTTCAATTTATTATTTAAGAAACTATTATAATATGGCTTTCATGATATGAACAATTATGAAAAACTTTGTTCACACATGATGTGCAATGTACACCCATTGTGATAGATATTAGTAACTAACATTATTAATTTGGGACTAAATTATTATCACATTTGATTGGTCTTGAAATGCTTTGGAGGATCTAATTCTGAACATCTTCATTCCTCTCTCAGTTTCAGTACCTTGCAGCACCTCAGGAAAAAGGAAATTATCTAGGAACAGATTCACTATTGATGCAGATGATCTGTTTGAACGCAATCAAAATAATGAGCCATTGCAGTTGCCAGCAGTTTGCAATGACACTGATCGTTGGGTAGAGGAACAGTTTGATCTTGGTAAGTATGAAGAGCATGACGACATTAAGGAGACTGATATTCTAAGTGATGATGATGAATACTGCCAGTCTGTGAAAAGTTCATCACTGTCAAAAGATCTGCAAGAGCAGCTAAAAGCAATGACCTTTCAAGATGAGCTTCTTGAGAATGGAAAAACATCAACCTACAGAACAGCAGAAAAATCTCAATCTAAAATGGCATTTTCTACGAAGCAAAAAGCTGTATCGGGAACTAATGGCATTGTGGAAAACAATGCACCTGAGGTGATCTGGGTGAAACGTGAAGGCTTCATTTCAACTGAAAAAGAAAATAATGAAATCTAAAGTTGCATGATTGTTCAGAATTACTATCCGTCTTCAGTGCTAACCGTTCCGATGTGTTGCATACTGTAAGGATGATTACATACTCCATAATATATAAATTGAGACAGCAGCAACAAATTAGAAGCTATGCTGTCCCATTAAGCTCAGTTAAGAATTGTTAAGATGAGTAAACAAAAACTGCTTATATGAACAGATTTATGGCTTCATTCTACACAACTATAATATATTTAAGGGCTTTAAAGTTAAATATTTATTATTGTTCAGGTGTACAATTATCATTTCATTTTTAGTATATTTGTAAATTACTGGACAGGCAAAACTCTTGTATCTGTACTACTTTTAAAGGATCAAGAACTAAGTTGCCCCTCTAACTATTTGAAAAGTATCTTTATAGTATACATTACTGGAGAAAGGATTACAAATCGGTAATTCAACTGTTGCACTGGTAGAAAATCAGGTGTTTATATGAACAAAAGAACAACTAACCTTGAATAAATTAATTTTTCAAACTACAGTGCTTACTTTAGAGATCATTACACTTATCAGCAAGTCTGAAGATAGTTAGATTGTTGCCATAATTGTGTTTGTATATAATTCCAGGCTTAATGCGCATATCAGAATTTGCCTAATATATTTCTTTTGTAAGCTGAAAGAAGTTCTATTTTTCTGTGTTTAGATTCATTGATCTTAAGCATTGTAAATGTTTGTCAAACATAATAAAACCACATGAAATTAGAAATTCTTTATGTGTCTTTATTTTAATTTGGTTAGCAAATATAGACAAATGCTAAAAAAGGTATTCTTTTGGGTTTTAGATGCTGATTATGGAAATCGTGTAAATATTGCTGACTACAACAAATATATTTTAAGTAATATAGTTCAGCACTTTACAATTAATTTATGAAATTCAGCGGTTACATTTCAATTGATGAATTCTTAATAAACTTCAGAATACAAATGTTTAATTTTTACTCTAGGTCTAAGGATAGGTGATGTGAATATTTCTGTTGCAGAATGCTCTAAGCAGTTTACAAATTTAGTTTTAGAAGGGTATTTTTTCCTGAAGTTTTTCATTTACACAAATCTAGAGATATTTGTTAGACCACAAATCATTAGGGGTTATATTTTATTGTGGTAAAATGACTGGTCACTTCAGTTTTGTTTTCTCACAAGCATGACACTGCCAAAGAACTAACATCAAAGCAGAAGTTACTCCATTGGGCCTTAAAACTAATCCAAATTAGTTACACTCTCCATATAGCATTTAAAAGCATGTTATGCTGTTACTGACTTCCTTGTAATATTTTTTTCATTTCACTGTGCTCTGAGAGGGAATGCATAAACAATAAAGAAGTTTGCAAAATGTTTGTGCTAGTTATTTTCAAGTAGACTGTGTCACTTTTTGTTCTTGCATGCTATTTTTAAAATCAATTTTACCCAACTACAATAATGTGTAGTTAATACATAACCTGTGCAGTTTTAGTCTTGTTCATCACTCAACACATTTGTTATATGGAGGTAAAACATAGAATGAAAACCTATATTCTGTAATAGAATTAAAATAATTGTAGCTCAGTGGTTAGAGCACTCGCTTTGCAAGTGAGAGACCCGAGTTCAATTCCAGGCAGGGCGAAACCTTGGGCAAGTTTCCTTACTCCACACGTCTAATAATAATCCCTCCAAAACCAAAAACAATAATAAATTGGTCATTTTCAATCTACGACTGTTTGTGGGACATTGCTGTGCGCAATTGGCTGCCGCGTTCGCCCACAAATATCCAGTCAATTCACTTCTGTGAAGCACTTTGGGACGTCCTCCCGATGTGAAAAGCGCTATATCAAATGCAAGGATTATTATTATTATTATTATTGTGAGTTAAAGAAAGGATAAATGTAAGAAATAAAAACACATTTTATTTTGCATTGTCAAAGAATTAAAGTCACTGTGACTAAATTAATGGTGGCTGGGTTGGTGGGAGTATATGGCCTCCCTTTCTAGACAACAGGCTTATTTCATCTTTTAAAGCTTCAATCTCTTGTGCTTGTAGATCCACAAGCTGAATCATCCTCTGCCTCTCTTCAAGGTCAGCCGTTTGCTTTTCTTGGAATTGTGCTCCCTAGAATAATAAGAAAAAAAATTGTACTTGCAGTGTTTTGTGTCTTATTATACACTACAGTTCAAAAATAAGACATTAAAACTCCTTTAGGATCTTCAATATGATTTATCCTGAGCTTCCTATTTAGTGTGAACATTCCCTGCTTTCATAGCCTCCCCTCAAAACACCCTATTCCAGCTTGCAATTTGGTTTTCCTCTCTGTGCTCCTTCCAATGAAAATATATCCTTGCATTAATATAGTGAAAAATCTTGGGATGTATAATTCTCCGATGCTAAAGTTATATTTTTTGGAGATTTATATATCCCTAAACTTTGTTAGTTTTTCTTTTTGCCACTACACACAATGCTGACAGTTTCATTGAGTTTGATATGATCTTAACTTGATTGCATCACTGTGAGATGATACTTGAGGGAGGCTCTAAAAAGCACATGATGATGTTTGTGTACAAAGAATGCAATAAAACGACTTAGGTACCATACAGAATTCTACTATAGCTTGGAAACAGGTGTTGGGTAATTGCTGCATAAAAATGTTAGAAATAAAGAAAAAGTGAAAATTACCAGATTCCTCTGCTGCACATCTAAGTGTCCTTCAATCTCCTTCTTACGTGTCACCAGTGCATTCATCTGATCCAGTTTACAAGTAGACTGTCTGGTCAGATCTGTAAGTTGATCTTTTTGCACTAATATTTTATCCTGGATTAGGACAAAACAAAAAAAATCTTCCTTTGGTTAAAAAATGATAGGCTAAATAGAATTAAAACCCAATAGTAAATCTGCTTTATGGTGTTATTCATATTATAATTATATTTGTAAAAAATTTGAAATTTTATAATGAGCTAGTACTTTCATTCTGAGCAATACACTACTAAGAACACTGTGATGCACGTTTAGACCTAAATACTTATAAATGATACCCATGATATTGCTATTCTTAGGGAATTATGTTTTTACTTAATAGTGGCATAAACTTCAATGTAGTACCATATGTCATTGCGTAGCTTGCCAATAATTAAATGGTATCAATTTAGTTATATGTCTGATATTAGTAACTGATGTGTGTTATTCAACAGTTGTTTAATAAGTTAATTACCTCCCGTCGTTTAAGATCTTTGAAGAACTCTGTTTCATATGTTTGAACTTTGTCTCTCAGCTCCTCCAAGATCTTGTTCACTGAGAGAGTCTGCAATGCTTCCAGATCAACTACACGACCAAACTTTAAGATCATTTCCTGGTAGCAAGTTTCTTCTAACTCTGTAAGTTTACAAATGAGTTATAATTTTAAAACAACAATGGTTCAGTGAGTTTATTCAGTAAAAAGCTAAGATGTACAAATCAGGACAATCCCAGGAATAACTATTTTTTAAAAAAACTAATTTCCACACGATTCTGGAGAGTATAGTCCAAAACTATGGAAGAAGAAGCTAGAGAAAGTATACTTCTGGAGTTATATATCCCCAACCTTTGTTAGTTTTTCTTTTTGCCACTATACACAATGCTGAAAAATGTAGTACTCATATATACAGTCCTATTACAAAATAGGAACAAGATATTTAGCCCATTCATTATAATCATAGAATTATAGAGCACAGAAGTAGGCCATTCGGTCCATTGTGTCTATGCTGGCTCTTTGAAAAGAGCTATGCAATTCAATCCCACTCCCCCGCGCTCTCCCCAAATATTTCATTGAGCTTGATATGATCTTGACTTGATTGCATCACTGTGAGATGATATTTATAAGGCTATAGAGAAAGAGTACTTCTGGTGATGAAGAGTGCAGACAAGATTATAGAAAATGATAGTCTATGCTATTAGGCTGTTTAATTAAGTAGCCTGTACATATTGTATTAGTCTTCTAAGCAAATTGATCTGACAGGAGAGCCACCTGTAGAGAAGCTATATAGAGAAGCTTTAGAATAGCCTGATTAGTCACAACAACATTTAACAGAGAATTGGGTAAACATCTCAAGAGGAAGAATACAAAAGGATATTGTGACAAGAGCATGGGTTCATAGGAGAGAGTTCCAGTGGAGAACTACTATCAGTTTAGGCTTGATGAGCTTCTTCCAAACATTGCCCATGGACAAAATATTGTTTTGGGAACATATTAAATATACTATAATTGTTGCATATTAAAAAGAGAAACTGAACATATTAATGAAGGAGTTGTGGTTTGTTAACATTCCTGCTGCTGCACTTCAGCTTGAGAGACATACTATCAGAGATCCTGAGAAGGCAATGAATTATTTTAATTGTACTATATAGAAAATAAGTAAACATACATTGACGAGCTACATGTTAAAAAAGGTGCTATTATCCCAATTCTCTTTACACAATTCAGCTCTTGTAGGATCTCACAGCATAAAAGAAGGCAATTCGGCCCGTCGTGCCTGTGACAGCTTTTTGAAGGAACCTTCCAACTCATCCCACTTTCCTGTTTTACCCCATAGCCCTGCAAATTTTTCCTTTTCAAATACATATGCTGTTCCCTTTTGAAAGCTACTATCGAATCGTTGAGACCATAACAATATATAAAAGGCAATTAAAATAAACACTTGGAGAAAGAATATGAACACAAATTCGGAAACAGAACAATGGTTTGGATTTGGAGCAGTTAGTTCAGTGCATGAACAATAACAAGAGTAGGCTCAATGTTGACATAAATAATTATCTAAATAAGATAATTAGATAATTATTTGGGGAGAGCGCGGGGGAGTGGGATTGAATTGCATAGCTCTTTTCAAAGAGCCAGCATAGACACAATGGGCCGAATGGCCTTCTGTGCTCTATAATTCTATGATTATAGTGAATGGGCTAAATGTCTTGTTCCTATTTTGTAATAGGACTGTATATATGAGTACTACATTTTTCAGGCAACAATTCAAAAAGGAACATAGAAAAAACTCAGAATACTTTTTCGGCTGGCTAGTAACGACTGATTAAAAGGAAGGATATTTTATGATAATATACTTTCCTAGAAAGAAGGCTATGGAGCTCTTGTCTGATTGGCAGTCTGCATTTTTTCTCTGTACTCATGCACTGCAAATAACCCTCCTCCCTTCCCTGGATAAATGAGCTTTTGAACACCATAGTCTTCTTTTGTATTCTATTGCTGTTTTGAGTAAACAATACTTGCCTCTGTGAAACCTCATATGTTCCTCTTTTGTAAAACAAAACATTAAAAAAAATCAGGAAATACTGTAGAGAGGTATAGCAGCTGCTCCACATTGTCTTCATTGCTGTGAAATTAATTTATTGCTGAGAAGATTCCAATTGAAGAGTGTACAGAAGGCTTGCATAGTCCCATTTCTCAACAGAAATCTCTGACATTCTCGTTGTCATTGCAAAAGTAAGAGCGAAGGGGAATTAGCACTATTAATATAGACATTCTCACTTTAGGAAATAGACCATTTCAGAGAACTTTAAATTTGATAAATATGCTGACAAACTTGGAAATAGCTGACTACATTAAATACAACTGTAAAAATGAAACAAAAGTGTTTTTATCAGCATTCAAATGTTACTTCTTAGTGATGTGTGACAATAATTTCCATTTATTATAATACTGTAAGCAGTAATTACTTGCTATTTTAGCTTCCATATCTTTTCTGTCCCTGATAAGTTGAACATGCTTTTGTCGTGCTTGCTTATACAGCTCTCGCTGCTCTGCTTTCTCTTGTTGCAACTCTCTGATCCTTTGTTGCAAAGACAGTAATGCTTCATTGGTGAACACCAATGCTTGCACAAGATCATTTGGAATCTCGCCATTCACAATGTATTCCATCTAGTGTGAAAAAATAACACATCAGATGAAGAAAATATCAATTAGAAATTTCCTTTTGCTTTATGTTAATAATTATTGAAAACATTTCGGAAGATAAAATCAAAATGTTAAGTTTTGAAATTCTAGCTCCTCTGTCTCAACCATCATCACCCATACAACCTCTGACCACACCTCACACCCAATGCAGCCAAAACCCTCATCACCTCCCGCCTCAATTATTCCAATACCTTCTTTGATAGCACATATTTGGAGTATTCCAATTCACTTCCCACTCTTGATTCCTATCCAGTAATCTATAATAATAATCATCCTTGGCATGATTTTCACGTCTCAAAATCTATACTAGAGGTACACATATGAGGATGCTAGAATCACGGTCAGCATCCAAGGCTCTCACATTGCCAAGATACATTGTTAAGGTTCACGTAGGAAGAATTATTATTTGGATGAGATCGATTTGGGGCCATGGAAGCATACTTTAGGAGAAGGAAAATAAATTAAACTTCTTCAGGAGAACGTGAGAATATTGGTGGCAAAATTTGTTAAATACCCATTATCTAATTAATGGATACTTAAAAATCTAATAACTAATATATTTTTTAAATTCCATAAGTTGATTACCTGATGCAGTTTTAAAGGAACAACCACGTGTAATTCATTTAATTTCTGTTGCTTTTCACGTTGTAGTAGTTCCAGATCTGCCTCTGCTGCTTGTAGAGTTCCTTCAATTACTTTTATCTGTAAACAAAGCAGGCACACAATTACATTTTGGTTTTTTTTAAAACACAAATTGTGCGCTACTTCTTAATGGAGCCTATTTGAACTTATTGGGGTCTGTCACCCAGTAGTTATTTAAAAACCTGTTATTTTATTCAGGATTTTGTCCCCAAATTTCAGTTGTGCAGATTTTTGGCAAATTCTTAAATTTAGTCTTAAGGTTTTCTTTTTTTGGGGGGTTGGCTTTCTAAGGAACTTTTTAACAATAAATAAACAATATAAATTAACTAAGAGGAAAATGTCACATGTACACATGGAACTGTTATACATACAGTATAGTTATTGTGATCTGTGGTTTCTTACTCTGAAAATGAGTTCAGATATTTTTAAAAATCACTGATGTTAAAAGTGATAAAGTGTCATCACTTTAACATTTCGTCCCAATGTTCTGGGTTCACTCCTAGAATCCTAGTGTTATAGGGATGACAATTCTAGAAGAATTTAAACCCAGTATGTTTTAACAGTAATGTAATTGAACAATAACACTGGGAATGTTGATTTTGCACCTTGACCAAATGAGTACTTGGAACTTTCGAAAAGTTTGAACACAGATTAGTTAAACAGGCAAACAAGTTAACCTTTTTAGCAATAGAATCATATTCTTTCTTCATCTGATCTGTAACTTTTTTCTCTTCAGCCAATAACTCTTCAATATCAAGTCGTACTTCTCGAAGTTGAATGGTGTTGTCAAACAATGATGGGTCACAATCTGTACAGACCAGAATAACAATTGAGTTATATGCCCAAGACCTAAATAGGTCTTCGAGTGACCTGACCGAGGTAGTTAAGATAACAAGTGGAATTAACATGCAAGATAAAGAGTTTATGACTCGCCACTCCTGTTCAGGGATCCAAACAATGATCGTAGTCTTAAAATTACACCTAACGCCCTCCTTTAAATGATTGATATAAAAGAGTGAAATTGATAAGACTTTTTACTTTCTGGGCAAACAGTGTCATCCAATCCACTCATCTCAGAGTCAGATTCATCCTCATCACTACTCATGCCAAATTGTTCCTCTGATTCCTCATCGCTTTCTTCTTCATCGTCTATAAAACAAAATGAACATTATCAGATTGTGATAATGCAGGATGTAAAACACTGATAATCAAACAAACACGTTGTTACTTATATAGAAACATATTTATAACTTTTGATAGCCAGATATTCAGGGGGAAATAAAATACTATATATATTAAAAGGGTATTGCATAAGTATTTAAGGTAAAAATATAAAAGGGAATGAGTAGGGAATTGTGATTAGGGTTTTTAACACTAGTGGAGGATCTTAAAACACTGAAAAAAAAACTGTCAGTATCATGACTTGAACAGTACTTGAACGCAAATACAGCAGACACATATGCAGCAGCAAAGTTCCACAAGTTGAAATGAGGTAATAACCGATCTACTCTATAGAACTGTACTGCACTCTGCCATAGGAACTGACTGCATCCATCCTGTATGTCCAAATTTGTACGTTCAATGCCCAAAAGAAATGACGTGGTGAAAATTAGCACGATTTTTCACAAGAATTCCCAAGTTTTTAGCACATCTTTTGTTTTACATCCGCACCCTCATCGAGTTGTGCTTCTTTCTTTTTTGCCCGTTTGATTTTCTTCTTGAAGACCTTAGTGAGAAATTCAATATGTTTGTTGTTTTCACCAAGAGACAGTTGGAAAGTCATGTATAGGGCCTTTTCTTTTTCATGTAATTTAGTTATGTCTCGTTTTTTTGCCTCCAACTGTAGCAAACATTCCTCTGCTTTCATCTAAAACAAAAATGTACAACAGTTTTGTTTAGAGTTAATGGAGTATTACATTTTTTATTAAAAAGAAAAAAGAAAAACATTTAAAATCTAATTTTAGTCATAGCTTTATAGTATATTACCATATAATAAACAAAAAAATACAGCAGCTTCTAGTATCAAAGTATAGCAATTTCCAATGGACATTTTTGTCTCCAATTCCATGCATTGAGTAAGCAAAATCTTGACTTTATTGTGGTTTATTTTAAATAATAACATAGTAATCCTTGCATTTGGTACATTCACAGTGACTGTGAATTTCAAACGTGGCAGCACAATTACACACAGCAATATCCCACAAACAGCCTTGGAGTGAGTGACCAATTTTATTTGGGGGATTGTTGGATAGGACACTGGAAAAAACTCTTTTCTTTTCAAATAGTGCCATGGGATCTTGTAACTATCACCTGAACAGGCGAAGAGATGTCGGTTTAATGTCTCGTCTGAAAGATGGAATAAATAACAGGATGAAGATTAAAGGGATCCGGGTCAAAAGAGCTCCAACTAATCTAATGAATATAACCCTCCAAAATTGGTGTGAATTTGCACTTGGAAAGTTCAGTTTATATCAAAAAAAATTCCTTCCTTTTCATTCATGAATATCCATGCTTGTTCTTGGTCTGGCAGAAATACCCAGGGACACTGTCTATTTGCAATTTTTCTTTCTTGCTCATCTGAAAATATAGCCATGTTCTGTGAACATAAACTGTGAATCGAATGGATTAATTACTAAAATGGTTACTAATGAGCGCTCTTGATAGCTGAAATGGTCAATAATATATTATGTAAAATTATAGTGCAAGAGCTAATGATGCAACATACAAATGTAAGAACTAAAAGAAAAGTTGCTGAATACTATGGAGTCAAAATAATAATATTCCTAAAGGCATTCCGTTCCCTAATTATTGCTGGAGGTAATTAAGAGATGGTACAGAAATTATGGTTAAAAATGTCTTTAAATTCTGTCCTTAGCAGACACTTTTGGACTAAACATCTCATTTTAGAAGAATTAGTCTCGTCTGCAGTCTTTGTTTTTGGTGAAACTGGTTTTATTCATAGATGCTATAAAAGCCTTTCAACTTTAAAGTTTTACTGTTGAGGGGTTAAAGGTGCTCTTTATAATAAACTTGCCTTTGAAGCAGTGCCTTTTCACGTCTTCGACACATCTCAAAGCACTTCACAGTGTCAAGTGAATTAACTGTATATTTTATGGGTGAAACCCCCACAAAATATTTATAAATAGTATGGAAAAGGATATCAAAGAATCATAGAATTATACAGCACAGAAGAGAGGCCATTCGGCCCATCGTGTCTTTGAAAAGAGCTATGCAATTTGATCCCCCTCCCCCACTCTCTCCCCAAACTTGTCCTCCCCAAAGAATTATATATGTGGGAAAGGTTTGAATTAGTATTGCTGTTTGTGATTTGTGATTATTTATCCTCAACGGAGGAGACAAAAGGTAAGAACAAATGTAAATGTTTAATAAAATATTGTAATAGTATAATTACAATATCTTTAAGGAACTAAATTTTTGCTTACTTGTGTTTCCAGTCGGTCATTAATCCTCTGGTTGACTCGTTCCTGCAAAACGTTCTCTCTCTTTTCAAATTCTTTCAATAGAAGAACTTCTTCAAAAAGTGTAACATGAAGTAAGTCAGCCATTTTCATGTTGATGTCCAACTTACATTTTTGGTGGCAAATAACACGAAGCTCTGCATCAAGGTATTTTATTAGTTGAGATATCTGAAAAGAAAATGTCAACCAATTAAATCAACATATACATCTTATAAATAAACACACTTTCTTGCATTTCATTTGTTGCTGTTAGAATCTTTTAGTCAAAAGTCAGTAACATTTGGTAAAACACTTTTTTATAACTCCACAAATTTAAGACTTTTCTGCGTTTTTATTAAAAAAATTCTGACAGAAGTTGAATTCTGCTGAAGTTAAAATATTCTAAACACATTTTCGATAAATCTTCACATTAGAACTACTGGAACTCAGCTACAAAGCATTAGTAAGTTTCATCCTGCTTGTTCAGATAGTTGCTCCATTACTTGTTTTGACTATCAAGTCTCATGAATAGCCAGACAGTCATCAACATTTCCTTTGATTGGTACAGACTAGCCTGGTGTTCTCCTCAGAGCCAGTCTGAATCAAATCACGATCCTGCTTTGCTTCCCCAAGGGATACGTTTAAGCATGGTACTAATTTCATCAACTTCAAAGGGATTCTGATGAGGTCATGAGATGTCCTCCTGACATGAAAGGTGCTATATCAAATGTAAGGATTATAATTATTAGACATAACAAAAAGATCACTATCACAACCTTAAAAGGCTGAGTAAATTTATTTGGATTGAAATTTTCTAATTGCAATTCTGATTGAGCTACCCATGTTAATATTTTCAGCATATAATACAATATTTCACAACTTTCACAAGCATCACAATTTTCTTCTGGTTTGCAAAATTGACACTGAAGAGTGACAGAAGAAAATTGTAATCATTGAATAAGTATAAACAATTTGATTGAGATCTATAAGAGCGTGAAAATAACATTAAGCCCCAGGGTAAGTATAGAGCACAATGTTGAATTCTAAACTGCTGGTTTAAAATGTTTATTTTTAAATTTATGACAAGTAAGCTGAACCATGGATAATAACATGGCACGACTTCTTAATCAAACAACTTGCCGTGCAGTGATGTGGTGAGTTACAGATCTTTGCCTGTAATTCTACATGAAGAGTTGCTTATTGGGTCATGAATTTAGGGAGTCACTAAGCAGAAGCCAGGATTTTGTCACATGAAAATATTAAAAGCTGAGTGGATCATTCTTAGTTTTCATGAAATACTGGGTTTCACTTAAATTTTGCAATACTTCCACTTCCACTGTGCAGTTAGATGTGTTGATGGGAGAATTTTCCACCAAGAGATGCAATTCTCTAAACTGAATGGCCTTTTCTCTTCCACCCCAATAATTTTGATGTTCTTATGTTCTAAGCTTTAATTATGATGCAAAGATTCTGTGTGATAAAGAAAATGTTCCTTTTCACTTTCATTCAGGTTAGTATTTTAGAGTGCACTTGTGATTTCTTGTGGTACTAGGCGTCTTGTAGCATATTGGTTAGAGCGTTCGCCTCCAAAGCGAGAGGACCTTTTTTGATTCCTGGGCAGGGTGAATCCTTAGGCAAGTTTCCTTACTCCGCATGTCTCTGTTTACCTAGCAGTAAATAGGATTGGCGAATCGTCTAGTCGATCGGTTGTTAGTCAATTGGTGGATCGCTTTCCGGGGGTAATAATCCCTCCAAAACAATAAATAAATAATTTGGTCGCTCAATACACAACCGTTTGTGGGACACTGCCATGCGCAATTGGCTAGCTCATTTCGCCCAGTAATATACAGTCAATTCACTTTACAGCATATTCTGTGAAGCTCTTTGAGACGTCTCAACAACGTGATAAGGCACTGTATCAAGCGCTCAAATTATTATTGCTACTGTTATTTTTGACATTGCTATTCTAAAAAATATCAATTCCACAATACACTGGTACTGTCACTATTTGCAACATACCTTATCCAGCAATTTAGTCTGAAAATATAAATGTTTTGTTTCTTCAATTTTTTTTAATTCAGTCTCTAGCTTTGTTGCTGCAATTGGAAACTTCAACACTTCTCTCTTTTTACTTTTATTCTCTTCTGGAGTTGAAGATTCGCCCTTTTTTTCTTTGGTTGCAAGTGAATATCCACCTGCCATTTCAGAATGTACACGCTGTTGGGTATCAGTAATTTCTCCCTTGAAATTCAGAAGTGTTTCTTTATCGTATTCAAATTTTTTCTCTGGTGTTTCCTCGAGGTACAACTTTGGAATTTCAGGAATGGGTAGATGCTTAGATGGCTCAAGCTTTTTCTGCAATAGTTTCAACTCTTCAACTAAGCTAGAAATCTGTTTAACAGTATCAAGCTTTGCATCACGCAGCTTCATGACCTTTTTATTCATTTCAACTTTAAGTTCATAACTCTGTAAAAGACAAAAAACACATGTGATGTGGATCATAATTAATATACTGTCCCGTAGCGTAGTAGTTAGAGCACTTTCCTCGCAAGGGAGAGGACCCAAAACCTTAGGCAAGTTTCCTTATTCCACATGCCTCTGTTTACCTAACAGTAAGTTGGAACCCAGTTGTTTGTCAGATCACTTTCCAGGGGTAATGATCCCTCAAAAGAAAAAACATATTTGGTCACTCAATTCACAACTGTTTGTGGAACATTGCTGTGTGCAATTTTACCCACGTTTCACCCAAAAACTACACTCAATTCATTTTACAATATATTCTGTGAAGTGCTTTGAGATGTCTCAACGATGTGATAAGGCGCTATATCAATTGCAAAGATTATTATCATTATAATATACCACAGTGGTATAATGATTCTTTTGCTTCCACCTCTCTGTCAAATGTTGGTATAGTGGAACCTCATTTAACATTGTCCTAATTGACTGACCATAATCATGAAGATCAATAATCCATTCAATTACTTACTTCACCTCTGTTCATTTCCCATTCCCCATTCACCTCCCTGACTCATCTCCTGGTTTTCATCCACCTCACTAACTCAGTTTATACCTCCTGGTGTTCCTACCTACCTCCTTTTGCTTTTATGATTCAGCTCAGTTTGGGCAGATGAACAAGGGATCTGGGGGGACCTAAACATGCAAGTCATTAAAAGCTAGTTCACAGACATGGAATGCAATTAAAAAAATGTAATGGGATGCTGAACTTTATCACAAGATGTATTTGATATAAAATGGGCTGCATAGTCTTTTCGTCTCCTGTAACTTGTTTTTGTTCTTATCTAATCCAGTAGCTCAGTGGTTAGAGCACTCGCTTTGCAAGCGAGAGACCTGAGTTCAATTCCAGGCAGGGCGAAACCTTGGGCAAGTTTCCTTACTCCACACAGAGCCTAATAATAATCCCTCCAAAAACCCAAAACAATAATAAATTGGTCATTTTCAATCTATGACTGTTTGTGGGATATTGCTGTGCGCAATTGGCTGCCGCGTTCGCCCACAAATATTCAGTCAATTCACTTTACAGTGTGTTCTGTGAAGCACTTTGGGACATCCTCCTGACGTGAAAAGCGCTATATCAAATGCAAGGATTATTATTATATTCAATTAATGGAGATCACTAAAATACACATAGTTGATCTTTATTAGATTGTTTTTCCATTGGCGACAATGTTGTGATATTTTTAAATAGTGAAAAGGTAAACATTTCAATAGCCTTCAATTATTTTTGTTTGGATTGTTATTAGTGGTGCTAATACTTTTACAGTAAATGTAAGTATTATTAAATGTGCTCCCAACAGCATTTTGGCAGCCCACCACATTTCACTGGGATTTTGTTGTTCTACGCTTAAAATAATGCACAAAGAGTAAATAACATGCCTTCTGCTCAAGGATGATAAGTTGGTTTCGTTTTTTTTCGGCATTCATACGCAAATGTTCTGGTACAGTATAGTTAGGTGCTGTTTTTAACTTGAAATCTCCCATGTTCTCCTTAGCTTCTTTAATCGCAGCAACATCTTTTGGATCTTCATAGTCCTCATCAGGCTTGCTGGCAAACCTATAAAAAACAAAACAAGTACAAAGGACTTTGTGGCAATCTATCTGTACATAAAACAAACGTGGAGAACATTACCAAAGAGGAGCAGAACATTCTACATTTTCTTAAACCTGTGTGTGAAAAAATGCATCCTGAGCTCAGTTCTAACTGTCCCAGTTCTGATTATTATTTTGATGTTAAAGCATAGATGCCTCCCAACCCCTATAATGGATCCCTTTTCCAAAGAAAATGTCGAACCTGTCAATTCCTTTCATTATTTCATTAAAAACCTCAATTAACTTTAAAACAGATTGCCACAAGCTCAGCAAGCTGCAAGCAAGACCATTATGATGTAGGTCCAGAAAAGTGTCATGATTTTAATGAAGAGTTCAAGGGTAAGCCTGCTGGCATTAATAAATATACGGACCTGAGCAAAAATGTAGTCACATTGGTTGGTCATTTTTAAGCTGAGCAGAAGGGTTGGCAGATCATGTTTCCAGGGTGTGCAGTCAGTTAGTGTTTTCATAGTGTGCAGAGATTGTTTTGTATTATGCTAGTCAGCAGTCACAGATTCTGGAGCATTTCTCCAGATTCTGCCTCAGCCTCTATGTTGTAGCAGGTTTTGCTGAGCCAATGAGCAACTTTAAAAACAGAACCAGACCTAGTGAGGAAGGGACTGAAGATAATATGAATACAAATGGATAGAACAAAATATATATGCAATCGGTATTTGGGTCTATGCTGCTGGCACGAGCAGATGTAGCCAGCTAAGTTTGCAGGTGAAGGCACTTACAGATATTTTAGAGTTCACGTCTTCTCGACGTCTCAAAGCACTTCACAGTATAGACTGTAAAGTGAATTGCTCGTATATTTGTGGGCATAATGTATTGGTTTTGTGTGTACATGTGTACTATGGAAGGAGCAACGTGACTAACCAAAAGGACCCTCCTAATCTTACAATGTCTTAACTTTTTCAGGGTTAAAATTCTGATAACCAATGACTGCAGTCTGTGGAGTACTGTAGCTCAGTGGTTAGAGCACTCGCCTCGCAAGCGAGACACCTGGGTTCAATTCCAGGCAGGGCGAAACCTTGGACAAGTTTCCTTATTCCACACGCCTTATAATAATCCCTCTAAAACAAAACAATAATAAATTGGTCATTTTCAATCCACGACTGTTTGTGGGACACTGCTGTGCGCAATTGGCTTCCGCATTTCGCCCACAAATATATGGTCAATTCACTTTACAGCATATTCTGTCAGCGCTTTGAGACGTCTAGAAGACATGAACAGCGCTATATCAAATGCAAGGATTATTATTATTAAAAGCAGTCTGGTTCAAATCTCGGACTAGACTAAGTTTGCTGGTCTCACCTGGGCTGCATGGGGAGCTAAATTGACCTCAGCCTTCCCAGGAATAGGGAGGGTAAAATCAGCTGTGTTTGCTAGTCTTGCACCCTTTGCTGGTGGTGCAGCCAGGTGAAGAGAGGTAGCCTCAGACAGTGATCTACAGTCGAGCAGTCTTATGACCCACTGCCACACATGAACAATGGCCACTTGGAACCTCATTTCAACATGAAGCCGGGGACCAGGAGCAGAAGCATATGCTACTGGGAAGAAATATTAAACAAATAATTGGACCCATTGAATTTCAAATACCTCTAGTTTCATGTTTTCTATGCCTTCCTTTTTCAAACAGCAATGCAATTTAAATGGAAAAAATACTTACAGATCTTCCCACTGCTTTCTTCTCATTTCAATTTTGGCCTTTGCTTTTTCTGCCTTTTCTATTATTTTCTGCAGTTTTTCTTGCCGTCCTCCAAGGGAGATCTTTGAATGGAGGAGGTCAGGACCCTTCAGCAGGTCAGCTCCGAGATCTTTTCCTGCAACCTGATCCTTATCAATACCTGAAATAAGCAGACAATAATTAATCAATCTTCAGTCTCACATTTCATTCTTTAAGTAGCAAGTGTTACTCAAAGCTTCATACTAAACATGACATGTAATTAACTCTAGGGGGGCAAAACTGTGATATTCTTAAACACATACAACCTTAATTTTGAAGCTAGTTTTCTGCAAGTTCTTTAAAGAATTCTTTGAATTCAACAATTTGCCAAACTCTATAAAGTCCTACAAAAATAGGGTTAATCTAGATTCAGGTGGAATTTCTCCACATTTGTTACTTAATTAAGTATCCTTTAAAATGTGTTTTGAAATACCCATGATTTCTGAATAATGATAGTACCCAAAACAGACTTAAAATGCTCACAGCCACCATCTTGGATTCATGTATAGCTCTCTTCCACCCAAGCTCCTTCAATCCTTACTTCGTATCACTACCTCCAACTCTTGTCAACTTCCCTTTGCCTAACTGAACCAGCACATAACCTTGCAGTAATAAACCCTGCAACTGTTCTTTGCCCAAACTTTTGAATATTAATGTAATATAATTTAAAGGGAATTGCCATTTATAAAGACTATGAACAGATGGTTAGGAAAAAAATACATCAGATAATAGACCCTCATTTTGACAATTATCTCTATTTTACTCTTTTGCCGATTAGAAAAAAAAGGTCCAATAACAACGTAATTAACAGCTAATATTAGGAATGATCCCAGGCAACATTCTACCTGCTTCCCTGATTTCCTTGGCAAGGTCCTCTTTGCTTTTTTGTCCAACCTGCATCTGGCTCTGCTTCTTCTTCATCTCATTCCTCAACAGGTAATATTTATCAGACAAAGATTTTACACGGTAGGTTGACACTTGGTGGTCACTCTCAATAGCATGAATAACCACAGTATCAAATTCCACTGCATCTCTAAACCTGTGGATGTATCAAGAATTAATTATTTGATATATTCTTTGAAACAGATGTACAGTATTGTGCTGGGTCAAGAAAGATGATTTCCACCAACAGACCTTCACCGTGCCGGTGGAGTTCTGCTGAAATCCTTGTTTCTTCTTGCAAGGGCATCATCAATTGCCAGTAATTTCTGATTAAAGCATTCCCTCTTCAAATAGAAAAGAATAGCATCCTTTACTTGACTTGATAAATGTCTTGCCCAGAAGCAAATAGGTCCCAAAGAATGTCTTCAAACACTCAGATAAAGTTTATTTGATATGAATGTTATTTTCTTCTTTTACTAGAGGGAGTTCTTTTGTTGCTTACTTTGTTAACTGCTCCCCTTGGATCTTACTCCCATCATAAAAAAATAAGAAATGTTAGACAAAAAAAAAAGTCCATCTAGTTCGCCTTCCAGGCAGCTGTATGCACACGTGTCCCCAAATACGTATGTACTATTTCCCATAATGCTATTTCCTAAAAGAAAGATATCTAATCTGGGTTTGAAGGAATCAACACTTCCTCCTTCAACTGTCTCCCTATGGAGCTTTACTATTCGCTTACTGAAATAGTGTTTCCGTAGATTCATTCTGAATTTACCTCCCACCCCTTCAATCACAGCCATGTCCTCTGGTTTTATGATTCTGGACTTGTTACAACAGCCTGTCGTGATTCTACACTGTCTTCCCCTTTAGAATTTTAAAGACAGCAATTATATCGCCTTTCAATCTTCCCTTTTCCAGCGTGAACATTCCCAATTTAGTTAGTCGCTCTTCATAGTCCAGTCCCTCCATTCCCTCAATCATTCTGGTTGCCCTCCTCTGTATCTTCTCGATTTCTCCAATATCCTTTGTGTACTGCGGCGACCAGAGCTGTGTTCAGTACTCTAAGTATGGTCTCACCAATGATTTATACAGTGGCAGGATTACTCCACTATTTCGGTTTGCTATTGATCTTTTGATACATCCCAACATCTGGTTTTGCTTTACTCACTGCCCAGAGCATTGTTGGGAGACCTTCAATTTATTGTCAATTAGGACCCCCAGGTTCTTTTCATCTTCCATACAAATTATTTTCCTTCTGTTCAAATAATAATCCCTTACTGGATTTTTTTGTCCCCATGTGAAGTTCTTTACACTTCTTCACATTGAATTTCATCTGCCACAGGTCAGCCCAATTCCCAAATGTGTTCAAATCCTCCTGTAACCTATCTTGTTTAGCTTTGCAATCTACCACCTTCATTAGCTTGATGTCATCTGCAAACTTAACCAATGTGCTTGTGACTCCTCATTCCAAATCATTTATAAAAATATGAAACAAAAGAGGTGAGAAACAGACCCTTGTGGAACTCCATTCGTAACAATTTCCCATGACATTTCCTGTACCACCACCTTCTGGATTCTTCCGGTCAACTAGTTACGTATCCATTGTAATATACATCCACTGATTCCCACTTTCTTTACTTTCAGGACCAGCTTCTCAAGAGGAACTGTATCAAAGGCCTATTGAAATCCAGATATACAACTTCTACAGCCTTACCCTTATCAAGCTCCCTTGTCACACTATCAAAGAAAACCAGTAAATTAGATTGGCAAGATCTCCCCTTCATGAAGCCATATTGGCTACCGGTTTGAAATCATGCATCCTCTTTTGCTCAAGCTTAATCAGTCAGTGCACAATCTTGGTATTCAGCTTGGTTCCTATTCCAGCTGTCTTTCATTGCTAAGGTCATTGTTTTTATTTCCAGACATTTCCCATTTACTCCCTTATACTCACTCCATTCTATTGCTAAAATACTCATTCATGCCTTCATTACCAACATTCTCCACAGCTGCTCCACCCAATCAACTTTAAGATTTTTGTCTTGATTTTCATTTCCCCTTCTTTATTTGCAACAAACCTAATTCACCCTTCTCTGTATCATATTGCTAAATGCTTTGAGATGTTCATTCAATATGAAAGACACTGTGTAAGTGAATGTTGTTATTCTTTGAAACAAAAAACACATTGGTCATTTTCAATCTACGACTGCTTGTGGGACACTGCTGTGCGCAATTGGCTGCCGCATTTCGCCCACAAATATACAATCAATTCACTTTACAGCATATTCTGTGAAGCACTTTGAGACGTGAAAAGCGCTATATCAAATGCAAGGATTATTATTATTATTTCATTTTCTTTTAAGGCAAGCCAAAGCACTGAAATATTCTTTAATCTCATAATTGACTCAGGTTTGACTTGTAATAATTTGTTCCATATCCAAATTAGCCTTTATTTGCAAAACCTCCTTTGTAAGCTTCTAGTAATAATGTTGAGTTGATGCCTCCATCATAGTAAATATGTTACCTTGCTTGTAATTTGCGGAGTCCGATTAGATGCTTTTCTTGTTCCCATGCCGTCTCTTTAGAAACTAATCCAATCCGTTCAATTGTTTGTCTCTCAGTCTCTAGTCGAATTCTATGATCTAGCTCAAAATCCTGCAAAAAATTATAATAGATAACAAAATAACCCTGGGTTCAATCTCACTATTATAAAAATATACAATAGCTGCAGTTAATTTGTAAGGTTTACAAATGTCTTTACATTAACTGACAAAATGATAGATGCGCAAAATCAATCTTTCACAAAAACGTGACATTTTCCAAAACAAAATCATAATTACAGTAAAATAAATACAATTATTCCTTAAATGATTCTATTAGAAATTATTAAAATAAACCTCTCTATTCAGTTGCACGTGCTCAGGGAGGGCTGCATTTCTACTTTGTAGTGCTTTAAACTCTTTACAAAGCGTAGCTAGCTTTATCCTCTTGTCAGCCTTTTCCTCTTCTGCTAGCTTTACCATTAGGTCATGTTCTGCCTTCTGTTTTGCATTTTCAATGCTAAGTATAAAACAAAAACGTTATGTATAGTGATTAAATGTTTTATCCCTTTAATAAATACTATATCATAGAATCAGAGATTCACAGCACAGAAGGTATTCTGCCTGCTGTGTTTGTACAAGCAGTAGCTCCCTCAATTGGAGCAATGCAATTATGGAGTGACTATAATCCCATTCTTCTACTCTTTTTACAACCCCTAAATACTAATGTTCTTCAAGCAATCAATTGATTTGTTGCTAAATGGTGTTGGGTTCTCATTCTAAATTGAAACCATAAAATTACTAATTACAATTCTCCAAGTTACTAATTTCAGCAAAATACACACGTTAAAGCAATTCAAAATTATCTGCGACCTCCCCCCCCCAATAAGTTTAAATTATCTGTTCATTTGGCTATTTGTTAAGGACTGTAATGAACCCATCTGCTTCTTTCAAGTCCACATTTTCAGCTTTTCCAGATCTTTCTGAATTTGAAAATACTGATTTTCAACAATGTGATTAACTTTGATAGCAGGCCAACCTCCAGATCATAATAGTAAAGTGAACACTGATCTCTGGAGCACAAAACAAACATTAGGCTCACATTGGACACCATCCCATGAGCCATTAAGGTTACTTCCACACTAAATAAAACCACTCAACTCTTGTGTCTGTGATGGTTTTTTGCAGAGCAATCCACTAAGTCTCAATCAGCTACCTTTTCTCCAAACTCCTTCAAATTACTTCCTTTTTAGGTATCAATCTTGAAAGTTAATATGGATCCTGCCTCTGCTCCTGGCAGTCATTCCACTTCCTAACAACCTCCGTGACCCCATCACTCCCACCCTCACCCGACTCCAATGGCTCCCCATCCCCCAGAATATCGAGTTCAAGATACTCGTCCTCACCTTTAAGGCGATCCATGGCCTTGCCCCCTCCTACCTCTCTGACCTGCTGACTCCCTACCAATCTGCCCGCTCCCTCGGTTCAGCAGGCTCCGGCCTGCTCCATGTCTCCCACCCGACCCACCCTATCATCGGTGGCCGGGCTTTCAGCCTCTCTGCCCCCACACTCTGGAACTCAATCCCACGGTCCCTTCGCCTCGCTTTCTCCCTTGCCTCCTTCAAGGCCGATCTCAAGATTCTTCTCTTCGATCGTGCCTTTGGTCTCCCTCCCACCTCTCTGCCTTCCCTCACCCCTACACTACCCCTCCCCCATGTTCGGTCCCCGACACCTGACTGTTCAGCGCTTCGGGATGTCCTCCTGACATGAAAGGCGCTTTATAAATGTAATTTTGTTGTTGTTATTCTGGAAAAATATTATGTTGGAGAAAGTAAAATGTTTTTCTAAAATCCGTGCACCCACTGTGAAATACTATTAGGAATTTAAATTGTTTCTGTATCTTTCTTCAATGTGGTGTACTTTTCCATGACAACTATAGTTTATAATGTCTGCATGCCATTTTTTAATTTTAAATATATTCATATATGACTATATGACTATCTGTAACATCATAATACCTGTAGGCATTTGGGTCATCAATGTCCTCTGCTGCTTTAACTCTGTCAAGATCTTTCTATTTAAAAAATAGATACAAAAACAAAATTTAACATATTGTAAATTAGAAAATAAAGTTATCCAACTGCAAAAAATAAACATTTGTTTGTGTTTACTTACTAAAGTCAGGAATATGGAGGATAAATTTAGGTCATAAATGGCTTGAGAAAACAATTTATAATTAGATGGTGAGATTGTGATATGCTAATTATAATTAATTGGAACATGCTTACCCTTGGAAATGGAACATCAGCTCGTTTGCCCTCCAAAAACTGAGCATTATCCACCTGAAGAAGCAGGTTGAAGACAAAGATGTTGCCATCATTGCCACATGTCACCAAGAACTCACTGTTGTAACTAGTGATGATTTGTTGAATATAACCACAATCATTGTCGTGAACACTGAGGCTCCAATATGCTTTCATGGAAACCAAATTTAGATCATGTGGTAGCAAAGGGTAGATTCGCACTGATCCATTTTGCATCCCACAAAAGAGCAATTGTTTTTTCGTGCTACAAAATAAGATATGGAAGTGAGGATATTTCATAGGTGCAATTGATTACATATTATTTCCTCTACTTCAAAAGAAAACAAAGCTATACGGCTTATTTTCCTCCCCCCAACCACTTTCTGTCAGATTTACTGCATAAACATATAGAGAATGGCTACTTGGATGAAGACTGAAAGTTGGTGTCTAACAATAAGTCAGGGCTTGAGAAATTTGGAAAGAAAAAATATTGTGAGCACCTAACCCATCAAATGAAAGTAGGTAAGTAATTTATGTTGGAAGGGGAATGAAAGGCATTTTCCTTTGACTTGTGAAGGAGGCTTCTGAAGCACTGACAGACATTTTGATAAACACTAAAGTCAATAAATACTAAATGCTGATCAGAGTATTTTATAATTTGAATGCAACTTCTTTCTGCAAGTCTACCTCTCCAAATTCTGCCGATGAGTCAGATTGGTTGGTCTGTCATCAGCAGTGCTCTGGAGTACTGTAGACCCACCTGCCTCAGGAACTAGACTGCCGAGATTGCCACAGAGACTGAATTGTTTCCAACATTCTGTTGCCAAGCAAGTATCTTCGGGGTCTGCTCAGCTCCAAAGGGACCCAGTTACCTTACCTCCAGGGATGGTAGTCAATTTGACCTTATTAATATGTACAATAAACAGGTGGTTACCCAGCACTGACCCTTGAGTCATACAGTTAATATCTGCTACTATTTAAGTAGGTGCACTTTCACTTTGTTCCCTTTTACCTTTTAGTTATGACTCTCGCTATCCAGTGTGAAGGGCCTTTGTCAAAAGCTTTTTGGAAGTCTAGGTAAACAACAACATACAGCTTCGCCCAGTCAAATTGGCATGCCATTCACCCACTGCGGGGCAGAAATTCTACCTAGGTCTAGATTTACACTTTTGTCTTAGCATTTCAGTGTTAAACATTTGGCAAAGTCTGCAATACAATCTTCAGTTTTTGAGTTTTTCGGGAACGTCTTTTAAGAATTATAGAAAACCAGCATCAAAGTTAAATCTGAATTTAAGATTTAAGGGAGGGGGTGGAGTGAGGTGGAGTGTGCAAATTTAAGGGAGGGGGTGAGGCAGAGGGCTTGTGGGATGGAATTCAAGAGGGTGGGGGAAGAATGGCAGAAGGTCTGCCCACCAATGGTGGGGCAGGCAAGGCGAGGGACGTGAAGCAGGCCAGAGCCTGCTGATCAGAGGGAGCGGGCAGGATGGTAAGGGGTTAGGAGGTCGCAGAAGTTGGGGGGAGCAAGGCCATGGGGGGCTTTGAAGGTGAGGACCAGGGCCTTGAACAGTATCCTGTGTGTGATGGGAAGCCAATAGAGTTCGGCAAAGATGGGGATGATAGTGTCTCAGAGCCTGGTGGGGAGGACACGGGCTGCAGAGTTCTGGATGATCTGCAGCCTATGGACAGAGGAGTTGGGGAGACCAACAAGCAGGGAGTTTGGTAGTCAAGCCTGGATGCTATGAATGCATGTATGAGTGTCTCGGCGGCCTGCGATGTGAGACAGTGGCGGAACCAGGCGATGTTGTGGAGGTGGGGGAAGGCAGAGCAAGTCATGGTATGGATTTGGGGTAGAAAGGATAGTTAAGGGTCAAAGAAGACGCCAAGGTTTTGGACTAGCTCAGTGAGGTGGAGTGTGCAAATATGGATGATGATGCTGTCAGTGCCTGAGGTATGGAGGCGCTGACGAGAACCAATCAGGAGGACCTTGGTCTTGTTGACGTTCAACTGAACAAAGTTAGCTCTCATCCAGGACTTGATGTCTGACAGACATTCTGTCAGGGCAGCAGTGGACCTGGAGTCGAGGGTGGAGGCAGAGGGATAGAGTTGTGTATCATCCACACACATGTGGAAGTTGACCCCATGTCTGCGGATGATGTCATCAAGAGGGAGCACACAGATATTGAAGAGAGGTGACCGAGGACAGAGCCCTGACGAACCCCGCACGAGATGGTGCGGGGACTAGAGGAGAAACCATTTGTGGAGATGAAGTTGAGAAGTAGGATCTGAACTATTCTAGGACAGAACCATGAAAGTTGAGGTGAAAGGAGACGCGGTGAATGAGGATACAGTGGTCAACGGTATTGAAGGAGGCAGAGCAGTCAAGAAGGACGAGGAGACAGAGGAAGGCCTAGTCGTAGACGGACAGAATGTAATTTGTCACTTTGACCAGGGCTGTTTCTGTGCTGTGGGCAGCACAGAAACCGGATTGGAGAGGTTTGTGAAGAGAGTGGCAGGAGCGGAAGGAGCGAAGCTGGGAAGCAACGACTTGTTCCAGGACCTTGGAAAGGAAAGGGAGGTTGGAGATGGGGCAGTAATTTAAGAGCAGGGATGGGTCCAGGGAGGAGTTTTTATGAATAGGAGTAATAACAATAGCAGCATAAGTGGACAAAGTCAAAGAATGCAAATAGAGTCATTGGTTTTATGTCCAGAGGAAGAGTATAAAATTAGGGAATTAACCCAAAATTTATACAAAACCTTTGTTAGACCAGTTTCGTAGTACTGAGTGCTGTTCTGGTTTCCATTACAAGAAAGATATAACATTAGAGAGAATACATTGTAGATTTAAAAGGAATGAGTAGTTACAGTTACTAAGAAAGATTGGACAGATTCCAGTTATTCTTTCTAGAGTTGAGACAATTGAGAGAGGATTTGATAGAGGTTTTTATGAAAGCATTTGATAAGATGGATGTTGATAGGCCGTTCCACTTGTTGATAGTCCAAAACTAGAGGGCATTAATATAAGTATAAGATAGCTAGTAGTAGATCTAATAAGAAGGAACTTCTTCACGTAGAGGGTGGTGAGAATGTGGAATTCACTATTAAACGCTGTGGTGAAGCAAATAGTATCAATGTATTTTAGAGAAAATCTAATGCACACATGAGGGAGAAGTGAATATAGGGGAATAGGTGAGGAGAATAGAAGGGGTGGGAGCTTACGTGAAGTTTCAATACCAGTAATAGACCTGTTGGCCAAATAGTCTGTTTCTGTGCTGATCACTCTATGTATATAACAGGAGCCACGTGAGATTCTCAAGAGCTTTTTCTTATTAAATTTATTACTTTTTTCCTATTGCTAATCCTCTTTTAAAGAATTATAAATTAATTTAACTTATTAGGTAAAAAGTATAACTGAAATCTGGCTTACTTGAAATGCATTTTTCTAATTGGATTTTCATCTGAATTTTCAACAGCTAAGTAATGAAATGGCTCTTGCTCAGTCTCAATGTTCTGTTGACTGCTGAATTTGCATTGGTAGAGATACCCAGCATCATAACCTCCCTGAAAAATATTCAAAACATTCAATAAGAAGTACTTAGTCTATTTATAAAAATAATGATTGACTGGTCCATTTAAAAAGGACAGAAAAAAATTACATTCATTACATTAAATGTTTACAGTAACAGCTAGCAGTAAGACTGCAAAATTTTAAACTAGCAGAATAATGCTTTCAACTTAATAGACCTGACATTTATGAAACACGAATATACTCAATTTGTACAGTTTCCATTTCCTGATAAAATATTTCTATTTGATGAGCTGTACTTCTATTTGCCAGGTTCGCTGTTCTATCATTAGTGCTTTGGAAGACTACAGATCTCCCTGACTCAGAAACAGGACTATCAAGACCACTACAGAAACTTCACTCAAGCTGTGTTGCCAAACATGTCACCTTGGAGACAGCTCAGCTCCAAGGAGCCTTCAGTTACCTACCTCCCAAACAGGATAATTACCAGTTGATTATTTGACATTCAACAAGTGAACGATTGAGTTTTCATTAGATCTACAGAAGGTACGACAAACTCCTTGTGAACTTCCTGGTGAATTTCATAGATCAGCATAAAATACATGAGAGCACTGCCACTATCCGCCTACCCACAGCTTGGAACATATACATAAACATATCAAACAGCTAAATGCTTAGTTAATGAATCTTGCAAATACAGTATTAGCTTTTTATGTATGCCTAAATGGCTTTTGAAACCTACTAAAGACAACCAGAATGTCCCTGGCTGAGAATGGAAGCCACAAAGTATGGGGCTTGGCTCTTCAGGAATGTAAATTGGCGGGAGTTCTTCCTCTTCCTCAGGCTCTTCTTCTGGGAGATCCTCTTCTGAAATCTCTTCTCCACTTTCTTGCAGTGCCTTTAGTAATTCTTCTCTTTCTTTCTTCTTTTTTTCCTTTGCCTCCTCCCTGCGTTTAATCTCTTTTTCTTGCTGTTACAACAAATGAACAAAAAGTGCAATCAACCCAAATATTGTATCGGATATTACCAAACCAATAATACAGCTGTATTCAAATTCACACTCAAAATATTCACCTATCTTTCAGCTTTCAGATAGTGATTCAGCTGTTTAGGATTTCTAATATATTTTTTAGCATAATTGCAATATTTCTAGGTGTACTTTTTATTTGTATTTGTATCCAATACTACCTAATGCAACAGAGGGAAAAAAATGATAGCAAAGTAACCTAATGTTGTATTGATTATGTTGTCACTGTGACCAAGTGACAGCATTCTTGCATCTAAATCAGATGTTTTTTGATCTGAACTCAGAATTACCAAAGCGCAGTGAAGTAGAAATTATACTATTGCCTTACAAACCCAACACAACAACAACTTGCATTTATATAGTTCCCTTCATGTGGGTAACATCTCAGAGCATTGAACAATGGTGTAGTCGATTCTGAGTCAGGGAGAAAGGGGAGGTAACCGTAGGCACAGTAGAAGATTAAAGCCTTTAGGTGGAGACGGAGGGGAGAGGTTGAGTGACGCAAAGAAGGCCCGAACTGAAATCGACCTGTTCTGAGATAGGTAGGATCCTGGCAAGGACTGGATGATAGGAGTCTAGATTGTTATCGGTGAGGATATGGGGAGGGGGGGGGGGAAGGAGTTTGGAATCAACTGGATTTTGTGAATCGTGGAGCTGGGGAGGCCTATGAGAAGTGCATTGGAGAAATTGAGGTAGGAGGTGAAGAAAGGGTGGATGAGGATTTCAGCAATTTTGAACGTAATGTAATGTCGGAGGTGGGTTATGAGTCGGAGATGAAGGAAAGTGGTCTTGGTCAGGGATCAGATGTGGGGTAGGAAGGACAATTTGGAATCAAACCGGACGCCACGGTTGTATATAGTTTTATTGAGTTTGAGAATCGCCTGAAGAAACTTATAAATCCAATACATATTAGCATTTTGTTCCTGGTAGAGAAATGGTGAACTGCTTCAGGCAACAGATTTTGACATGAAGGGGGGAGGCTGTTGCAACTATAACAGAAATAATGACCTAATTCTTATGGGGGACTGTCCATGAAAAATGAGATTTAACGTGTGTTCAACTTAACACTGTTTTAATTGAGAGGGCTCAAATTTATGGGCATGACATTAACAGAATTTGTGTGTATGACATTAACATAATTTCAGCTACTGATACATGCTCGTAACTAGACGTTAAGTAGAGCTGCCTTCCACACTTGTAAATAGGATTCTAAACATGTTTTCGGGACTAAAAGGACCGCAAATTAACTCAGGCCTTAAACATCTTCTAAAGTACAGGATTCTGTATGCTGATAGTGACTTCTTACTAAGCAGTCTTTTTACAATGACCAGGCTTAAGAGGTTATCAGGGTTGTTTTCAAACCAGAAAAATTTGGAATTTTGGATGTATGTGCAAATCCTATTTGTTTTTAAACCTCCACAAATTCCATGACACGTCTTAATAAACAGTCAAGGTTTACTGCATGTTTTTTTTACTATGCGGTCTTTTACTGTACGGTCGAGGCCGAGCGGGCGAGGCAGTGGCTGAGGGCTCAGGGTTCCAGGCGAGGAGGTTCCAGGTGCCGAGATGCCATTTCAAAATCTCCCATCTGGATCAACGGCCCAAACCACCCACGTGACGTAATTTCCACACTCCATGCACATTTCCATTTTTCAAACCTTTGAGGCTAAGTATTCTTTCTTATTTCTATTTCTCACCTCTTTCCTGTCCTCCTCCGTTACCACCCCGTCCACCATCTCCCTCCCTCTCTGGCAAACAAAACCATGAATGCCAGTCCCTCTTGTCTTCCCTCTGTGCAGTCTCCCCTAGCCCCCGCTATGCCTGCCGGCTGACGATGCGTCGCTCATTGCTCTGCTCCCAGTCTCGGCATGTGTGTTTGGCTGGCGCCTGACCCAAGCCACCCCCTCCCAAATGTCCCTGATACTACTCCTCACCCTTCGTTACTTCCCACTCAGTCCTTTTCTCCTACTGCACTCCATGTCTTCTTTCCTTCCTGGACGCTCCTTCAGCCTACCTCTGCTCCAGCCTGGGCACTTTCCACCGGGCTCACCGCGACACTCGGCGATGGTTCTCCTAGAGCAGCCACCCCAACTGCCCCATCACCCACATACTCCACAAGGCTCGTCTCCCCTGCCTCCAACAGTGAACCCCACTTCTGATCCACATCCTTCCCAACTCTCCCCACTCACACTACACACACAGCCCCAACCCAATGCCGCAGCAGGGTGGCCCTCATCTCCAAAACCTCGTGGCTCCTTCCTCATGGATATCTCCTCCCTCCTCTCATCCGTCCCTCTGCACAAAATGCCTCACATAATGGCCGATTTCAGACTTCCATCTTAATTCCCCCTGCCCCATCTCCTCTGACTTCACCACCCTCCTCTTCACTTTAAACTTCACCCTCCACATAAACTCCACGACCCACAATCGTGGCCACTACCTCAACCTCGTCATCACCCATGCCCTTGACATCTCTAATCTGACCATCACAGACAAGGCCATCTCAGACCACTTCCTCATCTCCCTCTCCTCTCATATGATCCGTCCACACCCCCTTGTTTGTCCCTCGTGCCCTCCGTTCCACCATCGGTAGCCATGCCTTCAGCCACTATGCCCCGAAACTCTGGAATTCTCTCCCTTAATCCCTCCGCCTTGCCCCCTTCCACCCCATCTTCAAATCCCACCTAAAGGCCTTCCTTTTTGATCGTGCTTATGGTCACCTCCTCCTCCCTCTCCCCCGGCTCGTTGTCAGACTCCACTCCTGCAAAGTGCTCCAGGACACTAACCTGCACGAAGGGTGTTTTATAAAAGCAAGTTGTTGTTATTACAACTCATCCTCAATAACAGCAGTAACTTTGAAAATCAAATACATGGCTATTTTGTTGTGGGTTACACCACATAAAGTCTAGTGTGGGGTAATGCCACTACTTCAGCTCTCGGCATTCCATCATTTCAAACATTAAAGAAAGAAATCTACAATTTAGTTTTTCTTATAACCCACTACCAGTTACATGGTCAACATCATAATTCTTTCCCAATACATACTTTAAATAAAAGCAATGCTGCACTCCTATGTTATAATTTTCCCTTACTGGCTCTAGCATCTCTTGAATTTCCCAATTGCAGGAAAAGAAGCTGGAGATACAAATGTTATTGTTAGCCCGTTAGCAATAAACCATTTTTATATTATGATAGTTTTATGTAAAAAATATGATACATAGATTACCTCCAATCTGGATTTGATGCTTTTGAAACAAAAAACCTTTTTTTTGAGGTGTGAAATGTCATAAGTTGAGGAATGATCCACATCAATTTCTGAAGTCCGAATTTGAACCACAAAACCATTTTCACAATATACAAGCAAAAAATGTGAGTCCTAAGGAACAGAAACAGACAATTGATAAATTACAAACTTTTTAAAAACTCAAAAACACATTTTACTGCATATGGTTTTGGTGACTGGCTAATGATGTCTGTAAAATATCCAGGCTGAGCTACGGTACAATAATGATCACATGCAAACAAGAGTTGTCATCGAGGACATTTTGAGGGATTTAGGAGAAATCTTTCCAATCCTGGATCACACAATATGCACCATAAAAAGTAACATAAATTATCACAATTTCCTGCATCCTTCACATTTAGCAAAGATTTCCGAATGCTGCTTGGCATATGGGTGATGTCAAGGTTCGGAGGAGAGTGGAATCCCAGATACCCCCTGGCTGAGCTGATCCCTGCAGATTTTAATAATAACAGAATTTAATGCTGTTACATACATGTGGAGACTGAATCCACTCTATGATCACAACTGTTCCTGGTACATTGATGAATCCTATTGGCTCAAATTTGTTTCCCACAGTAAAGATAAAAACTGTCTTGTCTATGCTCTGAAAGAGAAAACATTTAAATAATTTTAGTACATAGTATTAATCGAAAAATGCAAACACATTTTTTTCCTTTTCCAGGTGTCAGCTGCATTCAGTTGGTAGAACTTCTGAACACTAAAGTTGGGTTCAAATTTCATCCGATTTTAACCTGATTGTCCAGTCCGAACATTCGTACCTGTCACGGTAAGTCTGTGTTCAATCAGTTTGCATTAAATATTTATCGATTTATGGCATAAGTCACTCTAATGGAGTTTTGGGGGGTACTGTTTGTGGGACCCACCTGTGTTCAAATTGGCTGCTGCATTTACTGACAAAAACACAGCAAGTACACTGCAGAAATTTGATACAATGTTTAAACAGTTGTACTACATGTACAGCAATACTTACTCCTGTAGCCACCTTGTCTCCTTGTTGGCTAAAAGAAATTTCGGTTACATTTGCTACATGTGGCTTCAATGCCTGCTTTAGCCGGATTTCAGCCAAACCAATTTTTGTTCGGCCAGCAACAAAGGCAAGTCCTTTAGGATTATACACTTCCAAAATACGAAGAACACCATCCTCAAATCCTACAACAATGATATCTCCTTTTGCACTGACCTGTTAGCAGAAAATATATATAATTTTTTTAAAAGATTCATTTTATATTAATTACTATAATATTTCACAATAAAAAGCTGTTGCTTAAGAGAAGAGCCAGAATGAAAAAAAATTAGAAAAGATATGGGCTGGTAGTAGAAAAAAAATCACTATGTTATTGTATAGAAAGTTACAGCACAGGCCTATAGTCTGCCGGAGTTTGTGCTCTACATTTTAAGTGGGTTTTGGCTGGGATAGGACAATACTAAATAATCATTGATATTACGTGTCCAGGAGAGACAGAGATGGAAAAAAGGGAGGAAGGACATCAAGCATTCATCAAAACAATCAGGATAATATAAAAGGCAATGTTTAAATGGAGTCTCCCTGGAGAGAAATGAGAAGTAATAAGAGATCTGTCACTAACATTGACATTCTCTCATCCCCCGTTCCCCGCTCGGCCTATCCCCTTACTCCTCTGGAACCTTCCCTTCTTTGAGCACTTTATCCTTTATCACCCCTCCAACCTTTCCCTCAAAATTCTCCTTATCTATCTACACCCAAGCCCTCCCCCACCTTCCTCCCCGACATTTCACCCTCCTATCGTCCCTCTCCCTCTGCTCCGAATGCCTCCTCATCCTAGGCGACTTCAACTTTAACTTCACCCCCTCCTGATCTACCACTGCTGACTTCTCCCTTATCTCCACGCTCAACCTTTCCCTCCACATCTACTCCACCACGTCCTCACTCACCCTCTCGACCTGGTGATCACTCGGGGCCTCACCGTCTTGGACCTCACCATCATCGACAAAGTGACCAAAAACAACAAGGGGGTCGGGATCGGGGAGGGTGGAGGCAGGGGGGGATGCAGGGGGATTGAAAGCACGGTCGAAGAGGAGGGTTTTGAGATGGGTCTTGAAGGAGGTAATGGAGGGGGTTAGCCGGAGGGACTGCGTGATGGAACTCCAGAGGGTGGGGGCAGAGTGGCAGAAGGCCTGCTCACCAATAGTGGGGCGAGCGAGGTGGGGGAAGCAGGCCGGAGCCCACTGAGTGGAGGGTGCGAGCAGAATGGTAGGAGTTTAGGAGGTCGCAGATGTAGGGGGGAGCAAGACTGTGGAGGGCTTTGAAGGTGAGGACCAGGATCTTAAACTGTATTCTCTGTGTGATGGGAAGCCAGTGGGGAGGTGATAGGTCACAGAGCCTGATGCGGGAGATGGCACAGGCTGCTGAATTCTGGATAATCTGAAGCCTATGGAGAGTGGAGTTGGGGAGCCCAACAAGCAAGGAGTTTGCATAGTCAAGCCTCGATGTAATGAAAGCGTGTATGAGGGCTTTGGTGGCCTGCGGAGTGAGACAGTGGCGGAGAAAGGCAATGTTGCGGAGGTGGGGGAAGGCAGAGCAGATCATGGCACAGATGTGGGATAGAAAGGATAGTTGAGAGTCAAACAAGACCTTGAGGTTCCGGACTGGCTTGGTGAGGTGGAGTGTGCAATCATGGATGGTGATGCTGTCAGTGCCTGAGGTGTGGAGTTGCTGACGGGAGCCAATCAGGAGAGCCTCGGTCTTGTTGACAGTCAACTGAAGAAAATTAGCTCTCATCCAGGACTTGATGTCTGATAAACGTTCTGTCAGGACTGCACTGGTCCTGGAGTCAAGGGTGGAAGTGGAGAGGTACAGTTGGGAGTCATCTGCATACATGTGGAAGTCCACCTCATGTCTACGGATGATGTCACCAAGAATGAGCATGTAGATATTCAAGAGGAGGGGACCAAGGACAGAGCCCTGAGGAACGCTGCACGGGATGGTGCGGGGGCTAGAGGAGAAACTCCTCTGGAACTTTCCCATCCTTTGAGCACCTTACCCTTTTTCACCCCTCGAACCATGGGCGGCTCGGAAACCCAATTGGAGGGGTTCGTGAAGGAAGTGGCAGGAGAGGAAGGAGCGAAGCTGGGAAGCAACAATTCGTTCCAGGACCTTGGAGAGGAAAGGGAGTTTGGAGATGGGGTGGTAATTTGAGAGTAGAGATGGGTCCAGGGCGGGTTTTTCAGGATAGGAATGATGACGGCTGTTTTTAATGGGGCGGGAACAGTACCAGTGGACAGGAAGAGGTTTATGATGTCTGTGAGTAGAGGGGCAAGAAGGTGGAGTTGGAAGATAAAGAGAGGGGTAGGAATGGGGTTGAGGGAGCAGGTGGTCAGTTTCATGCAGGTTATAGAGGTGGTGAAATAGGAGTGGGAGACTGGGTTGAAGGTGTGGAGGGAGGGATGTGTAGGGGCTGGGGTGAGAGGGGGAGATGGGGAGGGTATAAGAGACGGAATGGCAGAGGCAGTGAGCGGATCCCCTCAACTTTGGATTCAAGGAAGTCCAGCATCGCTTCACAGTTGGCATTTGAGATGAGAATGGCGTGACAGGGTGGGCGGAGGAGCCAATTGGTGATGGAGAAGAGGATTGGGGTTGTCCTTCGCCTCCAAGATTGTTCTGGAGTGGAACAACGATTTAGCAGAGGTGAGGGCGGGGTGGTAAGATTTGATAAGGTCCAGCCAGATTTGCCTATGGACAGTTATGTTTGATTTAAGCCAGGTGCATTCAGCGGCACATCTCGTGCGGCATTCCTCAGGGCTCTGTCCTTGGTTCCCTCCACTTCAATATCTATATGCTCCCACTTAGTGACATTATCCGCAGACATGAGGTCAACTTCCGCACGTCTGTGGAATATACCCAACTGTACTTCTCTGCCTCCACCCTTGACTCCAGGACCACTGCTGGCCTGACAGAATGTCTGTCAGACATCAAGTCCTGAATGAGAGCTAACTTCAGTTGAACTCAACAAGACCGAGGCCCTCATGATTGGCTCCCGTCAGTGCTTCTACACCTCAGGAGCTGATAGCATCACCATCTATGGATGCACACTCCACTTTACTAAGACAGTTCAGAACCTTGCTGTCTTGTTTGACCCTCAACTATCCTTTCTAACCCACATTCGTGCCGTGACCCGCTCTGCCTTCCCCTACCTCCGCAATATCACTCGGCTCCGCCACTGTCTCACACCACAGGCCACCGATACCCTGATACATGTATTCATAACATCGAAGGTTGACTATGCAAACTCCCTGCTTGTCGGACTACTCAACTCTTCCCTCCATTGGCTGCAGATCATTCAGAACTCCGCAGCCCGTGTCCTCTCCGTACCAGGCTCCGTGACCCTATCATTCCCCTCCTCGCCCGTCTCCACTGGCATCCCATCGCACACAGGACACTGTTCAAGATCCTGGTCCTCACCTTCATAGGCCTCCATGGCCTTGCTCACCCCCTACCTCTGCGACCTCCTAACACCCTACCATCCTGCCTGCTCCCTCCGCTCAATGGGCTACAGCCTGCTTCATGTCCCGCCTCGCCCACCCCACCATTGGCGGGGTACTCTTCTGCTACTCTGGCCCCGCCCTCTGGAGCTCTATCCCGCAGTCCCTCCTCCTTGCCCCCTCCCTTGCCTCCTTCAAGACCCATCTCAAGACCCTCCTCATCGATCGTGCTTTCAATCACCCTCCACCCTCCTCAATCCCGACCCCAGCTCGGGTCTAAAACACTAACTGTACCCCTCCTTGGGACTCCCTCCTGACGTGAAAGACGCTATACAAATGTAATTATGTTGTTGTTGTTGATTGGTAAAATACTAGACCCCCAAATAATGGAAGAGCAAAAGGACAAGCTTGAAAAGCAATTTAGGGAGAAGAACTGCAATTATAGAAGAGGTTAATAAAAATGGAAGAAGTGAATTATCTAAACATAGATTTGGATGAGGAAAATGTTGGTCAACAAAATGGAGAATTTGTTTCTATATTATTAATAATCCAACAAGTAAGGAAGCAATGGTCCATTTGTTTCAATGAAATAAAGTGGAACAAGTAGGCAAAGAATTTTACCAGGGTCTTGTAAAGTATTGCCCTTAAAAGATTCTGATTAAATAAAACTTGATTATTTTTTAAAGGTATTATTTAATTTAACACTTTAAGTGCTGACATACATTTAGGCAGATGTCTATTAAAGACAGGTAGAGAGCAAGAATCAAGGAAAAAGTGAGAAAGAGAAAGTCATAGACAATTAAGAGAACTGTGAGATTAAAGTAAAGAGAAAATGCAGAGACACACACAGAGAAAGAGATGGCTGTTACAGGGTGGTACTACAGTAAAAGTATAGAGTAAGGCTTGGTTGGCATTGTAGCCGATTGTATGCTGACATGAAAAATGCACTGTTTTCATATTCATAATGAGGTTCTCTAATGTGCAATATATAGAATATATACTTACTGAAAGAGGTGCCCATTTTAATGCTGTTCCTCCCTGTTTAAACTTTATGCTGGTAAGTACTTGCTTTCCCACAAAGTCATAGATTCGTACTGTGCCTGAATTTATATAATAATACAAGAATTAAACCATGTCTGAAATACCCAACCTTCATGCTGACTAACCTTTATCAGTTCATACTCATCTAAGTAATCACTAACTCTGCGTCTGAAAAAGAATTATTGTAATTTTGCCACTACCAATATTAAACTCACTTATCTATTCTTACTTGGAATTTTGATCTTATAGAAAGGCGGAACAGACTCGAAGGGCTGAATGGCCTACTCCTGTTCCCATGTTCCTAATTCTTTTGTTAATAATATTAGCAATTTAAATAGCTAACATTAGCAACTATATAATTGTTTATATTAGCTAATTATTATGCTAATTATTATGCTAATAATAGCTTAATTATTATTAGCTCCAATCAAGATTAGCCTAACCTTTATTTATAATAGTAATAAAAATAATCTTGAACTCAGTACACATGTATTTCGGATGAGATGTCCTTCGGATGAGATGTTAAACCCATCTGCCTGTTCAGTTGCACGTTAAAGATCCAATGGCACTATTCAACAAGAGAAGGAAGCTTCTCCCTGTGACCTGGCCAACGATCCCCCTGCATTCACTTCAATGCTGTTTGTGGGACATTGCTGTGCACAAATTGGCTGCTGCATTCGCCCACTAAACACACAACCACTACACTTTACAGTATATCCTGTGAAGGGCTTTGGAATGTACATCTGACATGTACTTCTAAGGCGCTATACCAAATGTAAGGATTATTATTATTATAATTAACTCATGGTTTACACACAATGCACTTGCATTTACAAATGGCTTAGATACATTACATAATAGTTTCCTATTTAATGGTGGAATATTTATTTGTATATGGAAAGTGAAGTAATGAATAAGAATGGCCAGAAAACTCAATGGTCAATGGGATGACATAGAAGCTTTCAAGAAATATTTTTTCATGCCTGAATTTCTTTTAAAATATTTATAGCACCACTTCACCATGCTTGATTGGGTAATTGAACTCATTGACGTTAGCATTTTTGCGAAATACAGTTGACAATTATTATTGATCTTTATATTATTTAAGTATATATACAAATAGTCTTAAGATGGATTATGTTGAAAATTGGTTAACAATGAAAATATATTTTCATATTTATTTAAACGTCATTCTAGAACGATCAAGATTAAGACTTCACCTTTTCATACAAATAGAGTTGAATGAATTCAAGCATTTCAAAAAATATTCCAAAAAATGAAATATTTATTTAAACAAAAGAAACAAAACCTACGATCAAGAGCAGTTGTTGCCATAAGATGAGTCAGAGGTGAAAGATCCATGCCCTGGATCGAGCCGGCGTGGAAAGAAAATATACTCTCGGGATCTTGAGTCTAAAAGAATTCACGTAAATTGCGTCAATAAAAGTTACTGAATAGTTGTTAAAAACTAATTGTAGGTAAGGTATTGTGTACAGTGACTTTTTAAAAAGGTATATATACATTTTTGCCTTTATCCATGTTCTATGAAATAGAAAATGTTATTGCTTTACCATTAATACCCAGGTAAGGACGGATCAGGTTCAAAGTAAACATCTGCCACCCCACAATGTGCTTTAATCTCAGTGACAGAAAGGAGATCAAAGTGAGAAAACGGGGAGAGAAAGCAGTTTAATAGACAAATGAGAAATAGACAGTTGAGCAACTGCACATGGACTGTGAAACACAGGGTTGTATAAATATGAGAGAGAAAGAGAGATATTGATTTTCAGATGGAGAAAAATGATACAACATCACATGATCGGTCTGGCTGAAGAAGGCCCTATGGCCCATAAGATCTCATCTCTCCAGAACTCCACCCTATCATCCCCCATTACTGCATTAAACTGCTTTTTAAATGAGTCTTGTGTCCTGGCCTCTGCCACCTTTCCTTGCAATAGGTTCCAATCGTTGATTACCCTCTGCATAAAGAAAAACATCCTGGTGTCTGTCCTGAAGTTGTCCTTTATCATTCTAAACCTATGTCATGATACTTCTTAATGTATTGATCTGGGTTTACTTTACCAATCCCAATTACAATTTTGTGCACCTTCATGAAGTCCCTCTGAGTCATCTTCTCTCAAGACTGAAGAATCCTGGCTTGTCTAGTCATTGCTTATAGCTTATAACACTGGGAATCATCCTTGTTGCTCTTGTTTGTACCACCTTATAGCGTGATGACTAGAATTCTGGTATTCATGGTGTGGTCTTATCAGAGCACTTTACAGCCTGAAAATAATGTCTGGGGATCTAAACTCAACTCATTTAGCAATAACGCAAATTGTTTTGACATAGTGAGTGACGAATCAACTAACAGCCTAGATCTCTCTCAGCTTCCCCCTTGACAAGTTCAATCCCATTCATGGAATATTTGTGTTTCCTACTCTTGGATCAACAATAGCAGCAGCTTGCACCTGATATAGCGTCCTCCACCCAGGGTAGCATCTCAGAGCGCTTAACTGGGGCGGGGCCTGACTCCGAGCTGGGGGGGGAGATAGACGTAAGCACAGTCGAAGAGGAAGGTCTTCAGGCGGGACTTGAATAATGGGAGAGGGGGCAAGGTGGAGGGATTGAGGGAGAGTGTTCCAGAGTTTCAGGGCATAGTGGCTGAAAGCACAACCTCCAATGGTGGGGCAGAGGGGGCAAGGGACGAGCAGGAGGCTGGTGCCAGTTCAGCAGAGGCACCAGGTGGTGGATTGGGGAGTGAGGAGGTCAGAGAGGTAGGGATCCTATTTATAATGCCTTGCGTTTATCAGTATTAAACTTCATTTGCTAGTTATTGGCACACAAGGATTATTATTCTGTGCATACCCAATCACGTTCTCTTTGTAGGATCTATGCTGCCTCTTCTGATTCCAGAGTTTCCACCAACTTGATGTCTGCAAATGTAACTATCTTACACTGAGTTTGCAAATCCAGGTCATTAATATATCCGAGGAACAGGAAGGGTCCCAGTATAGATCCCTGGCCCAGCATAGTACCTCTCCCCATTTTGACTTTGTTCTCCTCACAAAGATCCTCTGCTTCCTTCCCTTCAGCCAATTTCCATCCATGTCTTGCCCTTGATATCCAGGGTCCACGGATCGTGAAGGAGTCTTTCAAGTGGTTCTTTGTCAAATGCCTTTTGGAAGTCTAGATATACAACAGCACATGGCTTCCCAGTCTATTTGGGCTATCATCTCCTCAAAAAGTCTATGAGATTGATCAGACAAGATGTACCCTGCCTGAACCTGTGTTGGCTGTCAATTCGTAAATTATTTTTATATACATAATTTTCCATTTCCTTTCTGATGATTAACTCCATAATTTTTCCTTCAGTGGAATGAGAGGAGCAGAGAGAGAGAACGGGGGATAGGTGGAATGAGACAGGGCAGACAGATAAAGAGAAATAGAGAAAGAGAGAAGATACCACAGTATGGTAAATTTATTTTCACACTTACAATGTTTGTAAAAGAGAGATCAAGCTTCCAGATTCCACCATTGGCATCCTGTCAAAAAAGTTTATATCATCTTTTAGTTGAATGAATTAATTAAAAAATAAAGTGTAATAATGTCCTTCCATGATATTATTTTATACCTTTTAATAAATGCTTTCTTTAATAAATATATAATATACAATTCAGGGCTTGAAATCTTTGAAAAGTCTGCATCGTTTCAGCTTATACAAGAAAATAATGAGCTTTAATATGTACATTTTACCTGTTGACACATGTTCACATACGTAATATTGTAACTGGACAATAATTTAATAATTTTGCTACCTAATACTACAGATGTTTCTTTACAGAGTGCTGGAGAAGAAGGGCATATAGGAAGGAAAAATAGAAGCAACATGTACTTTATCGATAGTAAAGAAACTGTAAAGGAGGAAATTTATAGAAACTCAGGGTGTGTGTTGATTTAGCGTTCACAATGCTGAAATGGGAAGGCCGTAGAGTGGATATTGTGGAAGGATGAGATCATATGGGCCAAAGGACCTTCTTCATTCAAACTCTCTTGTGATCTTTTGAATTATTTATTCTAAGTTGCTTTTGATATTTAGCTGTAGGGAGTAGCCAATCTCCAGCAATGGACAAAGAGTGTCTTTCATAAGAAATACCCAACCAGAATTTGGTTTCTTTCTCCTTCCACATCACTATTTTACTTGTTGAATTAATTACTATGTTTGTTGTGCCATGGTTTTGTTCTGTATGTATGAAATTTATTTCTAATAAACAAGTACATGAATAAAGAATACCTGAGCAAACCAAAAGGAGTTTTCATTGTTAATCTTCACCATGTAATGGAGATTAACATTCTTTCCCACAATCAATTCATTCATTGGTTCCATTTCTAAAATATGGTCATCATTAGCAGTGTCTGCTGTATCAATGGTCTCAAAGTCCCAGACCTAAAACCACATGAAACAATTTAGTTTACCTACACATAGAAAAGATTTACAAATTGGCACACCACGAAATTTCTAATATTCTCATTTAAATAATAATTTAAATAATAATTTGGTCACTCAATCCACGACTGTTTGTGGGACATTGCTGTGCGCAATTCGCTTCCGCATTTTGCCCACAAATATACAGTCAATTCACTTTACAGTATATTCTGTGAAGCACTTTGGGACGTCTAGAAGACGTGAAAAGCGCTATTTCAATTGGAAGGATTGTTATTATTATTATTAAAATATTTCCAGTAAATACACATATACATTTATGAAGGGAGTTCTTCCCAATAAGCTGGCCCACAATCCCCCAAATAAAATTGGTCACTCACTCCATGATTGTTTGTTGGACATTATGGTGTGCAAATAGGCTGCTGTGTTTCCCACAAAGTCACACCACTTTACAGTATATCCTATGAAGAGCTTTGAGATGTCTCAACGATGTGATAATGCACAGTATCAAATTAAAGGATTATTATATATCACAAGCAGATATACTTAAAGAATACAGTTTTCTCTCATTACAAAGCACTATTTTCCCTGACAATTTGGGATGTAATGCTAATCTTTTTAAACTCCCTGTTATAATGCCATTTGATCAAGATCTTAAATTGAAGTTCACACAGATTTTTGTCAACTTTTCTCAATAGATTTGATAATATATTCCGGAGAAGAGAAACTGAGCCAGATGACAAAAAAATCCCTGCAAACTGATTTGAGACATTTCAAGGTTACAGACACTATGCAAAATCGAAGACTTATTATTAATATTGACTTCAGAAAATTAAAAGAAGTTATAACTATTTTGATGTATGCCTACAACACAATAACTCACCCGCACACATCCATCTGATCCAATAGTAATGAGCTCTCCTTCATCCAATACAAACTGATTTATAGATCCACTATGACATGGCTTGCGGTCCTTTCTGCACAATTCTATTTTGATAAGACCACCTTCCCACAACAGCATATTTCCCCATTCAGATCCAGACACCACCTGCAAAAAAAACATTACTGGATATCCTTAGACATGAGTAAAATTACTATATAAAGGTACCAGATCTGCAAGCTAAATACTTTTACCACCCAACCACAATGGATGTGAAATTTTGAAATCCACATTTTGATTTTGCACATTGAATATTTAATTACAATGCAGTTGTTCTCAGTACAAGAATGTTTTAATAAGTCATAAGCTCTCTTGAGTTTGTCTGCTCCTTCTCAGATATAGGTATCTCTTTTCCTGATATGGTTATGGGTGAGAGNAAAAAAAATAGTGCTGTCAATTTGTATGACTATGTATGACGAAAATGCCAGCCAGCAGACTTCTGGTTGCCACTGACATAATTTTGCGCACAACATGCAGGAAATGATATCAGCGTTGATCTAATGACCTTGTAATCAGATATTCTTTAGTGTGAGAAGCTAGTGAGCTTTGTGGGTGTATGCAGTGAATGTAGAGAAGGGGACCAGTGATTGTGCCTGGCTTTAAGGTGGGCTGGGATTTTATGGACTCCAACTATCCCTTTATAATGGGTTTCTACTGTACTCGATGATCTGAATGCCCTAGTTCTGTGTTCCAACTTTCTAATTAATATTCAATGGTGGTCTGAATGGCTTCCTGTGCTGCAACCTTTCTATAATTCTTTGGCGTTATACATCAATTAGGAAGGAATGGAACTGATGACAACCCTACAATATCAAAAATCAATGAAATCAAGTGTCACTTAGTCCATACTACTTCACTTACTTTCACATTTTTTCTAGACACATTATTTTATTTAATTATTGAATAATTTACAAAAATACAAAGTGGACAACTTTCCAAATATATTTCTCCTAAAATACATTAACAGCTTTATTTTTCTAGTTGACAGCAGTGGGTAGAATTAAACTGACTATACCTTTCCATCTGGGAGTTCAACATAACCCTCAATGTCTGTCAGAGCAGTTTTACCAAATCTACCAAGCTGACCTTGCAGTTTGAGGCCTGTGAAAGTCTGAGCCATCTTCCAGAACCTGTGTAGGTTAAGAAAATAAAGAAATAACAACAAATCTAAATCTTTTTTTTGGTCAAGTAATAATACTATAGCTTTATAGATGTATGTAAATATATTTATTGAATAATATTTAGATCCAATACTGCACCATAGTTCTCTATTGATATTGTGAGTTAGGGAATATTTAAGAAAATATTTTCAACTCTGATTTATTAACTCTAATCTTCCTAATTTAATAATAATAATCCATGCATTTGATATAACACCTTATCATGTCTTCGAGACGTCTCTAAATGCTTCACAGAATAATTACTCTTACCCAAATGCAAGCACCTTAAGATGAAGAAAGATATACAGCTTATAAGATATTCTTTAGACCTGTGCAGGAGCATGATTCATTGAGGATTCTATAATTTAAAGAAAATAAACTGGTCATTTCTTTGATGGGAGGCAAACTGAAGTTCTGCTGTGACACACACTTGACCTTTATACTGCAAAGGAACTGGGACATTACATGAATCCACAGGACTCAAAATCAATTGGTGATGTAGAAAATGTCATAAAGGGAAATGGCATCCATGTTTTTTTTCCCGAATTTATCTAGCCATGACCAACTCCACCTTTATAAGTGTGATGCAGAATGAAGAATAATTTAAATTATGGTTATGGGCAAACAATAGGTTGTACAATTTATCTTGGATTTAACTTAATTTTATTCACATACTTGATATGTCCTGTTCCTGAAGTAGTCAATTGTTCTTCATTTTCTGGAGAGAATGTGACCCGAAAAACATCCTGAGAAAAAGCTTTTGAACGCAGTATTATTTGTTCCTGTTTCCAGTTCCAGATAGTTAGCATATAATCCGGGTTACTACCTATGCTGGCCAGAAGCGTCCCAGATAAATTAAAGTCAGTGAAAGCATAAGCTTGTTCAGTTCCTTCTGCAAGAGAAAGAGATACAAAGAGATCATTTCTTAGAGTTGATTTGTTTGTCAGAAATAAGGTTAGGTCAAATCACCTATAAAAGTTGCTACGATTTGATAATTATATACCGAAAAAAACAGTCCTTTTCTAAATAAATAGACATTCTGAACAAAAAAGATAATATTCAAGGAGATTTACAAATATTTAGAGTGTGAGCTAATGAATCACAAAACAAGTTAATGCCCAAGAAGAGTAAGGAAATAAATACTGATACTCAAATGAACAGATATGATTACAAAGTGCAGGGTGCATCATTAAATCAGTAAGGAGAAGGATCAGTTGTGACAACTGTCACATCATGTTGTGAATTAGTTGCTAAGGTACACACAATTCTGTAATATGTAAGTCCACAAATTACAATTTGAAGGTCATGACATTGGAAGTTCATCACACACACTTTAAGGCAGAAATAAAACTCGTACACTAGAGTAACTTGATATCTGACTAATTGGGATCATCTCTGTTGTGTTTATGAAAACTGTGTAGATATTAAATTACCAGCCCTATTTCTTTTTCTATCTTTCTCTAACAGGTCTCCCCAGAGAAAGCCAGTCCTTTTCTCTTCCCACACACAGTGACGTTTTCTCTGACTGTCTCTGTCTCCCTCATACTCTTTCCAATTCTCTCTATTTGATATTCTTTGTTTTTCTCTCAATCTCTCTTTCTAAAGGAGCTCTAGTTAACAAAACTATTGTTTCTCAACTTGTTTTGGAGTATGATCCCCAAGTGGCCAGTCGTTAAATTGACCGAGGAAACTTACCTCGCAGCACTCTGTATGGAAGCAGTGTGGGGTACTCGTAGATGATAATATTAGGCTTCAGACCTTTCTCACCTATTGCAAAATACATTCTGCTTGGATGAACCTACAATGGTGAAGAAGGAAATAAGAAATTTAATCACATCTGTTTCGCTGCATACCTTGTTTTTTAAAAAATAATTCTTCAGTATGCTGACGACCACAACTTTCATTTTTTTCTCGATTACTCTCAGACTGAGTGATCGATCCATGGAGTGAATAACCCTTTGCTTGAAGGTGCTGTGATGTTCCTCCTGACTATCTTCCATAATGTCACTGTCCTTCACTATCATAGTTACTGCAGTGCTATTGAGCAAATCCAATATCGCAGAGATTTATTTTATGGATAAATCCTGTTTATCCCTACTTAACATGCAGGTGCTTGCTACTTGCTATCTTCTGAAACACGAGTAGAATTTCAGAGTATTTTAGAAAGCTACGAGTAATCACAAGATTCTAAGTACATAACTATTTAGTAAAGCTCTACTTTTTTCAAATGCAGTACAGATCAAATAGTTAAAATAAAAAATTACTGGTTCCTACAAAGTGCTTACCATATGCAATGGTTTGAGAGGAAAAAAAAACTTATTGTACCGTTACAATGCCAATTCCTCCTCCACTGCTGCTTCGAACGTACTTGTGCTCTTTGGTCTTAATATTCACTAAAACCACCAGGTTACCAGCTACGTACATTATAGTTTGTTCATCTAGAAGCTGTAAATTCACTCGCCTTGTGCAATCATAACCAAAAGAAAAGCTGGAATCAAAAATGGTCAAGGAAAGCTGAATTTATAAAATGCTTCATGCTAAATAACAGAATGGAATATTATTAAAAATCACCAACATATATGATATGAGTTATTTTTGAAGTGCAGTGATTGTTGTTATTTAGATAAATGCGGCAATTACTCTGTGGAGTCCTGTAGCTCAGTGGTTAGAGCACTTGCTTAGTAAGCGAGAGACCTGGGTTTGATTCCTGGCAGGGCGAAACCTTGGGCAAGTTTCCTTACACCACACGCTTAATAATAATTCCTCAAAAAAAACAATAATAAATTGGTCACTTCAGTCCATGACCGTTTGTGGGACACTAGTGTGCGCAATTGGCTGCCAAGTTTCGCCCATCTAACATGCAGTCAATTCACTTTACAGTATATTCTGTGAAGCGCTTTGAGATGTCTATAAGACGTGAAAAGCGCTATATCAAATGCAAGGATTATTATTATTATGTATTCATAATGTCTGACATACCGTAATAAGATGAACAACTAATGAATCTGCACTTTTTTGGTGAATTTGGATGATTGAGGAATATTGGCAGAACTCTCTGCTCTTCATCAAACTATTGTTAACATCAGTCCAAACAAGCAGATAGGATATGCTTCATTCATTAGAAATTAAACTATTCAAAATGGTAAAATAGCATGGAAAGAGTATAAAGAGCCTGAGGGATATTTTTGAAAATCAAAATAGATACATCTTTTGAAGATTGAGGCCAGACTTTGATCTCCTGGTAACCCCCTTTCCAAATTGGATGCAGTTGCAGGAAATGGTCAGGAAGCGCTGAGAGGTTAAAGTATTACTCAACACAACAAACCTGCACATAGGAGGGAATGTTCTTGGATTTTTCCATATTAACAACTTGGGTATTTTGGGGGTATATTTGTGAAAGACATAAAATGAGGAATAAAATTATATACAGTAATTGATAGGCTGTAAAACAATATTGCAGCTTCTTTGTTGCCAATAACTCACAGTACCCTGTAACTTGAGGATGTTACAATTATGAATGCATTTACGTTTTGGGCTGCATTTCTTACTTTTCCATTCTTTTCTTTTGCTTTATTAAATGCAAATATTACTATTATAAGCAGTTTTGCATTGGAATTTAACGTTATTTGAAATGCAGGAATAAGAGATTAGACAATTACTCAATAAAATGATACTTATGCATTGTGACTTTAGCAGAAACAGTTGATCGGATAGTAGTACACAAAAAGATATATCATATTTATGTATAGTTCTGGCTGAGTAGCACATATTCATACGTTTTGCTTTTGATAAAGGATACAATAATGTTAATATGTTTGGTGAGATTTCAGAGTCTGGCGAGATATATGGCTTTGAGTATAGATCCTCATAATCGTAGTAGAAATCCTCTGGGATAATTTTTTTCACTTCCTTTTTTAGTTTTTTAATCTGAGCAGCTGCAATTAAAGGGAATGTTCTTGGATTTAATGATTCTTAAATAATGATATTGTTCTGACAAACGCAGACACTTTATGCTGCCTACTGACAATGAAGAAAACATTTGTCTGAGGAAGGCCAGTCTTATATATTGTATACGAGGGAAGAGTCAAGATGTTTTAAAGGACATCCTGTTCACTACCGGGCTGCTCCTAAAGGTATATGAAACAAGTAGGAAGAGGGAAGGGAAAGAGAGGTATTAGGCAAAAGCAGATGTCTTTTAAAGCGGTTTTAGAAGCTTCTTTGCAGCAAGCTAAAATTGCAGCAAAGGCAACTTATAACCAAACACAGCATGAAGCCAGGTAAGTTATTGGACAGATGAAGCAGGATCAATGGGTTGCATCACTCCATGAGGGACGCAACTACAAAAAATAATGCCAAATCCTTCTTCAACTGGCTGAATTCTGTCGTTGGTCATAGCTGGAAGGGTCCCTCTGTGTTCATGCCAGGATTGGATAAATCCAGGGTCCTCAGCAGACCAATGAGGGTATCCTTGGAAGCTGGAAGGAGCATTATGCAGAGTTGGTGTCTAACACAATAGGCTGCAGCAGAGATCCATCTACATGCAGGTTGTAAGATCTGGCGGGAGGTGTGGAGCAGATTGAAAACCTTTATGACCATTGGGAGGAGACGGACTCTAATGGCAAGGCAGCCGGTGTGGACGGTATTAATACTAAGTTCCTAAAAACTGCTCTGTGGGAGGAGGGTGGCCAATGGAAAATGATGGGGATATTAGTTCCAAACCAAGAAACTCCAACTCACCTTGGAGCTGTCCTCCTAGCACTGGTCAACGGGACTCTCTCTGAGGCATGCACTCCGACAGTATTCCAGAGTGGAATTGTGGTATTGTTCCATAAGGAGGGCTATGCTAGTGAGACGGCAAGCTACAGAGAGATCACACTGATTTCAGTTCAGTGGCTCTCAAGGTGGTGCTTTGGGTAGTCATCGCATGTGTGTCAGATGCAAAGCTGTGCACAATTGGATGCCACGTTTTGCCCACAAAATATACAGTCACTACACTTAAAAGTATATCCTGTCAAGCACGTGATAAAGCGCTAGATCAAATGCAAGGATTATTATTATTATTGGAAGCTCATGGCCTGATCAGGAAGGAGTAAACTGGCTTCCATTCTCCCAAGGAATTTGTGGGACAGGTTGTGACTTTCTATAAGATCGCAGAATGTCGAGGAAACCCACCTGAATTACATTCATTGACTTCTTCAAGGCTTTCAATCTTAATGCTTCAAGAAGCCTTCATGATGAAACTGGAAGCCATAGGAATATATGGCAAATCTTGGATTTTATCTGGAATGCATATTCTAACCTGTAAATTTAAAGGTTGACAGTGGACTCACTTAACCTATCCCTCTTGAAAGAGAGAGGGTAAGGCAAAGCTGCCCATTGTCACCCTATTCAATGTATTCATTAATGACCTGTTGAAATGCCATGGAGGGGAACAGACTTGGTACATCTGTTCCATGTTTTTCTGACTGGATTGCGGTGCTTCTGCTTGTGGACGCACCTGGGGACCTTATCCGCTGCACTCACCATTTTAAACACTGGGCCACCCATTGGGACATGAGGGTGGATGCCCCCAGTGTGGAATCATGACTCTGCAAGGCTCAAAGGAGGACACTGAGGGTATTGAATGGAAGATTGACACAGAGCATCAGTCCCAATTGCTGATTCTTATTGGTACCTGGGATTGTGGTGGACACCAATGTTTGCTTGGACACTGTCCTGAACGAACGTGCAGAAAAGAGGTAGAAGGGACTCTGGTCGTGCTCATTTCTCTTCAAGGCCAGCAAGTTCCCAATGCAGGTCAAGCTTGGGGAATATAAGAACTGTGTGCAAGCGGTCCTTCTTTATGGATCCGAGCTCCTAGGGATCCAGTGGAGAGGCTTCCTCTGGCTCATTTGCAAAGTCCAGGGTAAAGAATTGAGGTGCAGTTGTGGTAAATATAAGAAATGACTGCAAGGAGGAGTCTCTGGCCTACGCTTACCCTGTCTCTGGACACCCTGGAGGTGGAGTCGGCTTCAAGGAGGACATATCTGTTGCAAAGCCTCGCATCTGAGGACCTGGATTATGCAGCTGGTACTAAGTAAGCCTGGAGTGTGGCAATGAACTTGGACCTCAAGAATATCAAGGTGGCTGGCACACCACAAGCTGTCCTGCAAATGTCCTACCCCGACTCTGAAAGTAGATGTTCATCAGATGTTCCTGATGAGAAAACTGCTGTGGTCTGGGGCAATAGCTGCTGGAAGGCGTTACTTCAATGCCGATTTTGTGAACACGCATTCATACATCCAGGGCTTGGAATCTACCTTGATTTGTTTGCAGAAAGATAAGCAGCTGACTCTCAAGCTCCACACCTTCAACTAGAGGAACCATCACTTAATGGGAAAGAACGTGTGTCTGAGCTGTGGGCAGGAAGATGGTGTCAAGGCTCTCGCGTATTTCATGCTCTTGAGAATTTCCATGTATAGGTGGAATTTACCACATGGAACTCTCAGTTTGGGTGGTTATTCTAAAGCATGGTGATGGGTTTCTGCAGACACTGGCTGACACCCAAAAAGTAGAAAGAAGAAATACCCACACTTGAATAACTGAATACAACCTATTTTGCAGTATAGAAGTATGGTGTACAGCAATGTAATCTTACAAAGGTACATTAAGTAGAACAAGAACAAAATATCTCTATATGTATAAAGTAATGTTTTCTATGTATAAGCATTTACCTTGTTTCGTTGCTTCTTTTGCTTCTTCAAGATGAGTTTGCTCATCTTCATCATTATCTTTACTGAATGGATTGCTTGATTCATCACTTTCTGAATCTGATTTGTTGTCCTGTAGGTTATTTTCTGCTTTGCCTATTATTGTACCATATAAAAAATTCAGTAAATCAAATATTTAGCATATTGTACTCTTAAATATTTTTACATTTCCACTGAATCAAAATACTTCTAGACTTATTTATAATAATAATACTTGCACTGGATATAGTGCTTTATCAAGTCTTTGAGACGTCTCAAAGTGCTTCACAGAATATACTATAAATTGAAATGACTGCATATTTTATGGGCGAAACGCGATAGCCAATTGCACACATCAGTGTCTTACGAACAGTCAAGGATTGAGTGACCAGATTATTATTGTTATATTTTTGAAGAGATTATTACCCCTGGAAAAGCGATATGGCAATCGACTAACAACCAAGTTCCTACTTACTGCTAGGTAAACATAGGTTTGTGGAGTAGGGAAACTTGCCCAATGTTATACCATTTTATGGAGACATTTATAGAATCAGAGAATCAAAGAAATTAAATGGGGAGATTAGAACAAAAAATGAAGTTCTAAGTACATACAGTAAATACTGAGATGATATTGCAGATTCTGTTGTCTTGAAGGAGCATGGAAACCGAGGAGGGTAGTGGGATTGAAAATACAGCTTGTCCTGAGAGCCACTGTAGTCTTGGGCCATTTGATGGGCCAAATGACTTTTTTCTATGCAGTCAATTTCTACGATTCCAAGCAACGTTCTTTGCAACACTAAACTGTTTCTTAAATTAACCAATGTTCTGGTCTCAACCATCTGGCAATTTGTTACAGTTGTTCATTTCCTTCATGTGTGAATCAATACTTCTTTGTACCTGCACAACCTTGGATCTGTGGGGAGGACGTCTCAAAGTGTATCACAGGATTTTATTGCAAAGTGTAGTGACTGTATTTTGAAGGTGAACTCAGCAATTGCTGGGGTAATGAAAATTGGTCGTGTCTCAAACCATACATGTTTCTTCCCTGCTAAAGCCTTCCAGGAAATTGTCACCTATTTTAATTTTAATGTTCACTATAACTTGTTCATCTTTTTTTAACCCCCTTTAAATTCTGTAACTTTTCTAACCACCCTCTTATTGTTATATTTGTAAACCATGTAGGAACAAATGTGTACAGAGGAAATTACAGCAGCTCTACAATAATCGAGAATCAATTAAAATAACTTATTAATTATGTGACAACCAATTGGACTCATATCAGACCTCAATTTCCTGACCAATCCAGGCAACCTTTTAAGGCACTTTATACTGTACTAGGATCAAAAAGTAAGAATGACATAATGATATACTCGTGGAGTCCTGTAGCTCAGTGGTTAGAGCACTCGCTTTGCAAGTGAGAGACCTGAGTTCAATCCCAGACAGGGCGAAACCTTGGGCAAGTTTCCTTACTCCACACGCCTAATAATAATCCCTCCAAAAAAACAAAACAATAATAAATTGGTAATTTTCAATCTACGACTGTTTGTGGGACATTGCTGTGCGCAATTGGCTGCCGCGTTCGCCCACAAATATACAGTCAATTCACTTTACAGTATGTTCTGTGAAGCGCTTTGGGACGTCCTCCTGACGTGAAAAGCGCTATATCAAATGCAAGGATTATTATTATTATTATTACAACAACTAGCATTTATATTGAGCTTTTCATGTAAAAGAATATGTTTGAAATGCTTTAGCAAATAAAATGGATTAAAAATTAGATACATGTTATATATTTATGAGTAATGTGAGCAAAATAATTTTACTTAAATAAGCTTCTACCATGCCAACTTAAATTTAAAGAATTAAACATGGCATACCATAACCAACTCTTGCAAATTATGAAATCAGATATAGAATAAGAAGTAATAAAGAAAACAGCAGCATGAGATTTTCATAAACCTTTACCTTCTTGCTGCTCTTCGGTTACTCCTACAACTGATTCTGCAGTCTCTTCATTTGGACTTTGAATGTCACTTTCTAAGTTCTTTTCATCTTCTTTTGGGGCATTACCAGATTCATCCTTTGACACAGTGTCCTCGCCAGACAGGGGCTGTTCGTTTTTATTTGTTACTGTGCCAAACAAAAATCAGAAGCCATTTTAGATTTTTAATCATGAATATACTGTAAGATTGTGAGTCCAAGTTTGTGAACACATGTGTATACTTGGTATCTGCCTTGATTGGTATGCATAGAGGTAAGCAGCTGCTGCTCAATCTCCATAGCTACAATGGATGGAACTGTTACTTAATGGGTAGGGATATGTTTTTGAGATGTAAGCAAGAGGATGATGGCAATATTCTAATGCATTTCAGGCTGAACTGTACTGCTCACCAGATAGGAAATTCTTAATACTGGTTGTCCACCTAGTGAGAGCTCCAACCTGCTTTGCTGGGTGTCAAATGGCCAACTAGTGATTATTCCCTTGGAGATATAAACAGTATAGTTTGAATAAAAAATAAATGGGGCCTCCTTGGGGCTGGGCTGACTATGTTGGCAATGAAATGTCATAATCAAGTCAATACTCATTGCATCTCCAGGGAGACAGCATGCAGTCCATACACAGGGAATTTTTCAAGTTTAGGTAACATACATATATGAAACGCTCGAACAGGTTTGGAAACTCTTAAGCATAGTAATGGATTTTCACATGTGTCAAGACACCTAGTTAACCCAAACAAATCTGTTCAAACACAGCATGCTATGGATACATTTCTGTCTTCAATAACCAATTAAGTCAACTAAATATTCCACATTTATAGGCCATATAAAATGATTATTTTTCTATGAATACCCATAATCTGACAAATCCAAAATCATTTGAACAGTATAGTTTGAATAAAAAATTCTATAAAGATATTTGTATATTCTACATAGGTACTTCAAAAAGTATGCCAGACTACATAAAACAATAACATGAACAACTAGCATGAATGGAATCAAATTAAAGTAAAAGAACATCTCAAAGCATTAAACAATGAGAAACAAAGAAGTGGAAGGAATTCAAAGGCATTTAAAAAGAATTTGGCGGGGGTCCAAGAGAACTGCAAACATAAAGGTGAAATATTAACTTTTATAGGCTCCAAGAAAGGTTTTAGAAAGGTGATAATTCAACATTACCTGCAGTTATTTACTTGGAAATTATATAATTACAATAATATGAATACAGTCAATTCTGCATAATGTTATTCTCTGTCAAGACCGGAAAAAATTATAACATTACATGACTGTTCTAAAAGTATTTAAAATTTCAAGGAGAGAAGAAAAAGATAAAAACAAATCAATATTTTACTTTAATTTCACTGTAATAAGTTTATTTTTTTAATCAAATCAGTTTTTTTACTGTTTTATCTTCGAAATTGAATCACAAAAATAACAGCCACTATACGTTTGCTAAAATACTGTACTGTAACAACCTCATTGGACTAAACTAAACTCCACCCTAAACTCCGTACCTCCATTAGTCAGGTCCTTGTCAAACTCCATTGGCTCCCGGTCACAGAATGGATTTCAAGATCCTTGTATTTAAATCCCTTCACTCCCTGGCACCCCCCAATCTCTCCAACCTGCTCTCTCCCTACACTACTACCCACTGCCTGAACTGAACTGGTTCCGGTCTCCTCCTTGTAGCTGCGGTGATCCTCCGCCCCACCATCTGTAGCCATGCCTGCAGCTGCTACACACCGACGCTGTGGAACTCTCTCCCTCAATCCCTTCATCTTGATCCCTCTCTCTCTATTTTCAGGTCAAGCTTGACGACCTTCCTCTTCGTCTGTGTCTACAGTCACCTTGCCTATCCCTTGGCTCAGCATCGGACTCCGTCACTCTTAAGCACTCCAAGACGCCGTCTGACATTAAGGGTGGTATAAAAATGCAAGTTGTGTTGTTGGGACTATCCGCCTTCCATCAACCTGCCCTGGGTTCCCATTGGATCTGACTCTTCAATCCAGATTTCAGGTGCTGGAGCAATGCTCCAGATCACTCTGGTATAACATTAATCAATCTTTTGTTAATCGGAATCACAAATTTGCAAAACATTAGATGAATTGTAACTTTATATGGCTGTAAAAATAAGCAAATGTGTACAAACATACCAAGCACAGCTGGGACCGGCCCCCAGTATAATATTATGTGGATTATAACAACAGGCGACTTAACATTATGCAAATTTAACTGTAGCAACATTTAAGTACGTTTGTGCACTTTTTTAAGTTTGGAACTATTCTGAAGGACTGTAAAAATCTTTTCTGATCATATGATCTTACCAATAATAATAGTAATCCTTACATTTTATATAACACCTTATCACATCTTCGAGACGTCCCAAAGCACATCACAGAATATACTGTACAGTGAATTGACTGTATATTTTGTGGGCGAAACTCGACAGCCAATTGGGCACAGCAGTGTCCCACAAACAGTCGTGGATTGAGTGGCCAAATTATTATTATTTTTATTTATTTGAAGAAATTATTACCCCCGGAAAAGAAATCCGGCAATCGACTAACAACTGGGTCCCTACTTACTGCTAGGTAAACAGAGGTGTGTGTGTGGAGTAAGGAAGCTTGCCCAACGTTTCGCCCTGCCTGGGAATTAAACCCTCTCACTTGTAAGGTGAGTGCTCCAACCACTAAGCTACAGGACTCCACTTAATACAGTAAAAACAGAAGCAATAATTTTCAGCTAGGTTGTAAACGTATTCAAATAATAAAGCCAAAATGTGTGTTGTTTCAATAAGTGTTTACCTTCAGTTTCTATCACAGATGCTCCAACAGAGCTTTCATCCTCTACAACGGAAACAGTTGCGTCATCCAAATTCTCACTTGTTTCTGTAACATTTCGGTCAACATCAGCAGCTTCTAACTCAGCACCTGGTTCTTGAATTTCCTCACTCTCAGCTATAATACATAAATCAAAACATTACCTAAAGTATCACATGACATTTGAGATCCAGGAGTATGACATCAATGAGATGGAAGTTTTAGAAGTTGAATAGCAACAAATTGCTGCAAACTAACAAACTGTACACCATGGAACCTAGTCCAAAAAAGGGGGACAGTGAAACAAGGAAGAAAATTTGAGAAGCACTGACAGACAAAATCTGCCTCAGGACCTATATTTTCAACCACCTCTTCAACTGACTTCCTCCCCCCCACCACCCGTTCATTCGCTCAGTCAGGTGTGTGAATCACTTTGAGACAAACTGATTTGCCTGAAAACACTTTTGTAGTCTAAAACCCAGTGCCCCGCCCCCGCCCAAACAGTTAGAATGTGCTGCTTTTTTCTAATTTCTTTGAAAGTTTGACACATTTTACAAACGTATAGCAAATATACATTTGTCAGACTTTCGAAGAAATTAGAAAAAAAAAACGCACAGCATATTCTAACCTTGGTTGGGTAAGAACAATGGAATACTCCCTTGTTGTTTTTGATCAACCAACTACACAATCTCATATTGGGAATTTAAGCATAAATGTTAGGAAATACCTCCAGGAACCAGTTCAAAAGAGTTTAGTGAAACTGGCTTGATGAGCTAAATGGCTTCCTCCTATTTCTACATTACTGTACATTCTTATATTTTTAGCAGAATGCAGAAATTTGTGTCAGTAAAGTGCACTATAGATTATTTCTAGTTGCTTTAAAGTTGTTGTTTACTTATAAAGTCTTAAACAAATAAAAGAAGTGTGTGCTGTTTTCATTTGTCTTTACTTTCTTGCTTTTCTTCCACAAAGCCTTCTTGTTTGGATTCTTCATCATCTCCAACTGAAATGGTTGGCTTATCAAGTTCCACATTTGTTTCAGTAACATCTGTTTCCTCTGATTCCTGAGTTCCCTCTTTCTCAGCTGTAATAAATCAGAGAAAAATATACTCCAACAAGAAATAATGAAAGAAACCAGAAGTAGATTCATTGGGGAAGGACACCAAAACCAAGTGAGATGCAGGAATCTGAAAATTACATGCTTGAGGATTTAGGGGAGAATCTGAGACATCTATCATAAAAGGAGAGAAGACAAAGACGATTCAACACCAGCCCCAAAAAGAAATTTGAGATGTTTATCATTAGGGAAAGGTGAGGGGAGGAATCTGAGTCAAATACATTTGAGAAGTCAATCCAGGATATAAATGCTTAAAATTGACAGAATCTAAGGAAGAAATCAAGGACGTGATTTAGGAGCACACTCTCTAAGCAGCAGAGGCATGATCCTTGAGGTATCCTACAGGAAGGAAATAAAAAGTCTGAATAATCCGCGTTTTTTTAGTCAGTTTGGTGTCTGATACTCATGGAACCCATCACTATGCTTAAGAGTATCCAAACCAAACTTAGAATTCCACATGTCTCCTGCACTTGAAAATTTCCTGTGGCTGGAATGGAATGTGCACTCTCTCCCTGGAGGGACGCATCCGACTTTCCTATTTCCAGAGGTATTAGGCACAGATTTGCAAGTGCCAAGTCTTGGGGACCCCGGAGTGCGTGTTAGGGTCTATCCAGCTAAAACCAGCTTTCCTGCGGCTTGCCCAACTAGGACCACCCCCCACCGTTTGGGCTTTGGCTTACGGGGTTAACAGGAGCTGAGTGGGAAGATTCCCTGCCCCCCGGTGACTGATCTACCCTCCCAGGTGGTGCTGATGAGGCAGGCTGGGCTGGGCTGGGCTGGGCATCAGCAGTGAGTGCCCTGGAATCCACAGGTTGCCATTGAAATCGATGACTGATTCATGTCATTATTTCCTCGTATGTTGTAACCAGCATATAAAAGAGGGGGGGGGGGGGGGGGAGGCACTGCGCCCCGGGAGCAGCTCGACTTGGGGCAATGCGAACGATGACATACATACAGGGTGTGTTTGGGGGGTGAAAGCTGTCCCACCCTGAATCACAGCTAAACAGACACCAGCTCCGCCAGCTGGCGCACCTCTCTCTCTCTCTCTCTCTCTCACACACACCACCGAGCTGACCGCACCACCAGCAGACTTAAAAGTACACGTTAAATAATTCGCTTAAAAGTTACGCCCCGGACAGACACGCTCCGAAATGAGGGTTTATTTTAAAGCGTTCATACCCTCGTCCTGTTCCGCGGACTCCATTTTGTATCGGCGGTTGCTAAGCACCCGCGCGGTGGATTGTGGGCAGCGGGGCCTCCTGGCAGCTGTGACCCGCGCTGCACCCTGGGAGTTGTAGTCTCACCCCGACACTGCCTGACTGAGCTCCACCTCAGTGCCTCGCCTTTCAGTCAATGAGATGGGTGCAGTTTTGTCCCTTATTTCAGATTTCATTCATTGAGTTGAAGCCACACTATTATGTGGGGAAAAAGGACTCTTGTGAACCAGGCTCTATTGTGTATCCTGCAACTGGGGTAGTTGGGGGTAAAGCTGGGGTGTTTACCCCCTCCCCTTTTATAATATCCTCTACACAGGGTGTCCATAAAGTCCTGTTACCCCCCCCCCCGCCTTTCTCTCTCTATACACTGCACTAGAAGACGTGGAAGAATGATGCATAATTGTGTTAGATGTACTTCATTGTATTCAGTACAAGGGTTTCACTCTACAATGGCAGCCGGTTAAGCCGGGCACAACCAGCCATGAAGCATCGTCGGGAGTCGAACCAAAGTTCCCTTAGCCTTTCCCACCCGGAAGGTGGGAAATTACTGTGCACAGTACTGCTTTACAGTTAAGCAGCAAATTCAGGGACTGTTGTTCCTTCACTGAGGAGATAGCATGTGAAGCAGGAACATCACCTGATTTCCTGCACCAGAGGAAGAAACACAGCCACTTTTATCCTGTGAGCACAGTATTTGTTACGTTTTCATGGGTTGCACTGACTCAAAGTCTATGTATGGCATTTTATTAAGATAACATATTAACAATGCTTCCAAAGTAACAAATGACGTCCTCTCTCTCTGTGACCTGGGCTTCTGCCTCCTCGTTCTCCTCGACCTCTTCACCGCATTCAACACAGTCGATCACACCATCCTCCTCCATTTCCTCTCCTCCCTCATCCACCTTAGCGGGATCACACTCGCAAGGTTTGAGTCCTACTTGGCTAATTCTTGCTTGCTAATTCTTGCTCACCAACAATACATCTCGGCATACGGTTTCTCCTCTCGCCCCTGCCTGGTCACTTTCGGGGTATCCCAAGGCTCTATCCTTGGCCCCCATCTTTTCTTTATCTACATGCTCCCTCTCAGTGATGTCATCCGCAGACTTTGGGTCAACTTCCACATGTATGTGGATGACACCCAAATCTATTTCTCCTCCTCCAGCTGCGATTCCCAGTCCGCTGATGTCCCGTCAGCTTGTTTGACGAATGTCAAGGCCTGGATGAGTCCAAATTTCCTACAACTGAATGTTGGCAAGATGGAAGCCATAGTCATCGGCTCCCGTCAATGTCTTCTCTCGTGTGAGTCTGAACTCCTCAACCTCCCCGGGCTCTACATCAGACTCACCGAATCTGTGCGCCACCTAGGCACCAGGTTCGATCCCCAGCTTTTCTTTCTATCTCACATCCGTTCCCTGACCAGGACCGCTATTTCCACCTCCATCACATTGCCCGCCTCTATCCGTACCTCACAACTCACAACAAAAGCAGCCGAAACCTTTGTCTATGCCTTTGTCACTTCCCAGCTGGACTATTCCACTCTGAGATGCAATCTTGCGTGAAGAGCACCATACGAATGTCAATTGTTGTTGTCGGTAAAAGAATAAGCAAGGTTACTGGGCCAATCATAAGAACATAAGAAATAGAAGCAGGAGTAGGCCATTCAGCCCCTCGAGCCTGCCCACCATTTAATAAGATCATGGCTAATCTTCTAACTTAATTCCATTTACCCGCCCTATCCCCATTTCCCTTAACCCCTTTAAAAATCTTATCAATCTCAGTCTTGAATATATTCAATGACTGAGCATCCACAAACTTCTGAGGTAAAGAATTCCATAAATTCATTACCCTCTGAGTGAAGAAATGTTTTCTTAACTCAGTTCTAAAGGGCTGATCCTGAGACTATGACCCCTATATTAATCCTGAGATTATGACCCCTAGTTTTAGATTCTCCAACCAGGGGAAACAGTCTCACACTATCTACCTTGTCAAGACCCTTAAGAATCGTATAGGTTTCTACAAGATCACCTCAAATTCTTCTAATCACTCATATTCAATTTTTGGTCTTCCAAAGGCAGATCAATGCTAGGAAAGAGCTATCTAACAAAAAAACTCTCAATGTGGTGTCCAAAATAAAAATCAAGACGCTTCAGATTAAAAATCTATGATCTATGATACAACTTATGTAAAGTTATGTACAAGTCGTATTTTATATGACAAACACATAGCAAATTCACAAGTACTGAACTGGCTAGTGACATTAAGGCAAGGTTTCTGTACCAGGTTTAACCCATACATACACGTCCCCGTTCTTTCGGTGCTCTCACTCATTGTTTCTCTCCCCCCAAGCTCCCATGTTGTTTGAGAACCATGAAATGTTGCCATTCACTTCCCCCCTCTCTCTTTGTGCTACCACTCACTATTTCTCTCTCCCCCTTTCGTGCTTTCTCTCTTGTTTCTTCTCCCACACTCTCCCCTCAATCACTCTATTCCCCCACCCTCTTCCCTCAATCACCGTCTCCCCTGTGAAACTGGGTTCAAGTGTTTGTCAGAAACTACACCAAGGATATCATTAAAACGTTTTATTAGCAATTATAAAACAAACACAAGCATAAGCATCACATTACACCCTACGCAATATCATTACTCGTCGTGCTTAAATGACTACTAAAACACTATCTCAACAAGATACACGCAATACTAAAATTCTAAACATAAAAGAAAAACATTATGTGATATATGAGATGTGCCTAAATAATATCTTATCTGTTTTGTATGTTGGGTGCGTGTTTTAGTAAGTAGGAGAGACACTACCGAGCAGGCTGGAAGTCGTGACGTAGTTCTTGGTCTGGCACAGGAGGTATTCACCGTCTCTGGCTTGCTTCTGGCTGCAAATGTATCTGGATTGTCTTGGTACGTTGTCTCTTTGCGGTCCACTCCGGCGAAAGCTGGACTTGTTCTCTTTGCGGTCCACTCTGGCAAGAGCTGGACTTGTCCCCTTTCTTTCTCTTCGCTCAGAGGTGCTCTTCTTCCTCTCCTTAGAGGTTCGTCCCCTTCCTCTCCTCAGTGGCTCATTTTGGCTACCGCTTTTGATACGCTTTTTCGCCAGCCATCTGTGTTCTATCTCTTTTATTCTCATGTCTTCTTTCCTACTCACTGCACTTTTCCCAGACATTCTTTCCCTATCTTCAAGTTGTTTCTCCTTGTACCACTTAGTGGTATCTTCTGGAAAAGAACAATATTCCTCCTATTCCATCTTTATCTAGCCTGACCAAACCACCTGACTCCATGTCCCTGAAGTTTGAGTAATTCATTGTCCTCCTTTCCGACTCTGTCCATGTGACCTGCTGACCTCAAGCTTTTCGCGGTTTTTTATTGCTAATTTTGTATACCTGCCCACACAGGTGGCCTCCCATCCATTCTCCTGGTCCAATTATCCTTATCTCCCTTGGGTTGCATTCCGGTGTACTCCTGCCTAGCTCGGTGTTTCTTTACTAGGACTGGGTGTGTGTGTTGCATGCCACATGCCAGTTTTTTTTTAATTCATTCTACTTAATTCATCTATTCACTACACAATCAATACTAATGATTATTATACTATAATGTCACTATTTAAATCCCCACCCTCTCCCCTCAATCACTCTCTCCCCCCATCCTCTCCCCTCAATCACTCTCTCCCCCCAACCCTCTCCCCTCAATCACTCTCTCTCCTTCGATCACTCTTCCCCCATCCCCTCCTACCTGTTTCTTTCTCTCCTTCAATCTCCCCCTCTCTCTATTAATCATTTATGAGTACTGGGTACATTTTTTGTGATAAAAGTATGAATTCAACGTGTATCTATACCCAATTTCATTTCAATTGTATATTTGTAAGAACTATGTTAAGGACACCTTATTATTTGTGCTTTCCTTTATTTTGTTGTGCCTTTTACACATTTTATAATAAAAATAATAATATTGTAGGTTGAAGGCTGCAATAAGCCTGTGAACTATTGCAAGCTTGACAGCTTTTTCAATCAATTAAGCGTACAGGCAAATACTTCTTTAGCTTTGAACCTCAGCAACTACCAGTCAAAAGTATATTGATAGTGTGATAAGTGTTTCTGCATTGTAATTGCTTTCCCGGTAATAAAAAAGATCTGAAAAATCTTATGTATCTAAAAATTGTTGCGGTATATTTCAATAAAAGCATTTTAATAATGCAAAACATTAAAACTGACATGGTATCTTCTGCTATCTTCATTATTGTACTAATAAAACGCCTGTATGCTTTCAAGAAGGATCTCAATAACCGATTAATGTAGAGACATGATTTATACCTAGTGATATGGGCATATTTGTTTCTGGGTATCTCCTTTTGTTCATGAGTTATTTTCAGTTTTGCGTCTTTCACTGAAGTTACACCTGCTGGCCACCGAGTCAAAGTTGTGCTGTGGCATCAGGCTTCATGGAGCACCTACATATGTACACAAACACTGCAGTTACACCTAGTGGCCACGCCAGTTCACTGTAGCGCTGTGGCATCTTGCATCACAGAGCACACACGTAGCCAAGCGGCAGGAACAAAATAAAGAACACAGACGAAGCTAAGCAGCGGCAACAACAAAATTACATTTTTAAAGCGTCAAGTTTTCCCAAAAGGAGTCCTCCCAAATGAGTAAAGATAAAGATGAAATATCTGTGTGTCAATCTACATTCCATATTGGATCCTTTGGTTGCAAGTGTAGCTGCAATGGGTACAGCTAGTTAGTTAAAAAATACCGCAACATTTTTGGTCATAGTTTATTAGTAAAATTCACATTGGATGTTGGAACAACAGCTTCTCTCCTTGTAAAAAAACTTAAAATTTAAATGGTAAAAGGAGTATTGACATTATACAAATTATCCAAAATGGTAATCCAAGATTTCTACACAAGTTAGAAGTGTACTATAAATCTGTATTTGTACAAAAGCAGTTAGAATGCAGAATAAGATCCATAGTAACTCAATGTGCATGAAGTAAAAATATGAAATCCAAAGTTAAGATGCATTTAATGTTTACAGTGACAAATGGTTGACAATAAAATTCCTCTTCCTTCTCACTGATCAATAAAATATCTCTTTCTACACCATGCAGAAGGGGATAATTATACGTACATATAGGAACAGCAGAGATTACATCAATTTGATTTATTTCAGGTTGTTCCACAAGAATACATTATTTGCTAAAAGATCAGTGGGAAAATATTTCTACTTCTCTTTAACAAGATGTACAACACATTCCATGAGGACATAATGTGGAATGTAGAAGACAGAGGAAAATTTGTTCCAGCAAAGAATCTGGCATTCAATGCAAATCTCAAATCTGAGCCAGAGCATGAATTCTAGGCAAAAATCTATTCAACTTTCAAGAAGGAATACAAGATGGTTAAGTGTCTAATGTGAGGTGGTTTCTACTAGGATTCCTTAAATACTGACAGCAAGTAAGGACCACTTTTGTTAACCAGACATGCCAATCCAACTTGCGAGAACTCTACATTGAAGATAGATGGCATTAATCAGAGTTCCCATGAGTCAGTGTGATGTTCAATTTTAAAATTAACACCACATGTTGGCTCCATTAAAAAGCAAACTAGTCACAAATTCCAGAAGTCGCTCAAATAAGGCTGAGTTAGGCAAATGAAAGGCTTAGTGTCCCACAGGCAGGCTGAAAGAGCACCTTATATGTGCAGCCTGATATCAAATATTAATACATTTGCAACAAGGTTCAGACACAGCACAAAACTAGATGTAAAATAAATTCTGCCAACGTGAAAGGTGTTATTCCATGTGCAAGGATTATTATTAAAGCATTATTCCAACCTCTTCAGAAGAGTATCCCCTAATTCAACCAGTATGATTTTTCTCCAGCTCCCACACTATTACATTTAGAACTTCTGACTGAGCCAGTTCATATTGAAATAGACATTGTATGCTGCTGCACAAACTGCAATTTTCTAAACTCATTTTATTGTCGACAGAAAGAGGAAAGAAACTTGGATCCCATCTATGTGGATTCAATTTGAATCATAAAAGGTAAAAGCACCTCATTGTAGTACATTGTGTCAGTCTTCAGAACAAACTGTATTTATTATTTAGTACCCAAATCTCTTCATGCACTAATGCATTTCCTTTGAAACTCATTTTGGTATGCAAATGTAACAAAGCAAGATTAAAGGGTTCAACTGTACAGAAGATAGAAATACAGAAGTATGATGAATACATTGGTTTTAGAAGTCATACATAATTATAATTCTACCATTTGATAAGATTATATATGTGCAGACAGTGCAAACCAGCCTTCTTCTTTAAGTTTTTCTGGCTATCAAAAAAAAGAAAGACAGCAGGGTTCAGATAACATAACACGACAAACGTAAATGCACAGCTGCTTTCATGTATGAATTAAAACAGTAGTTTGGAAAGAATGGAAAACATTTAATTTTCAATAATTTCAGTGAATAGAAAGTCACTGAATACAAAATTGTGCGAGTAAATAATGATGCACAAATAGAGTTGCCAATCAACACCCCTTCATTGTGTTTGAATTTATATTATTTGTTCCAATAGGTTTTAATCTTTTTCTACAAATAAATCCATATGCTATTCCTAGACCTATCTGTTTAATGGAAATGTGGTCTGACAAAACATAAATAGTGTCAGAAACAGTAACACATTCACTCACTCAATTTCTTGAGATATAAAAAATAAATCATAGAAAAGACCTTAAGATACATTTTCTACCACTACAGCATTTTAAACCAACGTAACCCCAAACTACAGAAACTTACCAAGCTAAATAATTCCTAAAAACCTTAAAAGTTTCACCTGTATCTTTCGAGTAATAGGTGTCCAATTCTCATCACCCTTTTCCAAATGTGTTGAGGAATTTGTTCTATTAGCTGTAGACCTGTATGTGAAGTTCAAAAGGCATCATCAGTACTGCAAATTGCTTGCAACTGCGAATCTGGCAAAGTATAGGAACTTGAAGTTGATACGTTCATATATGAAGCTACAATCATTCACGCATAGTATACCATCCATTCACTTGTTCTTCTGAACAAGTTTTAGACATTGATTCTTTAAACTGGAAAATTAAAGATAGATTATTAAAATCTGTACAAATCATAGGTTGGTGAGAGTGTCAAATTCTGCATATACCACAGAATACCATGCACCATGCCTATTTTAGGAAGGTGGTCAATGCCTAAGGCAGAGTACAAAAGTTATTTACTAGTAGAATTCTTTCCACATGAGCCAACTAACATCACTTTGATTCTCAGTCCCCATTCCCTTTAATGTTGCTTTTTTTCAAGCATCTATACAATTAAAAATAATAATTTACAGACCTATTCAACAACAAGGTCATCTGATTTCTGTTAAATAGTTAAGGAAATTATTATTTGATATCAAGATTTTGTTTCAAAAAATTGAAATGAGCAATTTATCTTACCCGTTTCCATTTGCCCTGCTTTCTGCAGAAGATGTGGTCTCTGTGCAAGATTCCATCCCATCAGGCAGAGGGATACATACTTCCAATATCCGGGTGCCAGTTCCTTCAAATGAACCCAAAAAAGAACCCACATCAAATAGTTTTAAAACAATCAGAACCTCACAATCTAATGATTATCAAGACAATGACTATGGAGGTTTTTCACATGGTGTCAGGAAGATCATGTGGAGTTAGCTAATCTCAGCCAGAACAGCAATGCTGCAACAACAATTTGTATTTATATAGGGCATTGTACCAGAAGTTAACGTCTCGGAGCACTTCATAAAGACAAAGTTCAATGCCGAGCTAGGGGAAGGGCAGCAATGACTGTGGCACAGTTGAAGGGGTAGGATTTAGGTGGGAATTAAAACCAAATTTAAAAAAGGAGGGGCAGGGCGAGATAGAGGAGTTCAAAATGTTAGAGGCACAGATCGCTGAATATTAGTGGCGAAGCTGCAGCATGATTTACACCACAAATACAATAAATTAAGAAACCTTGTTGAAAGGCAATACACATACATGCTTAATTCTAACAAGTTTAAAAAGAGAGAATACAAAATAAATCGCAAACCACTGGATACATGATACCAAGTTTGCGTTTTAAAAGCAACTGCAGGAATAAGGGAAAATTGAAGCCTCCCTTGATATGAAATTATTATTCAAAGGTTGAGAAAATAAAAAAACAAGGAAGAGCAAAGGCAATTCGATGCATCAACCCGGCCCCTTCCACAGTTCAGGCAAAATATTGATCCCATCCACAATCTCTTGGAAGGTTCTGTGTAGAATTTAATCTCAAAAGGTAATCAAGCAAGATTCCCAAAGTTAATCAAGCAAAAACTCCAGAATATTCATCTATATAGTTCTTCCATTCAGTTCTGCCCTGCTTTCCTTTCAGACACAAGTCAACAGCACACAAATCATTGTGCCCTAATGAATACATGTTAATCTCAATCTCTACCTGTGGCCAGAATTTTTAAAGTTGTTCCCAAGTAGATATTTATCCAGTTATTTTAAAAAGAGCTAAACAACATCAACTTTTTTTATTTGGAGTCTTCCACTTAGCCACTACACTGAAGAAAACATCCTAAATGACTTGAATCTGGTTTAAACCTTTGTCCCCTAGTTTTCAAGTCAAATTGTCTTGTCATATCTGCATCATATATATCTGTCAGCATTTTGAAGATCTAGATCATGACACAACCAAATCCTTTTTTTCTCCAATGATAACTTCAGTTTTGCAAAAACCTCCTCATAACTTTGTATATCATATCCCAGAAAAATCTTAACCCCTATTTTATGGAGTTTTCCAACACATCAATATCCTTGAAGGTAGGGTACTCAGAATTGGAAATGTAGCCTCACTAATACAGGAATATTTACTTTAATTTGTGTGCCCTTGAGACACAATCGTAATGTTTGATTAACTCTTATTAACAACAGTTTTTATGATTGGAAAGTCAAATTGACTTTTCCAGATTTTCTCATGTTATAGATTGTGTGCCCAATATATTAATTTTAAAATAGGAAAAAAAGTATAAAATAGAAACTAACCAGTCCATTTTCCCTCAGCTGGAATAGGAGATATGGGTGGAGAGGCAGACGCAGCTGTAATCTGTCTCTGTTGTTCAATGAGAAGCAAAAGTTTGTTGCGTGCTTCCACACTTTGTCGGTTCAGCTCACTTATCCGCTGTTGAAGACTTTGAGATGAAGCATTAGGAATGCTCTAAAACATGTTTGATCAGATACAAATGGAAAGAGATATTGCTGAATAAATATTGCACATCTTTGTTTGGAATGCAACAGGTTAAGATACAGTCCTACATTATTTTCAGTTAAAGTAGAAAGTGAAATAAAACATAATGTTAGACAATTCTAGAATTTGGCTTCCTATTTCTACACAAGCAGTAATAAATCCATGATGAAGTAGTCCTTATTAAGGAGGAACGATGCTTTGGGTATAACTGCTACAAGCAGGAGATGGGCAGTTGGTGTGCAAGATACCTTTGATTCAACAAATAAGATAACCTTAGCAGTCAGTGTAAGGAAAGAGTTAAAACACCATAATGAAAAACATTGTGGCCCTTGACTTTGCTTACCATAAATGTGCCTTCTAATAAGGAGAATTGGAAGGAACACTTGGAAGAAAATATTTTAGTTGGCATTTATCATATGACATCTGGCGGTTGGAACACTGCTGTTAAACATGCCCTACATTTGAAGTTTTGCAGCAAAAATTAAAAATTTGGTTGATTTTTGTGTCATTAAATGGGGTGTGTCCCCATCTCTCCTTCTTCTGCTTTGCTAATAGGATTGCCTGGTTGTTACCTGCAGCATGCTCCCCAATTTTTAAATGAGCCTTTACTTTAACAACTTTAAGTGAGCCCTTGTGGGGTTCAGCTGACTGGAGGATATGTTTTTGAGGTTTTAAGAGGTTCAGATAGATAACTATTTGCATTAGATCTTTCGAATCCATTCAAATTTACCTGACGAAATTGTGACTGTTCTGGTTGCTCTTCTCGGAGAATAATTAGGAGGCACCCGAAACGACCAATACAATATTACATTTTTAAAGTGCCTTTCATGTCGGGAGGATGTCCCAACGTGCTGAACAGTCAAGGATTAGGCATTAGAATCTGAGCGCGGGGGAGAAGAGATCAGGGAGGGTGGAGGGCAGCCGAAGGCACGGTCAAAGAGGAGGGTCTTGAGGCGTGCCGTGAAGGAGCGAGGTGAAGGGAATGTAGGATGGTGTTCTGGGGGGAGGGGGGTTGGCGAACGGAGAAGCTGATGGTCCAACTGCTCATGGTGGGGCAGGCCGGGCCGGGTGGGGACATGGAGCAAGCCGCAGCCTGCTGAGCGGACAGATTGATAAGGGGTTAGCAGATAGGAGGGGGCAAGGATTTTGAACTCTATCCTCTGAGGGATGGGGTGCCAGTGGAGCCGAGTGAGATTGGGTGTGATGGGGTTACGGAACCTGGTGCGGGAGAGGATACGAGCTGCAGAGTTCTGGATGATCTGCAGCTTGTGGAGGGAAGAGCTGGGAAGGCCAACAAGCAGGGAGTTGGCGTAGTTGAGCCTAGATGTGATGAATGAGAGGATGAGGGGTTCGGCGGCCTGAAGGCTGAGGCGGAGTCGGGCAATGTTGCGGAGGAGGGGGAAGGCAAAGCAGGTCATGGCATGGATGTGGGGGAGAAAGGACACTTGAGGGTCGACAAGACGCCTAGGTTCCTAACCAGTGAGGTGGAGTGTGCAATAATATGTAGAGTGGTCTCAAACTCGTGCTGTGACTGTTGGCCTTCCCCAAATATCCATCCCAAAGGTTCCAACATACCCATATGTTTTTCAATACAGTGTTTTGACCCTATTCTTACAGCAGGCAATCCTAATTTTTTTAAAGAAAACAGCATTTTATAATCCTTGCATTTGATATAGGGCCTTATCATGACTTTGAGATGTCTCAAAGCGCCTCACAGAAAATGAATCACGTAAAGTGAATTGACTGTATATTTTGTGGGCAAAATGCGGCAGCCAATGCACACAGCATTGTCCCATAAATAGTCATTGATTGAGTGATCAAATTATCATTTAATTTTTTTTAAGGGGATTATTACCCCCAGAAAAGCGATTTGCCAATCAACGATTAACAGGGTTCCTACTTACTGCTGGGTGAACAGAGGTGTGTGGAGTAACGAAACTTGCCCAACGTTTCGCCCTGCCTGGAATCAAACCCAGGTTCTCCCGCTTGCAAGGTGAGTTCTCTAACCACTGAGCTACAGGACTCCACATCTTAGAAAACAGCAACATTAGGAAAGATGACAAATCTGGAATCTAGCCTTCAGAAATTGTGTTATGCCCTTTATGTTACCTCAAAGAACTAATGGGGTACAATTTAACTTCCCAGTTGTATCCTCTCCTAAAAATATAGGAGCTTTCTCCCTCTGAACACAAATTATACTCGTAAATAATTAAATATAAAGTCAAATTCTAATTTCAGAACAGGGTTTTAGTTTACAAGGAAGTCTAGTTTTCTTTGGATGCTAAAAACAAAGACAGCAGTTGTAAGTTTCAAAAAGTTCTTCCAAATTAGACAAAGAATACATTGCATTACCAATTAAAAGGGTATGTTTGTGCTTGAATTGGCTGGAGACTCATCACCTACCTTTTCAATTTGTGCTGTAGGACTAGGCAATTTAGTTGTTTTGAACTGACTAAGGTGGGCTTTCAGAGTAGAATTCTGCAATGTTAACTCTGCAATGTGCGTCAACATTGCTTCATGCTTAAGTCTCTCATCAAAAGAAAAATCTTGCGTTTCTTCTATTTCTACCTTGCTCTTTTTATCTAGAATGCATGTCTCAGCATCACCAAGGCTCATTGACTCTCTAATTTCTATTTTTTGTTCTGGATGTGCTTCAGGCAAATGAGTATCAGGTGAAGTGATACTTGGGTGATTATGTCCTTCAGCAAAATTCCAAGAGTGTGCAACATCCGGATTGTCTTGTAGCAACACTCGTGCACTCAAGGTGTCCGTGGAACCTTTTTCACTTTGCTGTATGCCTTGGGACATTGAAGCTTGCTTGTGAATTTCTGAAGGGTGGACACTGCTGGACTCAAGAAATATCTTGCAAGATGTGGCATTTTCCTGAAGCAAATTCACTGTTGGAAAATAGAAAGATGAGTAAATATAAAGGGTTTAAATTTTGCTAAACTTATAACATAATTTTATCACTTAGTTAAGAATCAGCAGCAAATGCTTTCATTTGCCCATAATCTTTTGAACTATTCTGACATATTTTCTTGTGTTGATAGAATGTCATACAAAATCACTTCAATGATATTTGAATTTTAAATTTTTATTTAAGAGTGAAAATCTGGAAAACAAGGCGGTAAACAAGAGCAACATGCTGAGAGACAGTGGCAACAAACATCAATCTGCATTGACTACTATTTTATTGTTATGCAGAACTTGATTTCAAGGTCCTCTCACTCATTTTCAAATCACTTAACTCCCTCCTACCTCCCTACCTATCCGACCTGCTCTGGAACGCTACCCCGCGTGAAGGCACTATATAAATGCACGTTGTTGTATTGTAACCCTCCTCCCCTAAGAAACCAGAATTCAAATCTTTATGGAAGGGAATCTTTTAGCTTGTTGAAGAGTATGCATTGCAAGTGCCAGACTTTTGTGAACTTAACAAAGGGGAACATTTTAACAGTAGAAGAGCTTTATGTTCCAGCATATGGAAAGATTCACTAAAGAATGTAGTAAACACAATGATTCACAATGGCAACCTTGGTTTCTCCTATATGAAGGAAATCAGGATGAATATCTAATAGTATTGATCCAGAGAAAGCTCACAATGGTTTGATTCTAGTCTGCAAACACATTACAAATTTGACCACTTACTTCGTGATTCAGTGTCCACATGGCTATTTCTTTGTCTTGGGGGAGAAAGCAACACTGCGGGACCAAATACACGCTCTGGTAAACTTTGACCTCTTCTATTTTTTTCCAACAGATTTCTCTTGTGCTGAGGTAAAGGGGAGTGTCCTTCTGCCCACACTTTCTAAAACAACTTCTTCATGAAATGGCATGCCCATGGGGAATGGTACATTTACCTTCTCTGAGAAAAACAGTTATTAAAACAATTTTTCATCTCAATCTTAATTTCAAATAAAGTAAACAATCTGCAATGTTAAGTATCAAAGGGTTCTCAACATTAGAAATAAAGAAAATAACATTTTACATCTTTGAATTTTCAACAAGATTTCAAACATTTCTTTACTACATTTCACCTTCATTGACTAGAATATTTACAAAGTCAGATTCATTTAATTTAAATACATTTTTCCAAATCATCTTTCTCCATAAAAACTCAAGGCTGAGAAAGGGTCCTTCGACTTACTAAAGCTCATTACTGCTTATTTAACTTATCCAGTATACAATTCAGCTTAATTTCGGTATTACTGATTTTTGCCTCCACCACCTAACATGAGGATCATCCAAACATTCTTTGATGTAAAAAGTTTATCTTAAGAGTTTTAAAATCTTCATTACAATAATGTGTCTATCAAATAAATATTATAGCGATTATGGTATATTTGCTACTTAAGTTGGAAAGTATTATTTTCTAGTATTTATCACATTGCAATATATCAATACATTTTTGTTGGAGCATTTTACTGTCAGAATCAATTGATTTTAATTTCTCTTTAATTTAGATTTTAGGTCGTAGTGAGCATGATTATCATTTAGGTCTCAAGAATGTAACAATCAAGCATTTAATGCAACAGTAGATGTAATCATTTGTTTAGTACCAAATCTTTGGCTTGGGGCTATAAAGAATTATGTTGACAAAGAAAGATTTGGTAAGACCATTGTAAAAGGCCAATGCTCTTTTTGCATCCACATGATGCGATACGTTGGGTCTCTCTAATTCCTGTTACAATACATCAAAAAAAGGTCATTTTGACAAATAGTGCAGTGTTCCAAATCAAGATGAGGATACAAGTCAAAATACTCGAACTGAGTCATTGGTCTCAATTAGGAACCAAAGATAATTAAGTCATTTATTTTTCCAATCTCCTTTCAAGAGATGGGAAAGCAAGGATACACTTTAATAACTTACCTAATGTTAAGGAAATGATATGAAGGGCTGAATAGCCTTCTTCTGTACTGTAATAGTCTATGTTTTTAAAAATTTGCTATGGTACTAAATAAAAATACAGATCAAAGGACCTTTTCTTATTCCAGTCTCTCATCAGGATTAAACTGAAGTATTATCTGACCACCTACTTTTGTAATCTCAAATACTAACCTAGCTGCTAAACAGCTTGACATTGAAACTCAGATTTATGAAAATTTAGAGTGACTTAAAATATTGTTGAATAAAGATGCTATGTACTTCTGAAAAATAATTATGGACATTTTCAAGTGACACTGGTATAGATCATTATTTCCAGAAACAAACCTGGTTTGTGAGAACCACCATTGGTATCTACACTGCCTTGTTCTTCCATCTCCTTGGTTTTAGGGGCAATGTTTTTCCTCGGATTTTGTTCACTTTTTTCTGCTCCTATAAATCCATGTACCATCTGTTTGAAGAAGACCAGCTGTGCATCTGTTACGACCATATACTTATGCAATTTTGCCTGAAAGAAAAAGATTATTCTTCATGCTTAAGAATTTTATGAAATTATAATCATTGCATTCGATATACCAAAACATCAAACGTTTCAAAGCACATCACAGGTCAAGTTGTCAAGAGGAGTGACTGTTTGTTGGCAAATGCAGTAACTATTTTGCGCACTACAAGTGCACCACAAACAGCTTTGAGATGCACAACCAAATTATTTGTAGGATTATCAACCACAAAGGAAACGTCCTTCTCTTTTCAGATTCCTTTCTGTCTAAATATTTTGAGATTATAACTTTCTTGAAGTACAGATTACAAAAATCAAAATACCTTTTATGTCTGAACAAATTTATCTTTAATCATATACAACTGTTTCCCATCATAAAACATCTGGCTTAACTTGAATTGCTATTGTATCAATGCTTAACTATTTTCCGTCCTTGTTCATTGAAAGATAAATATATTCCTTAAAATTAGCATAATGATAAATGTTAAAAGAGAATGATTGTAAAATTATTTGCCTTCTCAAATTGCCTAGCTTTAGAACTGCTGATTAAAGGCAGTCAAGAAAAATATACATTTTATGTAAACTACCCTTTCTGTGATGTCATGAATCTGATCTTGAACACCATGAAGAGTCTCCTGCTTTTAAATTGATACAAGAGACACTGACTTATAATTTCCCCCACACACACTTATAAGAAATGCAAACAACTACCAAAGGGCATAAATAGGGAACTAAAGTGGTCAGATGGGTGACAAATGGATTTGAATTAGAGGAGACGAAGAACAAAAAAAGCAATATACCTTATAAGTAATATTTTTAATGGTTTGGAGAAACTCTGAGACCTTGAGGTATAGATCGATACAGGTCTTTAAAGGCCAATTCAAACCAGCACACACCATTTGTCAAGGAGAATTACAAATTATACAAACAATAATAGTGAAATCTGCTTTAGGCGGCCGCCGGTTAACCCCAAATGCTGGTCAATCGAGCAAAACTCCTAACTCATTTGTGTTCTTTCCCGTTTTAAATATGCCAGTTGATTCGGACAAAAATCCAGTTAATCTGGACAAAATGCCCCGTTGGTCATCATTGAATGTACTCACTCAGATCTTCCATGTGTTGAGGGGCTCCATTCAGCAATGAGGGATAAATGAGGAGTCCAAGACTGATTGACAGCCGACTCCAGCCATTCACAAGTGGCTGGAGTTGGGCTGTCAATCAATGAGGGGGCACAGGAACAGGGAAGAACAAGGGAGGGAATGAGGGAGGGCAGCTGAGTCATGCCCATCCATTGACAAGGGCTGCATAATTCTGTGAGATACAGGATTTTAACTTTAACTCTGAGTTTTAAATACTTAATTTCCTGCTTGGTTAGTTAACATTGCTTCAAGTGAAACAACATATTATTATACCGTGTCGGTGGCTCTCCTCTACTGGGCGTGATTGGTATTTCGGCTAATCTCGGACAACTCTTAAGACATACATGGCCTGGTGTCAGGGTAAATTGGCTTCCACTGTAAGTACCTGTAAGGAAGCAGTGTCCTCTCTTATGGCCAGGATTTCTGCAGTCAGTGCATCAATCAGTACTCGATGTTCCTTGGATTCTTGTAGAAGTCGTTGATGTTCTTCCTTCTCTTTACACTGCTGCAGTTCACTCTAACGTTACAAACCAAAAGCAAGACAAAAATCGTGAAAATTGTTGTAAATAGATATGGATATTCATTTCCATTGCAATCTTTAATGCCTACACTCAGTTTTCAACTTCACATCTGTACACATGAAGCAAAGTTCAGAATTCAGCCAAGAGCGACGGATTCAGAACTAGCAGTCACAATGATACACATTTGCAGAAAAACAAGAGATTATGCTGTAACTGTCAGACATGAAGTCCCGGATTTCATACAGTTGAATATCAACAAGGCACTCCTGATTGGCCTACATCAACGCCTCCACAGATCAGGCACTATCCATGGATGCAAACTCTATCTCACTGAACCAGTTCGGAACCTTGGCGTCTTGTTATTATCCTTTCTACCCCACATCCGTTCCATGTCCCGCTCTGCTTTCGCTCACCTCCGCAACATCGCCCGGCTCCACCACTGCCTCTCCAGGCCACCAAAACTCTCATCCATGTCCCCCGCCCACCCCACCATCGGCGGTTAGCCCTTCGGCTTCTGGAACTCCATCCCACAGTCCATATGTCTTGCTCCTCCCTTGCCTCCTTCAAGGCATTTCTCAAGACCATCCTCTTCGACTGCGTCTTTGGTCACCCTCCTACCCCTACCCTTCCTGCCCTCCACATCGCCTGATACCAACTCCTTGCTCAGGTCCAATTCCCTGACTGTCCAGCGCCTTGGCACGTCCTCCCGACGTGAAAGGCACTATATAAAAAAAATTATTGTTCTAACCCAATGCAACTATTCATATACCCGGTATTCAATTTACCGATCTATCTTCTTAGGTTAGATGTGCAATAGTTTGGGATTTCTAAATACTATTCAGTAAATTGAACTATTCAATTATCCTACATTCAATGAACCAATTTCACTGTACTTATAATCTATAGAACAATATTCTCTATATTTTTACCTCTTTCAGATTGTGAGCAAGTCTGCTTAGCAAGCTGACCACTGATATGGTGAAACCAGTTAGACTCTGACCACTCTGTGGCTTTCTGTCCATGACTTCCCGTCCTGTCAGGTGTTCATATTCTTCCATTTCCTGGTCAATGTCCTCAACCATCTTCTGCAGAACCTCCAGGGTTGACTGATTGCAGCTTTGATCAGTGCCTACCTTTCTTTTGGTAGGCATGTTAGAACATGCCTTTCTGCCTAGATAAGAAATTATTTGAGCAAGATCACCTAGCCAATCGATAATAATACTGTAATAATAATCCTTGCATTTGGTGTAGTGCCTTATCACGTATTCGAGGTGTCTCAAAGCGTTTCACAGAATATACTATAAAGAGAATTGATTGTATATTTTGTGGGCAAAACGTGGCAGCCAATTGTGCACAGCAATGTTCCCAAAACAGTCGTGGTTTGAGTGACTAAGTTATTATATATTTTTTTGAAGGGATTTTTACCTCCGGAAAAGCGATCCGCCAATCGATTAACAACTGGGTTCCTACTTACTACTAGGTAAACAGAGGCGTATGGAGTAAAGAAATTTGTCCAATGTTTCGCCCTGCCTGGGAATCAAACTCAGGTACTCTTGCTTGCGAGGCGAGTGTCTAATCAATATGCTAACAGGACTCCAATAATCAAACCTGTCACACACCGCCCTATTAGAGGTAACAAAAATGTTAAGCCAAAAATATTTGGGCCGGCACTGGGTCTAATCATTTGTGTTAAAGTCAGAGGATTTTACCCCTGTAGCCTATCTGTTCAACTTCCAAAATGATTACTTGCCTCAAATTTTAATAAATGGGTAAAAAATACCTTTCAGTACTACGTTAGAAGAACCTAGTGTACAGGATGCCTCTGGAGTCTTTAAACCCAGTGACTGATTCACCAGAGTCTCAGATTGTTCTGCCGTTCTCTGTAATGTACAATCAGGTGTATTCGAATCCTTCACCTTCAGTAAGTGTCTATATATAAAAAGAAATTAGGTAGACATTACAACAATCATGAAAGTTGGCAGAAAGAACTTTAAACTCCAGCAATTTACATAGCACTTTTCATGTAAAAGAAAGCTTTACAGAATAAGATTAGAACAAGAATATTCTTGCACGCATTTTCACTCTCCCACCTCCACCCCCTTTGATTCCAACCCCAGCTTGGGTGTAAACTCTTAACTGTCCAGGGCCTTGATGAAAGGCACTATATAAATGTAATTTTGGTGTTGCATTTTGGATAATTTACAGCACATTTTTGAATTGCTCATCTGCATATCTAAGTTTCTTTATAAAAAAACACTACATTCATGGAGTCAAAACAATTTGAAGAAAAAGGTGAAGTCCGTGGAGATTAGAATAGTTTAAAATAAATATTATGGTACAATATAGTTTTAAAAATTAGATAATTAACAGCTAAGTTAGCTAGCTCAGAACCAAGGAGAACTTCTCTTAATGTGTAGCAATACATTTAGTACTCTGGGACTCTACCCTGCAAGAGGGGCGCTGTATTAATGAAAGTTGTTGTTGTACCTGTTTTTGTCAATGCTGGCTTTCAATTTAGAATAAATTTGCTCCTCCTCATTCCTCTCCAACACTTCGTGGTGCGATTTTCCGTTGAAACTTTCATTTAGCGCCTGGTTAACCAAAACAGCAACAGTAAATCTATCAGAGGAGTATCACCCAAAGTTCATTATAATAAAAATGAGTAAACTACAATTCTCCAAATTATAATCTTGTTCACATAATATAGCTCCAAACAAATTTTGAGCACTTCAAATCGTCAGAGATTAATGCACACATTTTTGTAGGGGGTAAAATCTTGTGTTCATTGAGGTGAACAATGTCAATATTAACATTTTCTGACTTAATCAATTTTAAAATGACCTGTAAAAACAGAAGCATTCATTTTATGCATAAAAACTGTATTGAAGTCTTGAGAGGATATATAGAATCATAGAATTATACAGCACAGAAGGAGGCCATTTTACCCATCGTGTCTGTGCCGGCTCTTTGAAAAGAGCTATCCAAATCAATTCCATGCCCCCGCTCTCTCCCCATAGCCCTGCAAACTTGTCATCCCCAGATAATTATCTACTTCTCTCTTAAAAGTTGTTATTGAATCGGCTTCCACTACCCTTTCAAGCAATGTATTCCAGATCCGAACAATTTGCTGTGTGAAAAAATTTCTCCTCACCTTCCCTCTGGTTCTTTTGATAACTATTTTAAATCCGTGCCCTCTGGTTATCCTCATAATTCTGAACACCTCTATTAAATCTCCCCTTAACCTTTTCTGCTCCAAGGAGAATAATCCTGGCTTCCCTAGCCTCTCCTGATAACTGAAATCCCTCATTCCTGGTACCATCCTGGTAAACCTCTTTTGCACCCTCTCCAATGCCTTGACATCCTTCCTAAAATGTGGTGCCCAGAACTGAACACAGTACTCTAGCTGAAGCCTAACCAATGTTTTATGAAAGTTCATCATAATTTGCTGACTTTTGTATTCTATGCCTCTATTTATAAAGCCTAGTAATAATAATCCTTGCATTTGATATAGTGCTTTTCACGTCTTCTAGACGTCTCAAAACTCTTCACAAAATATACTATAAAATGAAATGACTGTATATTTGTGGGAGAAACACGGCAGCCAATTGAGCACAGCATTGTCCCACAAACAGTCGTGGATTGAAATGACCAAGTTACTATTTTTTTCTTGAGGGATTATTATTAGGCATGTGGAGTAAGGAAATTTGCCCAAGGTTTCGCCCTGCCAGGAATTGAACCCTGGTCTCTCGCTTGAAAGCATAGTGCCCATATGCTTTTTTAACAGCTTTATCTACCTGTCCTGCCACCTTCAAAGATTTACTTATATAAACCCCCAGATCTTTCTGTTCCTTCATCCATTTAAGATTCTACAATATAGCTTATATTGCCTCTCCTCATTCTTTCTCCCAAAATGAATCACTTCACATTTCTCCACATTAAACTTCATCTGCCACGTGTCTGCCCATTTTACCAATCTGTCTATATAATATACTGTAAAGTGAATTGACTGTATATTTGTACAGTATATTTGACTGTACAAATATAAATTGGCTGCCGTGTTTCTCCCACAAATATCCCCTTGCTTCTATCCTCCTCACTGTTTACTACTTTTCCTAGCTTAGTAACATCTGCAAACTTGGAAATTGTACTCCCTATACCCAAGTACAGGTCATTTATACAGATCAAAAACAACAGTGGTCCCAATATTGACCCCTGGGGAAATCCTGCACACTTCCCTCCAGCCAGAAAAACAACCGTTCACCACCACTCTCTCTGCTTTCTGTCTTCCAGCCAGTTCTGTATCCATGCTGCCACTGTTTCTTTAATACCGTGGGCTTCTATTTTGCTTACAAGTCTCTTATGTGGCACTTTATAAAACGCCTTTTGAAAATCCATATAAACTACATCAACTGCACTACCTTCATCCACTCTCTCCGTTACTTCATGACTGGAGGGTTGCAAGCGTTACTCCCTGTACAAAAAGGGGCAGGAGGAGGATCCACCAAGGAGGATTGAAAGATTGTGGCCAGAGCCTCCATTATTTCCACCCTTACTTCCCTCAGTAACCTAGGATGCATCCTGTCCGGACCCGGTGACTTATCTATCTTGAGCACCGTCAACCTTTTTAGTACCTCCTCTCGGTTTATTCTTATCTTATCCAATTTCTCTACCCTCTCCGCCGATACTGTGGCATTGGCTGCATCCGCTTATTTTTGGAGACAGATGCAAAGTACTCATTCAGTACATCAGCCATGCCCTCTGCCTCCATAAGAAGATTTACTTTTTGGTCCCTAATTGGACCCACCCTACCTTTGACTAACCTTTAATCCTTTAATATGCTTATAAAATACCTTACGGTTCCCTCTTATGTTACCCTCTAATCTTTTCTTTTCTCATACAATCTCTTTGTCCCTCTTATTTCCTTTTTCAGTTCTCCTCTGTACTTTCTATACTCTATTTGATTATCTTCTCTATTTTGGATATGACATTTATCCTTTTTCTGTTGTATTTTAATCCCAGTTTCCTTAGTCATTCAGGGAGGTTTGGATGCCCTACCTTTCCCCTTTGTGGGAATGCATTTGTTCTGTCCCCAAACTATCTCCTCCTTGAAGGCTTCCCATTGCTCATTAGCTGTTTTACCTGCCAATTTAACTCACTGAAATTAGCCCTCTTCCAGTTGAGTATCTTCACCTTTGATTGTTCCTTGTCCCTTTTCATAAGTATTCTAAACCAAATGATGTTGTGATCACTGATGTCCAGATGCTCTCCTACTGAAACCTGCTCCACTTGCCCCACTTCATTCCCCAGAACCAGATCCAGTACTGCTTCCTTCCTCGTTGGGCTGGAAACATACTGATCCAGAAAGTTATCCTGCACACATTTCAGGAATCCTTCCCTCCTTGCCCTTTATACTGTTATTTTGCCAGTCTGTATAGGATAATTGAAGTCCCCCATTATCATTACTCTGTTGGTTTGTTGCGTCTTTCTGAAATCTGCTTGCAGATTTGCTCGTCTATCTCCTTCCCACTATTTGGTGATCAATAGTATTCACATAGCAAAGTAACAGCTTCTTTTCTGTTCCTTATCTCTAACCAAATAGATTGTTTTTGGACCCTCTAGTACACCATCCCTTTCCAGGTGTCTTTAATCAATATTGCCACCCCCCCCACCCCCGCCTTTAAAAGATATTAGGGGTTATCACATGCTAATTAATAACATTACAGATCTTTTCATTGTACGTTTAGAATGGGAAAGATTTGACACATCATATACTTTATTGTATTAATCTGCATTTCGATGTGTGAAGTTCTAGTCTGCATCTACAATTACAGAATATGTACACATTATTTCATGAAATTATCCAGCTGAAGGCTTTCCTTTGGCTATTCAGCCTCTTGGTACCTGAGAATCCATGACTGATTCACTAAGGATGGACAATTGTGTAGGTGGATCACATTTCTGCATTATAATCTCTTCAGTTGCAGCTTGCTCAGATTCAGGAGCCATAGTAACATTTGGGAACCCTAACAGGAGATAAAGTAAATGGTAAAATAGAAAAGTTTAAGCATTTGTATTACAGTTGCCATCAATGAAATAGTTTTATTCTAGATCACTTTCATGATCATCTTCAAATCAGTGTCTGAATTTTGGTAAGACAGACTATTACAGGTTTGCATTAAAGTGACATTAAAGCTTTCCTTTTCCTAACCTCCACCCCCTGATCATCACTATCCAAATAACGGATCTGGGGAAAATGTCTGGAGGCAAATTTGTCTGATAATCAAATGCATCTCCTAGTCTTATTGATTAAATCGGATTTCATATGACTTATATAGTTTGTCTGCAACTCGGACTTCGCCCAAGTCATATTAAATTTTATGGTACTGATACAACATTTAATATATTATGGAAAGAGTAGAGAATGGAAACATATATAACTGGTGACATTTTCAATGGAGGGGAGGAACAGACCCAGAATGTACAAATAAATAATTATTAAAATTGAGATTACAAATATAATACTTTGCAAGATAGTTGTCTCCCGATTCCACAATTCATCTCCAGCTTGGTGGAGTCTGCAAAGATTGTACATTTAATGTACAAACTACAACATAACTGTTTTCCTCACCTGCCTGTCGCCGTGGAGCATCCCCAAATAAATCCCTAACCACAGCCATTGCTTGATCTGATCGTTCCAACACATCCTGCAGTTGGTACTGATCAAAAAGAATCTAGCAACAAAAATAGTAATTTACCAGTCATAAGGAGAGGGAAGAAAATAATGGGGTAATAATGCAGTATCAAAACAGAATATTCATAGATTGTACATAATTATGTTTTGAAATAGTATGCTTTTTAAAAAATGTCTTCAATTGAAGAATAAATAATAAACATTGATATTGAAGAACCATCAGTATAAGAAACAAACCTACATCTTGGAGCATTGAAAAATCAGAAAAACATTTTATAATGCAGTAGTAAAAAGATATAATCTAGTGTTGCCAAAATAGATTATGGGAGCATTTACAATGAATTACTACTGGTTTCTAAAACTAGAAATTATAACAATAATAATCATCCTTGCATTTGATAAAGTGCCTTATCACGTTGTCAAAACATCTGAAAGGACTTCACAAGATTTACTATAGAGTAGTTACTATATATTTTGCAGGCAAAAATAAATGTACACTGCACAGCAACATTTAGTTGGGTGTGTATAATGAGCAAATAACCTACCAGTAACAAATAATTTATTTTGATACTACCACAACCCAATTTCATTATTATTGATAAATTGTGAGTTCTCTAATATCAAAACAAATATTAGTCCTACAAAAATTGTTCGTGTTTCACAAACAAATGTAGACCATAATTGAAACAGAATAATCCACCTATGCAGTAGGTGTTGCCCCGGGACCTAAACACATCAACATTCTCATGCCCCAAACTTCTAAGCCTCCCCTCTCTCCTCCACCACCAAAGGAGCAATCAAATTCAGCTGGGAACTAGGCTACTTTCCTAGTATGATGGTACCATAAATCTTTCAAACGTTCCACATGTTTTTTTGGTTTGTACAAATCTGTTATTCAATTCACTTAAATTCAAGCTTTTTTAAAAAAAATCTAACTATCACTTAACGAGACATCATAAACAACAAATAATTCTCACCTCTCTCATGATCGCATATTTTTGTCGATCTAGAGAATCTGCCATTTTCTGTCCATGTTTTCGTTGCTTACTAGCAATGGCTCGCTTTCCGAGTTCCCACTGAGCCAAGGCACGGTTCTTTGATAAATGTTTCTCATGTCGTTTAGCCTGAACATCAAACAATTTTAGGAAGGATATAGATCATTAATCACCTTTAAGAAGATTAGTTTCTTTTCAATACAAAATTGTTCACAGTTTCTGCTCCTGGTCAACAATAGCCCAATATGTTACCACCCCCCACCCTGAAAAGAAAATTGGCAAAAGTAAAACAAATTACTGCACTAAAACTCTTAATAACCAATCGTTCTTTCCTATTATGATCTATGGGGACTTCTACCATGCCACTAAAAATGAGTTCTCATCTTTAACTAAATGTGAGGCAGTTTAAAGAAAAAAAATGAAATGGAAAAGCTTGCCCTTGAAATGCATGTTACACACTTACACGTTCCATATCAAAGAACCACAAACCTGACAATCGACAATGCCAGCCAAATGAACTAAAATATATTGAACATCTTTCATCGTGTATCTGAAAGTACTACGAGGCTGGTTCCTTAAAAATACCAGATGAAGTGTCAGTCTTATACAACTCAGTTGTCAAAATATCTGTAGGTAATTTGTGATTTGTAGAGATCCCTTTTCATTGTGGTTTGTTATTGGATCAATTATTTTCAGCTCAAACAAGGTCATTTAATTCTATTTTCTGTGTATTTTATTGTTGTTGGTCACAACTCACAAGTTCCTCAGGGGTAGCCCGATGAACACTTAGGTCACTGACAGTGCTCTGAAAAAGACAAATTTACAAAAAATGGTAAGCCAACCAGCTTACTAATATTATTCCACCCAAACAATACTGCTGAATGACAAAACAATGAAAATAATAGCCACAAATAAAAATTCCTTCTCAAGCAGTTAATTTTATTTGAAGAAGAACAAGATCCCTTCAAATGCTTACTGGTTTCCACCCCAGGAAATTATGCAGAAATATAAAAAAAAGACAAAAAAAAATATTATACAACCAAAAAGTGACAATTATGCAAGATTACACTTTTTTACAACTTCAATACAGATAACACTATGAGGCAGTTAAGCCACATTATGCAATATTACACACCTACGTGTAATGAAAAGGATTTCGCATGAAATTACACAGGCGTGCAATTCCCTGTGGTATACGGGTTAGCGTCAGACTCCACACACGTGGACATAATTGAGGCACAAAGCCTGATCTGCTGCCGTTAGCCAATATCTAGGGGAAAAAAACAAACTACCAAAATTACACTCACATCCCATTCTTTATCCAGAGTCTTCCTCTTTCTGATCCTCCCCATTTTCTTTGCACTTCCATGTGGGTAGTGGGACCGGTTGAGTCGGACAAATGACATCTGCAGTTCGGGATCAGGGATTTGCAAGAACAGAAGACGCTGAAATTACATAAAACATAGCCGGGGAAAAAACACACCAAATCCATTCGTTGAAGACACCCGCGCGTACGTCAATCAGAAACTGTTGCATTAGCTTTACAATGCCTGAGACGGTCTCCCTCCTGAAGTTCCTCCTCAGACAGGATTAACGCGTCGCTGATTAACTCTACCTCTCGGTCTCCACCCAACTCTACAACCGCCGCTGCCCTCACAGTCTAACATCAGGTCCTGGATGAGAGCTAACTTTCTCCAGTTAAATGTCAACAAGACCGAGGCCCTGCCGCTTGGCTCCCGTCAGCGCCTCCACACCTCGGGCGCTGACAGCCTCACCATTTCATGGATGCACACTCCAGACCAAACCTCGGCGTCCTGTTCGACCCTCAACTGCCCTTCAGCCCCCCACATCCATGCCATGACCCGCCACGCACGCCACCCCCCACCGCCGCGACGTTGCCCAAACCCGGTGCGATGACTCGGAGCGAACTCATTCACCACCAACCTCCCCGGCAGCAGGTCACCGCCGCGCCGCCCGCGGCACTTCCCTCAAACGTCCCCCGTTACTATGGGCGACGAGCGCGTTCAAACCGCTCCCTCCAACTGTCGCGGGTGTCGCGCGAAGGGTATCTAAGTGGAGCGGCTAATATGACGTGTGTATGAAGCGTCCGCTGGCTGTTGAATCGCCGCACGGCGGCCGTTTAAAACCTTACAGCTTGTTCTCCCGGGTTGTGTGTGCATGCGCAGTCTGGTCCGGAAAGGCAGCCATTTTGGTAAGGTCGTACAGCGGAAGCCCCACTTCCGGTTACCTTTCTATTATAATAATCCTTGCATTTGATACAGCGCTTTTCACGTCGGGAGGACGTCCCAAAGCGCTTCACAGAACACACTGGAGCAATCCCTCTGCACAATCGGTTCCGACCCGAAGACCTTGTGCTTGAACTAACTATTCATCCACTTTCTTGCAGTTAACGGGTGGCATTTATTAGGTTATGTTTAACCAGGTTAGCTTCAGCTTCGCTTTTGATTATTGTTTCTGTTCTGTTTTTTTAATTATTGAGGTCAACCAAGTTGACATGCGGTTGCGAGTTGGGCTTTGCCGACAACAGCAACATTACACTTGTAGAGCGCCTTTCATGTCGGGAGGTCGTCCCAAGGTGCTGGACAGTCAGTGTTTTGGACCCGAGTTGGGGGTCGGGATTGGGGAGGGTGGAGGGCAGTGAGGGAAGGAGGAGGTGGGTCTTGAGATGGGTCTTGAAGGAGGTAAGGGAGGGGGCGAGGCGGAGGGACTGCGGGATGGAATTCCAGAGGGTGGGGGCAGAGTGGCAGAAAGGGTGGGTGAAACGGAGTATGTGAAACAGGCCGGAGTCAGCTGAGTGTAGGGAGCAAGCAGGATGGTATGGGTTTAGGAGATCGCAGAGGTAGGGGTTAGCGAGGCCATGGAGAGCCTTGAAGGCAAGGACCAGGATCTTGAACTGACTCCTCTGTATGATGAGAAGCCAGTAGAGTCAGGTGAAGACGGTGATGATAGGGTCACGGAGCCTGGTGCGGGAGAGGACATGGGCTGCAGAGTTCTGGATGATCTACAGCCTATGGAGAGAGGAGTTGGGGAGGCCGACAAGCAAGGAGTTTGCATATTCAAGCCTGGATGTAATGAAAGTGTGTATGAGGGTTTTGGCGGCCTGTGGTGAGACAGTGGCGGAGCCGGACGATGTTGTGGCATTGGGGGAAGGCAGAGCCGGTCATGGTAGAAAGGATAGTTGAGGGTCAAACAAGACGCCAAGGCTCTGGACTGGCTTAGTAAGGTGGAGAGTGCATCCATGGATGGTGATGCTGTCAGCGCCTGAAGTATGGCGATGCTGACTGGAGCCAATCAGGAGGGCCAACCTTCAATATGGGAATAACTACATTTGTTGCTTTTAGTTTGTCGTACGCTTGCCATTGTTTCTTGACTTCCTCAGTCCTTTATACATCTCCCTTTTAAGTATCCTGATGTATAACTTTTATGGCCTTGTTTTAAACTTTAAATCTTAATATGTAAAACTCAAGTTTTCACATTTTTGGGGGGACTTGAGGTTATATTTGTAATTATGTACAAATTTTAAAATAGGATCATAGGAATGTACAGATCCATGCCTTTTGTAAGATGAATATCACATCCTGTAGCAGCAGATTGTATAACCGAAACATAGTTTAGTTTTGCCTAAAACCCTAGCTTGTTTGACACTGCAGCACATGAACTGAATACATTTGCCTGCAATGAATGTGTTTGCCTACAACCCATGATACTGCAAGACAATTTCAGAAAAGACGTGGTAAGGCTGTAGTCATTACCTAGTTTAGTGGTTCTTAAAAGTCTTCTGTTTCCTTATATTGATCACAAATGAGGTTTGGATGAAGCAAGCATTTCAACCCATTTAATAAATATTTCCATGCATCATATCAAATGTAAGTGACAGGATAAGGATCCTACCTTGACACGTTATCCTGTCATTGAAATGTCTCAAAAGAGCTTCACAGAATTTTACGGTTTAGTGTAGTGACTGAGTACTTGTAAGCAATTTGATCTCATTCTTTCAGAATACATCTTATTCCAGCATCAAGTTGCTTTTGAACTGAGTCGTTTCCCAGCCTCGACCACCCTTTCTGGCAACCCGTTCAAGTCACTAATCACCCTCTCGGCAACGAAATGCGTGTCTGTCCTTGTTGAGCGCTCCGAAACGCAATCCAACGTGAAGAGCATTGTATAAATGCAAATAATTATTGTTCTGAAATCGCCCTTTTCAACCCGAAACCAGGAGAGTAATTGTTCTGCTGATTGATCTGTAATATTTAATTAATGTTTCCTGAAGGGGGTGGAGGGAATTTTTGTCATTTCGAACAGGTTGCCAGAAATTAAAATATGTTTTAAGTCCAAGTCAAAAAATACTTGCCCAAAAGTTATTTTTTTTGGTCAGCCAGGTGTCTGACACATGTGGAAACCCATCATCGTAATAATAATCCCTCCAAAACCAAAAACAATAATAAATTGGTCATTTTCAACCTACGACTGTTTGTGGGACATTGCTGTGTGCAATTGGCTGCCGCGTTCGCCCACAAATATACAGTCAATTCACTTTACAGTGTGTTCTGTGAAGCGCTTTGGGACGTCCTCCCAACGTGAAAAGCGCTATATCAAATGCAAGGATTATTATTATTATTATTATCGTGCTTCAGAGTTTCCAAACCAAGCTGAGATTTCCATGCATCCTATTGTTGCATTGGTGTTGGGATAACTGCCGGTGTCTGACCAACTAAAACCGCAGAGCTTGCCATTGATATTGCTGTCCAGCAAGCTTTCCGGCTGCTTGTCCAGCTTGATGTCGGTTCAATGCTGTACTTTACCTACTATGGGTAGCAAAGTGTCCAGTTTAGGTGAGTTGAGTCGGGTCCTGACCCAACTGCACAGCGCCTCGGGACGTCCTCCCGACGTGAAAGGCGCTCTGTAAATGGAATCTTCTTCTTCTTCTTGTTGAGCGCCCTTGAAACTGTCAGGAAAAAAGATCTTCAGAGAAACAAGAAGCGGGTTTGCAGGTTTAAGATCCAAAAAAAATATATTAAATTAGGGTTAGGGTTAAAAAAAAGCCGTTTTTTTTCACACATAAATACAATAAAAAAAAACGACCAATCTGCCAACATTGGTGACACGGGGGGTGGGGGGGGGGGGGGGATGGATGCACTGTGTGCTGCCTTTTGCTGGCCTCCCAATGCCAGCCTTGCCCAGCGGGTGCCTGACGCACAGCCTCCTGACCCACACACACACACACACACACACACGGCGGTGGGTGCCACAGCCCGGAGACGTTTTAACGTCAAAGCAAAGCGGCGCCAATGGGGAGAGAGCACCGAAACGCAGGGCTGCGGATCACATCAACAAATCCCTCCGTGTTTCTGCCCGTTTCCCGGTGACCGCGAGCCTCGGAGACGCAGCCTCTGCCCTGACTAAGCCGATCAGGGGGTGGGTGGGGGGTGGTGGTGGTGGTGGTGGGAGGGGGCAAAGCGACCGCAACACATGGGATCTGATCGAGGTGGAGGTGGGAAGGTGTGGAGCAGACGGGGCTGCGGCGGGTTGGGAATGCTGCTCCTGCACTGGCTCTGTGCGCTGCTGCTCCCCCGCAGCGGCTGCTGTTTGGATGTGCGCTGGTCCCCGGGCAGCCCGGTGCCCAGCCCAGGGGCTGAGTTTGACAGACTGTACACTGGATATGTTAGTCGAGAGGTCGAAGAGATCTATTCCTTCAATTACACTACTTGGCCACGACAGGTGAGCAGACAGACAGACACACAGACAGACACACAGACAGACACACACACAGACACACAGACAGACACACACACAGACAGACAGACACACAGACAGACAGACAGACACACACACAGACAGAGAGGCGTAACTGGGCAACAGCGCATACGAGACAGTGCAAACCCATCCATCGCCCTTATCCTCTCAATTTCTTTGCTGTCAATTTCTCTGCTGTTGGTCGGAGCTGCCGATCATTCGTAGTGAAGTGGTCGTTTGTAAATATATATATTTTTAAATAATTGCCATTATTAATGTTGGATTCGAAACGCCTGATGATTTTGTGGAAGCTGCTGGAGGGAGATGTGTTGCCTACATGTACTGCAGAGAGGATGGATTGAAGACAGGCTGCTGGACATGTGAGAAACCACTTGATGCAGTAATGCTATCACTTTGTGGTGGATGTTCCAGGATGAATAATTCCAAATGGACTGAAAACCCTTTTGCATCATAACCTCTTATATCCGTTTACATAAATGCCAGAATATAATTGCAATTTATTCAGGAGGTGTTGATGGCTGAATTTCCGTCATTCGTTTCTAGTCTTCAAATGTATCTCGTGTATTATTCTCTGTAATTAGGAGCTATGCTGATCAAGTATTTTCAGAGCATAAATTGTATTTATTCTTGACATTTTACAATTTGGGGTCTAAAGTGTTGTTTCCTTCATATTGTATATTTGCATTTTGTTTGTAAACGTTACTACTGTAGTGTGTTAACAATGATAACACTTTGTATTTGATCCAGTACCTAACCAACATTTCCAATTGCTTCATTGGTTATTGTTGTTCGGTGCATTGTACAGTACAATATATTGCTGTGACTGCATTTATAGATACACGTGGCAACCAATTTGTGTACTACAACCAACAACCAAAACAGCCAAATGGTGAATGACCAATTTATCTGGGGAATTGTTGGTCAGGGCACCAGGAGAAATTCTTCTTTTTGAATATTGTCATGGGATCTTTAGAGTGGGTACTCAGTTTAATATCTCATGTAAAAGATGGCACCTCCAGCAATACATTGCTCTCTCAGCACTGTATTGGCGGGTCAGCCAATTTTTATCAATTGTTACTACTATTTATCATGACATTTACTTGTGCAAATTCATTTTTTCTCATTTTTAACAAATGCATTTTCAGTGTTAATTAAAATGTGATACTTTAAGCCCTTTTGATCTAAAGAAGCCAATTATTCTTTTATTTGGTATGATATAACAGCCTGAACAATTGTTGCTGACATAATTTTGCATTAACGTAATTAAAAATAGACACAAATCTCATAATTTGTGACTCATTCTGGGCCCAGTGCAACATTTTGTTGTGAAATAAAAGCATTACATCAATTATTTAATATGCTGTAATAAAGAAATCCACATTTATTGGAAGACCATTGGGAGTCGAGAAACCTTAATATCTAACAGGCACTCCAAAGGTGATTTTCGAAATGCACTAAATATTTTCAAAATTTGAGCTTTCAGTATCTTGCTCTAGGTTGAACCAGTTCTGAATAACTTCGCAGAGTGTCTTGAATCTTGGGCATTTTGCACAGGTGGAAACAATACAGTATATCAAGTTTGTTTCAGGGTTAATGAATTTTCTGCGAGTGTGTTCCTGCTACTGGACTTAGTCATTTTCTATATGAGTTACTTTTGTAACTTTCAAAAAAAATCTCTTTGCAGGCAGGTGCAGTCAGAGTTTTTGTCAACACTTCATCAGATGATTTGCAATTTCCAGTACTTTTTGTGGTACGCCAACAGAAAAGCATTTTGTCATGGCAAATTCCGCTGATTCTTCGAGGGCTGTAAGTGTTTAAAATATGTGCACACATGTACAACTACTAACTTGAGTTTAAATTGCAAGTTAGTCATAAATTTGTTAATGGACAGTTACATATCTATGTCATGAGGTAATATAGATTTTATTTCCCAACAGGCTTCATTCGCACGTTGCTGAGTGCACGTGGGGAAAATCACCAATCCATTGTTTCATTAAAAACTAGATGTTCTTCTTAGATTTTTTTTTGTTCTTTAACAATTGTTGCTTCCTGATCAATATGAAGCATCTTTAACAATGTTTAACACATGCCCTTTAACAATAGATATGTGCAATATTTTGTATGTTGTTTTCTGAGGTGTGGAAGAGAAACTGGATTTTAAATAGGGTTGATGTTGATAAATTATTTAAATATTCTTTAATGTTTGCAATCAAACAATGTGGTGAAGGAATTCATAATAAAACTATTACTAGTGCACAAGGTAAAATGTTATTCAGTTTTCTCTGTTTTTTTGTGTCTTGATTATGGTGGTAATCTTCCTATATTCATTGACTAGTTAAATAAATAGCATATTTTAATATTTTTGCTTCAAAGTTTGAACATGTCTTTTTTAAAGATACCAGAGGATATATACCTATCAGGAAGTGAGCCGTATTCTTTGCCCAATGAAGCCTTTGAATGAAAAGGAACCCCAGCCGCACTACATGTTTGTTGATGTGGCGTCGTTGGCTCCGTACAATATACATTATGAACTTCTAGTTTCCAGAGTTCATCATTTTTCGATAGAGTAAGTATAGTGCTTTATCTTAAATATTTCAAACAATTTTCAAACTGTACAATTTGTTTATTCAACTTGTATAATTATTTTATTGTCAAAAAATAACTTGTGAGATGAAATTACTATCTAATTCTATATTGAGTACTTTGTCCTGACGACACTGGTATAATTGGCCAAATGGTCCTCCTATACTGAACTGTCTATACATGTGAGATTCAGCATGGCTTTAATACAGTGTGCTTACTTTGACTTTGGTAAAGCACCTATTGTGTTAAACTGCCCACAGGGACATATTTCTTAGACAAACTTTATACTTATCTGGTATGTGGTTTATCAAAGCCCCTTCCCAGGTATTGATTGTTTTAAAGAAACTAGTTTTCATTATAAACCAAGAACATTTCTTGTTTCAATGAGTCTGAGATCTGACCATCATCTTGCCTGTTTGTATTGCCTCAGATGTAATTTTAGACCTTATCTCCCAATTGCCCTTCAAATTATTTTGAAAAATAGTATCAAAATAATGAAACAAATAATAAATTTATGTTTCAGATTTTCTATTTAGCAGGTTGCAGACAAAATAACAAACTACCATGTGGCAAGAATGTGTAATTTTTGTTATAGCAACAATGCAGGGCAGAAGTAATCAATGTGCAAAATAATCAAATCTAAAATGATTTACAGCAAAGATTGTCTGTTTGAAATATCATGGAGACATAAAATATGTTTTTAAAAACTTTTGTTTCTTTTCCCAGGACAAGTGAAATGTTTAGTTTTACAGCTACACCATCTGAGCCACGGGTGAGAAAGCTAGATTTTCCATGGAATCTATTTCTAGGTTATTTCGTAAAGTTTAAAAAAAAGCCTAGCCATCTCAATTGTTTGATTTATTTACTATTAGCGCAGTAACTTCCAATTTGTAAATACTGCATTTTCAACCCAAATCGAGCAAGTAAATGTTCATTTTATTTTATTTGTTATAAAGGTTATCAAATTTTTAAAGAATGCCTTAGATTTTACAATTACTGAATAGAAAACCATTACATTTCCTTTTCCTCCACAGTACTTTATGTACGAGTTCCCTCAAGACGTTGATTCAGTCATCATTAAAGTGGTGTCAGAGAAGGCATATCCATGCTGTGTTGTCTCAGTGCAGGATATTGTGGTTAGTGATCTAATCCATGATAATTCGGCATGTTTATGAAATTGAATTATCAGTAATAATTGTTCTGTGTATTCTGAATTAGTAAAAGAACCAAAGGCAACTGTAGGAATAAGTACTTTTAAATAACAATTTGTATTTATGTACAGCAGCACCTTTCTCAAAAGGTAATTCATATCAACATGCTTTTCAGAGGCATGCTAGACAGCAGGCTCTCAACAACAGTCACTACATTTTACAACAAAATCCTGTGACGTTCTTTGACACCTCTCAACAACAACTTGCATTTATATAGCGCCCTTCAATGCGGGATAGAATCCCGGATCGTGATAAGGCGCTATACCAATTGCAAGGATTATTATTAACTCAATACACACCAGAGATCGAACCTCGACCATCTAGTACTCTATTTCTCAATTTGATACCATGCAATGGCTTAACCAACTGAATGATCACGGGACTTGCTTCTTAGCAATTTAGCTTTAAAAAGGCACCATTTTCTCTGCTGGGAACTGTTTGGATGATATCTGAACTGAAAAATATCGCAATATATCAGCAGTTTATACTATCAATGATAGCATGTTACTATCAATGGAATTGAAGATGAGCCAACTACATTTAAAAAGGAATTCAATAAGCACTTGAATAAAAATATAACAGTATGGTTAGAGAATAGGGAAATGAGATTACAATAGATGAGATAGCATGGTACAGACTTTTGTGGGTGAAACATATAGGTTTCATATTTCATAATACACAGGTTGTGCTTTTTTAAGCATTTAGTATTTTGCTGATATCATTTAGTTATAATTAATGTTCTTTTATTTATTCTATAGTGCCCCGTTTATGACTTGGATCACAATGTTGAATTTACTGGTGTATATCAAACAATGACAAAGACATCTGCCATTACTGTGCAGGTATGTTTTAGATTTACGGATATTCTAATTAATGCTCACCAGCTCATAACAATAATAGCAACAAAATTACATTTATAGAGCGCCTTTCACATCGGGAAGACGTCCCAAAGCGTTGAACAGTCAGGGGTCGGGACCCAAGCATAGGGGATGGGTGGTGTGGGGGTGAGGGAAGGCAGAGAGGTGGGAGAGCAACCAAAGGCACGATCGAAGAGAAGGGTCTTGAGACTGGCCTTGAAGGAGGTAAGGGAGGAAGCGAGGCGAAGGGACCGTAAGATGGAGTTCCAGAGTATGGGAGCAGAGAGACTGAAAGCTCGGCCACCGATGGTAGGGCGGGTCGGGCGGGAGATGTGAAGCAGACTGGAGCCCGCTGAACGGAGGGAGTGGGCAGGTTGGTAGGGAGTCAGCAGGTCAGAGAGGTAGGAGGGGCAAGGCCATGGATGGCCTTGAAAGTGAGGGCGAAGATCTTGAATTCGATTCTCTAAGGTATGGGGAGCCAGTGGACTTGGGCGAAGGTGGGAGTGATGGGATCATGGAGCCTGGTGTGTGAGAGTACACGAGCTGCAGAGTTTTGGATGATCTACAGCTTATGAAGCGAAGAGTTGGGAAGCCCGATGAGGAGGGAGTTTCCTTAATCGAGCCTTGATGTGACGAATGCATGGATAAGACCCCACAGCAACCTGAGGGGTGAGGCAGCGGCGGAGTCTGGCAATGTTGCGGAGGTGGTGATAGGCAGTGCCAGTCATGGCGCGGATGTGTGGGAGAAAGGATAGTGAGGTTGAGTGTGCAGCCGTGGATGCTGATGCTGCCAGCGCCTGAGGTGCGGAGGCGCTGGCGCGAGCCAATCAAGAGGGCCTCGGTCTTGCTGACATTCACTTGGAGAAAGTTGTCCCTCATCCAGGACTTGTTGGTCAGGACGCGGGTAGTCCTGGGGTTGAGGATGGAGGTAGAGAGATAGAGTTGGGTATCATCCGCATACATGTGGAAATTTACCCCATGTCTGCGGATGATGTTACCAAGGGGGAGCATGTACAGGATGAAGAGGAGGGACCGAGGACAGAGCCCTGAGAAACACCACAAGAGACGATGCGGGGGCTGGAGGAGAAGCCGTTTACAGAGTCGAAGTGGAGGCGGTGTGAAAGGTAGAACCCGAACCAGTCAAGAACAGTACCTTTAACGTTGAGGTGGGAGGAGAGGCGATGGAGGAGGATTGAATGGTCCACAGTGTCAAAGGCGGCGGAGAGGTCAAGGAGGACGAGGAGGCAGAGGGAACCCTGGTCACACATGGTCAGGATGTCGTTTGTGATCTTGACCAGAGCAGCTTCCGTGCTGTGGGCAGCACGGAAACCCGATTGGAGGCGTCATGGAGGGAGTGGGAGGAGAGGAAAGAGTAGTGGGACAAGGAGGTGGAGCTGGGATTTAAGGAGAGGAGTGGTGATGGGGTCCAGAGAGCAGGTGGTGGGCTTCATGGAGGATATAGTGGTGAAGACAGGGGAGGGGGTGACAGGTTCAAATGTGTGGAAGGAGGGATGGGTAATTGTCAGAGTGTGGACATAAAAATGACCATTGCGTGTTGCTCACCAACCTGTAGGTAGATTTCAGAAATTGTCTCTTTCTAATCAATTTTGTCATGGAAGGAAGTTCTCCCAGTAAAACCGGTATCTTCAAAAATATTATTTATTAAATTTGTAACCTTGGCAGTGCGTTTTTATAATGCAAAATGCAGAATTTTTATTGTTCAGAAAGGAATGGGTATCACACATGGTTGATTCAGTGATACCAAACTACATAGTAGGTAATATATAATTATTTTTGTTTCATAGAAAAAGGATTTTCCTGGTGGAAAGTTTTACACAGTTCTTGTTATTAAACCTGAAGATTATGCTTGTGGTGGATCAATTCCATTTTATCTAATCAGAGGTGAGAACCAACTGTAGTATTTTGTTTAATAATTTAATAATAAATTCAGCATTATATTTACCATTGCCATTACAAAAACCTGTGGCAGAAATGGATAGATGTGGTATGCAAAGTCTCACAAACAACAACAAAAATTACATTTATATAGCGCCTTTTATGTCAGGAGGACATCCCAAGATGCTGGAAAGACCATGTGATGACTCTTGGGGTTGAGACTTCATGCCTAATTCAACTTAAAGGTGGTCCCTCATTTGTTGGGCCACCTTCTAAGGCTTAAGCAGTGGTTGCTGGGTGCAAATGATTAGAACAGAGGAGTTACCTGGACATGCAATCTTATCTATCTGCATACCTACATTCGGGATATTACTTTGCCCACTGCTCTGCTGCGATTTATTTGAAGGTGTATCTGTGAGCAGTTGGAAACTTGCAATAACATTGCCAATTATATCCAGCATTGTGCCGGCTGCATCTACAGTGATATTTGAAATAGTGTCTGCAACAGAAGTGAACAAATGCCTTGAGGATGTCTTGAGAATGCCAGGAGCTCAGGGACTATAGAAATAATGGTTTCAGTGATGATTTCAGACTGTTCTTGGATAACATGCCAATAAGTCAGTCCACTGCTATATAAATGCAAGTTCTTGTTCTAATACCCACTGCTTGGAAACGGCCAGGGGAAGAATTACTTTCCTCCTCCTCTTAGCCATCCTGACCTCGCACCGCTCTCCCTCAATTGTCTATTTTACACCACTGTGCCATGCCTCACTCACTGCTACCTCCCTGCTGTATTTATATTTGTATTACTGCTATGTAGATTCATGTGATGATGATGCTTACTGTGTATGCAACATGTTCGTTATGTTCTCCATATTACTGGTACAGAGCTGGCATTACTGATCCCTGTTGTTTACATGGTTAAGGTATGCTTACAAGCATTAACTATATGCATCCTGTAGTTTTATTTATTTTTATGAGGAAAACTATTACATTTGTAGAACAAAACAGAAAGAAAAACAATTTTGAAATCTGGCATACCTGTGGTCCTGTTTGCTGGCCTTCCAACTCTTCCCTCCACAAGATGCAGATTATTCAACAATAATCTCCTCTTGCAAACTCTGTGAGCCAGTCACCCACATCCTTGTCCGACTTCACTGGTTCCCCATTCCCCAGAGGATCTAGTTTAAGATCCTTGTCCTCACTTTTAAAGCATTCCACGGACTTGCTCCTCCTTGCCTCTGGGATCTACTAAAACCTGACCAACCTGCCTGCTCCTTCCACTCGGCGGCCACTGCTTGCTTCACGTCCCTGCCCTGCCCACCCCACCATAGGCAGTCGGGCCTTCAGCATTTCTACTACTACCCTCTGGAACTCCATCTCAGAGTGCCTTTACGTCACTCCCTCCCTTGCCTCCTTCAAGGACCATCTCAAGACCTTCCTCGTTGACCGTGCCTTCAGTTCCTCCCACCCCATCCCCCTTATCCCTCTTGATCGGGTGCAAACCCTTGACTGACTAGCACCTTGGGATGTCTGCTTGACATGAAAGGTGCTATGTAAATTCAATTTGTTGTTGTTCTTGTTGTTTGTCAGTTACTCTGTTGACATCTGTAAACAGCAAGAATCAGTTTGGATTCATTAAATTATTCAACATTTATTGTTCTTATACTAAGTATACCAAAACCAAACTTTATTTTATTCTATAATATTGAGGGTTTTTTATGCAGTACCATCTATATATTTTTAATCTTTTTTAAGGTAAAGGAAATTACACTGAAAACCAAGAGCGAATAAAACAACTTCAATTGACCATAGTGCCATCAATTAGTGGTGTGTATTACTTCTAAAGTCATATAAAGGATTCTCCAGGTTTGAAATTTTATTTTTTATTATAGCAGAATGTCGTTTGAAGATAAATGGTATTTCACTTTGTGCATGACTATTTTTACTTACTTCTTTGATTCCGGGCTGATATTCCCGACTATGGGGCTGATATTGTCCTTTTGTGAATTAAAGGAAAATAACAAGATTTCTGAAAATGTTTGAAACTGAGTTGTTAGGACCACATAATTTATAAATCATTCTTTGAAACAGATTGATTTAGGCATACAATCTATTCTATACGTCTGGAAGTGGAATAGAGATGGGGTATCCATGGTTACCCATCAGACATCTGCGAGCAGCGAAGCTTAGCTATTCTGGCTGAAGCAGCAATATTGGGTATTACAATTCATTAGAGTTATCTCTGAATTCAGTGCAACTTTTATAGTGCTGGTCTTCAAAAGATCAAATGTACCAGTTCCTTCAATGAAGTTGGCATTATTCAAAGCAAAGGTTGGTAATACAGCCAAGACTTGGAATTGACTTCCTCCAAAATACTTTTGAGTTAATTAAGAACGATGCATTTGGTAATAATTTGCCTTACTGATGATGCTTTTTTTTAAAGAAAAGATCCTAATGACAAAAAAGGATATTTAAGGATCTCCTATTATAAGTATGAAATGTGTATTAGCATTAGTGTACATGTGCACCCCTTTGTGTACAATGAAAAGTGATCTTTCATTATGCTTTCTTCAGTTTTGGTTATGTTTTTTCTCTTTAGAGACGGTGTACATACAGGTTATTCTGTTTTGCTTCTTCATCTTCTTCTCCTTTTATGTTGGAGCACTGCTTGTTGCTTTTGTGCATTATATCAGGTAAGTTCAATCTATTTAAAAAATACAATTAGAATTCAAAAATGTATTAAATTTCACATTCTGGACACAAGATGACACAATGATGCTGGTGGTACAAAAATGAGATGGTTTTCTTCCAATTGCTTATATTAAAGCATGGGTAGAGACAGGAGCAACATTTGAATTTTAGAAGTACTGATTTAAAAACATTTAAAACAGAAATTGCATTTTCCTTCAGGATACTAATGGAAAATATTGATAAATTTATTGAAAATGGCAAACCATTTATTCTGAAAAAGGTACAAATTTCTGTTATCTCTGAAGCTTAGTGAACATGGGAATATTTAATCATGGTAGATATGAAGGCTTAAATATGTTTGTAGAGTATTGGCAGAGTATGTGAACAATATTTTTGGAAATATTAGTTACTCCAATAGTCATTGCACAAGACAGGGGTGAAAGGGAAGTAGGAGTCTCTGTATATTTGTAGGTGAATATTTAAGCGCTCTGATACGCTACCCTGCATGGAGGGCGCTTTATAAGTGCAAGTTATTGTTGTTGAATATTTGTAGGAATGAGCAAGCGAACAGGATACTGGGCTATATTGTGAAATAAATTGATTTAGATCCCCAGAGTTATGTTCAAGCTATATGTTCTGGTTAGGCTGCCCTTGGAGTATAGTGTACCGTTCTGGTTGTCGTGATGCAAGGGGCTGCCCAGACCCTGGAGACAGTAGAGAAAAGAGCAACAAGTGTAATTAGCAGTTAGAGGAATAAGCTACAAGGAACGATTGGGATTTTTTAGTTGGAAAAAGAGATGTCTCAAAGGGGACCTTATAGAAATATGCAAAATTCTGAATGGGATTGAAAAAGTCAACCTATTTGGCAATCAAAACTGCAGATCAAGAGGGCACAAGTACAGGATTGTAAAAGGCAATTTCAAGATACATATTTCTTTACACAATTGTTTTTGCAAAAGGAACTTTTTTTCCATTGTCGTACATTTCTGCATGACATTGTTATATGATTTTCATTACCTCTATCAACATAGTTTGGATCAAGAGAAATTACTTGATTACATTTTTCTGTTTTTTTTATTCTTTAGGTTTCATCAAACAAATTTGAATGGAGCAGATGAGGGTAAGTAGGCTGGCTAAGAAATAAAATTTATAATTCATCCCGGTGATTACAGAATATTATTCTCCTGATCTAAAGTCGTATTCAAAAAATGACAAAAATGTATATGTTTTTATTTTTGAGGTGTTGGAACAATGTCAGCAACACATCCGATCACATTTGGAGCACCAGAAGGAGGCAGTTATGGGGCTATTGGTAAGTTAGAAAAATCATTGTAATTTTATGTTGTATTATATGACCCTTACTAAAATAACTAAAATGTGTTCTGTGAGACTATACTTATGTATATGTATGTTTGTTTTTATTGAGTTACAGAAGAATCTAGCCCAGATGTTGCAAGTCAAATTAATTCTCCATTAGATGTAGATCATTGCTCTGTACAAGGGGAAGATAATTTTGATACTGAGCATGACATTGAGTTTGATAAGGAAATGTTCAAAAGTAAGGTATGTGAACATATTTAACAATTAGATGGAACCATTAGATAGCATATAAAGTCTTGCTGCCATTGAGAAAGTTCTGTGGATTAAAAATGTTCTTGTTTAAAAAGCATGATTGTTTTAGCCCCCAGTGACATGACGGAAAGCTTCCCCTTCCCCAAACTAGGGAGGACTACATACCAGTGGTGAATGTACTTTCTCCAACCCAAACTACATAATTTCATCTCTGCCATAAGAATGTGAATCCTATGGAAATGTAGACAAAAATATACAATCCTACACAGATTCCGACATGTCCCACCTCCAGCCATTCTGCATTAAGTTTTAGGTAGCTGTTAACAATCTTGATTTACTACAGACTCAGCCCATATCTGCATGGACTAATAGATTCAAGACTTTTAATGGTGTAGGTCAGTTGAATCCTAATAACACATTAATAGACTTGGCAACTTTACAAGGGAGCGTGGATTCAATTTATGGGAGAGAAAGCAAACAGACGACTCAGAGTAGTGAATATCAAACATTACACAGACATATTGTATCAGCAAATTCAGGAGGGAAATTGATAGCTTCTGGGTTGTGGAGTGTGATAGAATAAAGTGTTTTTTTTAATGCTTTGGCCCCGTCCAAATGAAGGATAATAATCTTTTCTAGTCCTATATGTTCCTGTGTTCATGGGTTGAGAATGGTAACTGTTAGGTGACATTTTAATGTAATCTATCGGCCACATTTATCTGTTATTGTAGTTTATGATGACTAAGTTATGTTAGCACCAAAAATGACAACTTTATGAGGACATTTATATAATAATACTAATATTTCCCTTATTCTATCAATAATTGTATCTAATTTTCTCATCAGGTGACTACATAATTGCAGGAACTAACATTGTACTTCTCATTTTAGACATTTCTCTTTGTGTCAGACTTGTCTCGAAAAGACAACAAGACTGTTAGCAGGAAGTACAATATCTATTTTTGGTAAGTAGTTATTCTGGCTAACTGAACTGTTTTCCATACTTGTATACCTGTATATATAAGTTTTGTGGAAACAGTAAATCATCTCTCCAGTTTTTCTTAAAATAAAGCAACACACTTTGCAAGAAGGACATGTAATTCTATGTTTCAAAGGTGTACTGAAAAGACTTTCTTCCAAGGGAAACTATCAGTATAATCTGATTTATTTTTTGAAGGGGTTTTGTTGTGTTCAATTTCTGAAGACCAACTAAACAGTATATGTTTGGCAATTCTGATGTACTGAACTGAAATCTAATTCTCAACTGTTTTTGAAGGGTTGGGTTGATGCGTGAAGGCTCAAACTAGTGGATAATTTCAAAACCTTGCTTGTAAGGAAGGAAGGAAGTATGTAAGTAAGAAAATGTTTCAAAATTATTTTTCCCTGCAGGAATATTACTACAATTGCTGTGTTCTATGCTCTTCCTGTGATCCAGCTTGTCATCACATATCAGACAGTAAGTTTATAGCTGCAACAAAATCTGGTTCTGTATATCTTCTTCTGGCTCTTTGCTCACATTTTGGATAGATAGTAGAAAAGGTTGATCCTACATTTTGAAGAGTGTATCGTTCTATCCTGAGCCGATTAAAGACCAAATCTAGACGTATACTAAAAATTATGAAAGGTCTCAGACTATACCTTGTTGAAAAAAGCAGAATTGAGCAACCTGTATTCTAATGCTATTACATCAGTAGTGAAGCACCTTGTTTTAGCGTGGCTGTACTATGCAGGAACCCTATGTAGGTATTTTTTTAAAAATTCCTTTCCCGAACAGTGCAGTGGGAGGAATTTCTACACATGATGAATTCCTGATTGTAGCTGCCCTGGTAGGTGGAATGTAGAGACTTCTCAAGGGTGAGGAAGAAAAAATTAGTTGGCAAGCAACTTGATTGTGCATCGAGAAACTGTGGAGTCCCGTAGCATAGTGGTCAGCGTGCTCGCCTCACAAACAAGAGGACACAGGTTCAATTCCTGGAGGGGATATGAGAGTGCGAAACCTAAGTCAAGTTTCCTTATTCCACCCACCTGTTTACTTGATAGTAAGTAGGAACCCAATTTGTCAATTGGTGGATTGTTTTACGGCTAATAAAAAAATTGGTCACCCAATCCATGACTGTTGGACTGCTGAGCGCAATTGGCTGCCACATTTTGCCTACAAAATACACAATCAATCTACTTTACAATACATTCTATGAAGTGCTTTGAGACATCTCAACAATGTGGTAAGGTGCTATGTCAAATGCAAGGATAATTAATATTATTAAATGAGTTACATAATGCCATTGGTATGAGACATCAAGCAGAATTGGCTGCTTACTCTGCTGGTATGGAGTATGCTGTGGTGAACCTCAAAATTTAAAGAAATAGATGTTGAAAATGAGAAGAGAAATCTCTAATTTGGAATGTTCTTTTGATTTGAGGACCTGTCATTTTTCAGCCAAGACCAATCAATCAAAGTAGATTTAAAAATGTCTCTAGTAACAAATTTCATGAAAGTAGGTAGCCTTTATAAATACCTCCACATTTGTCAAAATTGGTCTGTTATTTTCTGTGTTTCTGTTTGTTGTTCTGAATTGAAATCTCTTAACAAAAAAACTGGAATAGCTGGAACCTTTATTTATCGGTAAACACAATTACTTATTCAAGTAATAATCTAGATATGTACATTGCATTTCACCCACAAAGTATACAGTCAGTTCACTTTACCGTATATTCTGTGGCGTGCTTTGAGACATGTCACGACATGATAAGGTGCCATATCAAATGCAAGGATGATTATTACAATACAAATTTACATTGATAGCAGCTTTCACATTGGGAGAACGTCCCAAGGCGCTAAAAAATACTGGCTTAGTACATGAGCTGGGGTTCAGGGCTGAGAGGAGTGGGGAGGGGAAAAATGACCGAAAACACAGACAAAGAGGTAGTTCTTGAGACGGACCTTGAAGGAGGTGAAAGAGGGAGCAAGTCAGAGGAACTTCCAGATGGAATTCCTAAAGTTACATTAATACATGCTGGCGTCTTCTGTGATATTTGGGGACAAAGTACAGAAGCCTCTTGCCTCCAAATTGTTTTGTTTTCACTTCAGGTTGTCAATGTAACAGGTAACCAGGACATCTGCTATTACAACTTCCTGTGTGTTCACCCTCTTGGAGTGTTAAGGTAAGTATCTTTTTAGAAAATTCTTTATTACACTTATTTTTGATTAATTTTGTTGTCTTATCAAATACAGAGTAATATTATCTTATTACAGTTTAAATTACTCCATAGATGTGGTTTCTAAGTGGTTTTCAGTGACCAATAACAGCTCCACTTTAATGGATGTTACTTTTCTTAGTATGTTTGCATTTCTCCAAATAACTGCTTTCTGCATGAGGTGGACATTTTATGTAGCGGGTACCTTGTCAAGTCATTCCTGAATTGTCTTATTAACAGTCCCAGTTGTACCAATGATTATCGGAACTATGCTTGTGTGGTACTGCTGCATGCGTCTGCATTGAATTTGTAGGTCAATATACTTCTTGATCTTCTCTAGTTACTTATTTTGTACGTTGTAGTCACTTGTAAACTCTAGTTTTTTTATGATGATATCTGGTTCATTACACATTACTGTTCTATCTGTATCACTTGTGCTCCAGATTATCGTGATGTTAGCTTTTTATGTTCATAACAATTTTGTAATTCAATATCAAAGTGTTTACAAATTGTCCACTGGATAAATTGCCTGGCTCAGTGTTCTCAGTTTTTTGTAGTTTTTCATCAATAAAGGTAGCTTTGGCACATTTATCTAATCCAAACTCTATTTTGATATCATCACTTTTCCTTTTTTGCTATCTTGATTTATTCTAATTCTTTACATTTTTTGCCATGTAGTTTTAGGTCATTCGTGGAGAGCAGATGGTGTTTTTTTTTGTTTGAGTGGCATTTTTTAAGTTGGTAGCCATATGTACTGTCTTTTAGTTCTGAGCTGAGAGGGAATATGGAGATAGAAAAGATCAGTGGTGAAAATGAATCCCCCTGTAAAATTCCTTTCTTGATTTTAATTTCATTTCTCATAATGATACCTCCTTCACATTGTAAGGTCATTTTAGTATTCCTATATTACATTTTGGCTTGAGTTAAATCTAAAATATTTTGACCAGACTTGCCTTTTAATCCAATGCATCTTCCAACATAATCACATTTTCTGAGGATCTAATTCACAGAGCAGAAAACCTGCCCTTTTTAAATTGAATCTTGCATTCCTTAAACATCGATTTCCCTCCAGCTTAGCCATATCCCTTTTAAACAACCTGCAATTCTGGTTGAAAAGGCTTCAGTGCTTAATGGAGAAATTTTAGCTAAATTGACTTTTCGCTTCTTGAAATACAAAGAAGCTAGGAATTAGAAAAGGTAATTCAGCTCATTCAACATATTATTCCATCACAAAACTTCTTAATCTCATTTTCTATAAAGCAACTACATTTTATCCCTCGCCACTTAGTCTTAACTTTGTGTTTGTACTATATGTGTAAATCCAGGCAATTTGTCAATTGGTTGCTGATTGCAACAAAGTTATGTCTGTATTGTTAAATAAAATTAGTAATCCTTGCATTTGATATAGTGTTTTATCACATTGTTGAAATATCTCAAAGTGCTTCATAAGACTTTTACTGTAAAGTGTAGTGTTTGTATTTGTAGAATACTGCAACCAATGTATGCACAGCAATGTCCCACAAACAACCATGAAGCGAATGTCTAATTTATCTCTCATCCCACTCACCTAGTGGAGAAACTTGTACCGTTCTGCAAAATGCTCTCTTCACAAATAGATTACCTTTAAATACAAATGCAATCCAAACATCTAGTGGTGTACTATACAGAAAATGATTAAATAAGATGAGTATATCTAAAGAATATAAAAATATAATGGGATATGGTACTTTGGAAATTAGACATTAAGATTCTTAAGCACATTTGTTAGATTTTACTGATACAGAAGCTTTTCACATCTTAGTGTTAATATATGACACTCAAGACTTGAGAAACAAATTCCTGACTGTTTGGCCAAATGCTATGGTATAATTTTATGTTAAGGTATTTTAAAATGGGCACAACTCTCACAATTTATTGATGATCACCCAAATTCTCATCAGGATTTTTTTCAGTTGTAGTTAGAAAGAAGAAAAATAACACCAAGTATGGTAAATTCGAGCTCAGTTTATTGCAAACTTAATGTCACAAGCATAAGCACTGGAGATCTTGTCTAATTTCACAACAAAACTCAAGGCACCACCAGTCTCATTATAAAAATGAATTAAAAACATTTCTCGAGCTATTTAGTGAGTGAAATTCTTTCTTGCTTATGTTTCAGTGCCTTCAACAACATTCTAAGCAACATTGGATACGTGATGCTGGGATTCCTGTTTTTCCTGATTGTATTAAGAAGAGACATCCTTTATAAACGGGCTCTAGAAGCTAATGACATCTATGCTTTGGTATGAATAAACTGCTAAAGTAAACTAAGATTACCAACAGGAAAAATCATAAAAGACATGAAAGTATAATTGCACCAGTCTCTCCTGTACACAGGTTACCTCATATCCATACAGAAAGTTGTCCTAGTTTTAGGTATTATTTGTGAAATATTCAGGGAAAATTAGAATGTTATCAACATATATGATAGTGGAATTGTATTGGGCCCATCATCTATCTACACTCCCAAAGAATATGGGAGCCACCACTACTGATTCTGAACTCAATATGAACCACCAAAATCATATAAAACATATTGGCTTATACTTTGTTCTAAGAAAGGAATAGAGAATATTTATGCTCTTAATTTTATGGAGAGGGGTAATAGAGTTACCATCACAAAACAATTTGAAGTCAAAAGTTCCAGTTTGCTCTAATCTTTCTTCATAGCTCATCCATTTACTCTTAGGATATTGCTCTTTTCTGTGCCATTTCTAATGTACATCTTTTCTATATCAATGGTGAAAACAAATATGTTGTTTCAGATGTGTATTACTAGCTGTTTAAATTACTTTACAGTATAGGTAATTAAAATGCTTGAGTAAATTTTGTTAGTTGCACTAAAATTGAACGTGTACAAGGCAGTCTAGGAAACTGAAACAAAACAATTGTTGCAAGTCACATTCCTGGGCTGTGAGAATGTATTAAAATGAAGCAAATACTTTTCTCTTTCTAACTCTCCCAGGAGTATGGCATCCCAAAACACTTTGGTCTCTTCTATGCTATGGCAGTGGCACTCATGATGGAGGGGGTCTTGAGTGCTTGCTACCATGTGTGCCCTAATTATTCCAACTTTCAGTTTGGTAAGTCAATAATCTATAGTGGCTAGTCTTACCATAAAGGAATTTAATGCAAGAGTTTCTGCTTATTACAGAGNAAAAAATATTTATAATCTGCTTCAAGCAACCTTTGTTGTTAGTTGCTGAAACATTTGTGTAATATTTCCTGATTTATTTGGTGTCTTTCACCAGCTTCAAATGTCAACAATATATAACTTAATAAAATATTTAAATATGCTGACTTGAAATGAGTAAGGCCACCAACAGACATTTTTAAACACAACATGCTAATGTTTGAAGTGAATATGAGGAGCAGAGAGCAGTTGACAAGCAGAAAGTGCTTGTGTTAATGCCCAAGAAAAAAATGAGATGCCAGGTAAACCAGTAAACCAGTCATATAATGTGGTTGGTAGGAAGATTTTTTTTGGAGGCATAATTCCATGGTAAAGTGTCTAGAACCTCAGAAAGTGTGTGAAAGCTTGATCCTTTTTGGATGAGCTTGTGCATTGAGACATATTGCCAGGCTTTTGACTGCTCATTAAAATGTTATGATGAGCTTGGTCAAATCTTATAATTGGTATGATGGCAACCTGATAAGTAGCATTCAGACTAACTAGATCGAAGGAGTATGTTAATTTTTTTCACTTGATCTTTTACCAATAGTGGTATTAGTATTCCAATAATTTATGTAGAAGTATTGCTTCTAAAATATTTTAATTTACAGGGCTCCTCCGTGAAGCTCATTATCTCTCCCATTTGGTACTACAAACAGTGGAGTAACCTTGCCATTATTGAAAGGTTCTTTAGTTACATCAAAGAGAACTTTTTTTCTGTCTCTTTGGGGACTAATTGTTGGTATTGGAGAGTAGACCACAAAATATATGGTGAATTCACTTTACAGTATATTTTGTCAAGTGCTTTGAGATGTCTCAAAGGCGTGATAAGGCACTATGTCAAATGCAAGGACTATAATTATATTATTATAGACACTATTCTAGGAGATTCATTAGACTGATGTCACTACAGCACACTTATTCCACTATTTCAAAACAAATAACAGTTTTAAAATAAGTTTATCATTAATATTACCTCCCTAAGGTGTTACCTTCTACTTACAGCACAAATTCTTGTTAGTCATCAATGAATTTTCTTTCGCCACAGATACCTCCTTCATGTACATGATTGCAGGCCTCTGTATGCTGAAACTCTACCAAACTCGACATCCAGACATAAATGCTAGTGCATATTCAACATATGCAACCTTTGCTGTGATCATTTGTTTTGCTGTGCTTGGTGTGGTATGTATCTTGTTTAAATGATGTTATCTTAAATTTATATTGATGTTAACTTTAAGGGACATTGCTATGTGCAAATTAGCTGCTTTGTTTCGACTACAAGATACAATCACTCCACTGTTCAGTATATCCTGTTGAGTGCTTAGTATTATAAGGATTATAAAGTGCTTATAAGGATTAGTATTTATTATTAGGGCTACAGATTTGGCACAGCATTTTGGGTCAAAAATTGCAGAGTAATCACGGTAAATTTACTGAATGTTGCAGGTTTACAGGGAAATGTTGGAAGAAGTCAGTTATGGAAATTCAGTTGTGCGTCTTTATACATCTCAACATTACCAGTGTCTAAACTAGGTGCAATATATTAAAAAAAACTTACCTGTGCACATGGTGAAGTAGCCGGGCTTTATGCTGGCATCCATGAGAACAGTTCGAATTTCCCACAGCAACTTTGAGAGAGGCTGGCACATGCGCAGACCTCTCTCAAGTTTAATGAGGGAAGTGTTCGTGATAGTGGCTTTGTCACAGACAAACAGAAAAATCACAGTATCTTTTGTCACAGATATTTTTTTCACTGTGACAAATCTGCAGACCTATCTATTATTAATAATACAAGGTGTTGTTTGTATTGTGTTGCTACATGAAGAAAAACAGTAACTAAATCTAAAATAAAAATGGAAAATACTATTAAATTACCTTCCTTTTCAGATGCTGATCAAATCGTTGTGCATTTGCAGCATTTTCTATTTTTCTTCCAATTTGGTGATGGGAGGTTTTGCTCATATTAACCACATTCTCCTCTCTTCTCCCCCCTCCCACCCTGTTATTTGGCAAAGTAGAATTATTTAGCCAGTGTGTTAAGAGTGCATGGCTGATCCTGGTAATGAAGAAGAAAGTAAGATTCCCTACTTACATATTTTGTCAGGCAAAGTACCCTCCGTACACTGAGCTCTCATCCAATGGTTTTGTTAAGGGAGAAGAATGAGAGAGAGTTTTGTGAATGTTTCTTCTCTGTGTACTTTTGGGTCAAATTGAATGGATGTTGAATAGGCATGGTTCTCCTTTAAACTGGGAGACAGGAATGGGAGGGATTATATGAAGAGCAGTCCTGACATCACAAAGTTAAATGTCTTAAATGCATTACCCAGTATTTTCCTCAATTTCCAATTGGTCATAGAACTCTGCAGTGTGTGTGTATTCTTTGAACACCTTTCCATCTGCAGAATAATGAAGACCCTACAAGATAATTTTACTTTAAACTGTTACAGTGAAAACTATTGTGGTGTATATTAATTAGTGTATTGTTTTTTCTTGTAGATATTTGGTAAGAGTAATACCTGGTTTTGGGTGGTGTTCTCAATTATTCATGTTATGGCATCCCTGGGTCTCAGCACCCAGATATACTACATGGGGCGGTTTAAAATAGGTAAGTTCAAGTACTCAAAATAAATCATTTAAACAATTATTCATTATTTTGGTGTGGTAGATATGTGTTTTACAAACTGGATCTGTTGTGTTAATTTGCAACTGCCAGTTTGTGAATGTTGGATTTCAGGATTTTCATCAAGATTTACAAATGGGGATTTGAGAATCCTCAGATGGTGAAATCTGATGAGAAAAAGTCTTGATGAACAAAATACTGGAAAGCAAATCACCAGTTTCTTTTTTGCCAGCCTTTTTTTCAAACTTTGTTGGTATGGGATTTACAATTTGTCGTTCATCAATCTTGTCATGAGTTTTGCATCTCTGGAAGGTTTTTGCATTATTCTGATTCCTCATTAAGGAATTATTTTAGAAATCACTGTGTTTCAGACTCGTGTATGTGCCTACAGGTTATAATACCATAAATCTGTTCTAATATGCAGTATTTTTTTCTTTCGTTCAACCAGATGTTTCAAATGCAGGTAACGTGCATCTTCAACCAGATTCAAACGTTTCTTCTTGTAATACCAAATTCATGTAACAAAGTTAAAATAGAAAGACAGTCAATTATTGCAGTCCTTTTTCACATGAAAGAGCTATAAATTTATTTTGAGTTAAGTCATATTTGCCTTAAAGAATGTTTTGCACAAATGCAGAATTGTTGTTACTCATTAACGTAAGGTAAGACAACCAGCTGGACATCCATTGCCAGATATATTAAATGGTTGGCAAACTTCACACACCGCCCAGCAGTTAGGTTGTAGAATAGAAATTGCAAGTGTATATGCCTGTTCCAAATGTTGGCCTTGTATGATAGGAGAGTGAGATAATGGGCAAGATCTTTATAGAAAGTAGTTGGATATGATGAACATTTGCACTTCTTTTGTCATATTACCAAGACCATTCTGGATGTTAACTCAAGCTTTTGCCAAAATCCTGCATCATGGGTTAAAAATATGGTCGATGGCAATAATGTCAAGGTTGGCTGGATTCTGGGTAATCTAACATTCCCTTTAAACTATGATCTATTGATCCTCCCTCTTACATACAATAACAACAACTGCAACTTGCATTTATATGGTGCCTTTCACTTGGGGTAGCGCCTGGAGCGTTTGATAATGGCAGAGTTTGACAACACGCCAGGGGAGGGGAAAGGGGTAGGTAACCGTAAGCACAACCAAAAAGGTAGCTCTTCAGGCGGGATTTAAAGGTGGGGGTGGGGGGAGCAAGGTGGAGGGATTGAGGGAGAGGCCACCAAAATACATCACCACCAAAAGAAGAAAATGGGCACACATCACTACTTATGTAGTGGGGACTTTGAACACATATCAGGTTGTATTATTACCTAAAAGAAAAATACTTACTAATAATTAATTATAACAAACTATTTCTCTACAATAGTAATAAGTATGTACTTGAATGTTATATGTCACTCTTATGTTCCCTTTTCCCCTTTGTGCTTTGCATGCTCATTCTTCTTGATGTTGGTGCCATTTTAGCATGAGTTTAGCATGCTACAAACTCAGAAGTAGAAGGAGTGGATGAAAAAGTAATGTGGAGGAGGAGGTAGGATAGCATCCAGCAGTGAGCTTGTTGGAGCAGAATAATAGCTAAGAGGTTCTGTACCGCTCTGTGGTATGTCCAGACTCCTGGGATCCTGTGATTTTGAAACTTGACAGATTGCCTTAGCAGGGGTACGAGACAAACTATCCAGTGGAGTGTTTGATAAAAATTTGCTTCCACTTTGCTGACCCATTGCTACACCTCCATGAATGTGTGTTGGAATGGTCCTTTTTATTTTATTTTTATTTTATTGGGTCCTCAGAAAATCTATTTCTATTGCTAAGCGCGAACTATTATTATCCGTTATGAAAGAAAAATGGCAGAGTTGTAGGGACATATAAATAATTTGAATGTCAACACAAAGTTTAAAGCACTTCCATTGTACGTGGCACAATACCACGTGATTATGGACAATGGGTTTTTAACCTCCAGTCAATCAGCCAGAAGTGTTTATCAGGGCCCTCGCCATGTTATTCTCGTGAGAGTACGTGTTGCATCCTCTTGAGCATCATTACTTGTGATCTCGAAGTTCTGTCAACACATACGTCTGGCCTTACTTCTCCCCATATCCGCAGACTGGGTGTCCACTCAGTCCTTTACACATTGATTTGAGTAGATGAGTTGTCTCTGCACTCCCACAGTCCTCGGCATCATGCAATGATTTTAACTCTTTCCTTACAGAGGTATGAAGTAATTGGCAAACAAGTAAACACGGCTAAGTACTTTTAGTGTGCTGTTCTTCCCTAATATGTAATTGCATGCATGATTCTTTTATGTTCTTTTATTCATACATGTCAGTTCTGCCTCCAATCCCACATTTCCCTTCCAAATGCCATGATTGCTGTCTCCTACATATGTAATTATGTGCTCCTTGCGTATGTTTAGTGCCTTTGCATTGGCTGGGTTATCTTCTACTTGGTGTTTAGTTGCTAAATTTGTCTTTGTATCATTACTATGAATGTAATGTACTGCATACTGTTGCAAATAAATTAAGCACCCAAACCAAAATTCACATAGTGAATTTAAATCTGAGCAAACATTTCTGCTAGTTTTCTTATTAAATATGGCTTAAACCAAACTAGAAAGTTGATTTATGATGCTCTTTTTATTGAAGTACATAGTAGAGTGTGAACTTTGGAACACAGAATGGCAAAGCTAGACCTTTTAGAAGAAAACTCTAGTTTAATGATATTGATGTGAGCCGGCATACCTGATTCTGTGCAGTTACTAACAATAATTTTACTGTTTTTTTCCACAGACTTTGGTATTTTCAGGCGTATTGGAATAGTTCTTTATACTGATTGTATTCAACAGTTTAGTCGGCCCATTTATATGGTATGGCATATGATTGAAATTTAAGAAATTCGTGTTCTTCTAATCTTCAGGACCTATTTGCAAAATGTCAAATATTGAAGCAATATGTTATGTGATACACAGGGCACGCACTAACTATATATCCAGGAATGCTGATACAGAATCTTTTAACTTATTAGGTGTGACAGAAATTCATAATTTGTGTGGATTAATTGTTGATTTATATTGCACATTGATGGTGAATCATCACCAAAGCACTGGCAAACATAGAGTATACACATACCAAAGAAGTTGATCTACCGATCCAGACTGGCAATACACAAATATGTGTACTCAGGACCTGCTTGCCCTGTTCTTCCAACATCAGATTTCATTATATATTTGTTTAAAGTATTAATCAAGTAATCTGCTAATTTTCATGACTGAAAATTATTCTGACAAAATAATTAAAATTTAAGATATCCTATAATCCATCTTATTTTTCTTATTTGAAAGTATAGGAATCGGTGGTTGATAAAATGCTCTCATAGAAACATAGAAACAGGAGTAGGCCATTCAGCCCCTCAAGCCTGTTAAGCAATTCTATAAGATCATGGCTGATCTGTGCCTCAACTCCAATTACCTGCCTTTGCCCCGTATCCCTTGATACTCTGACCTAACAAATATCTATTCACCTTAGTCTTGAAAATGTGAATGGATCCAGCATCCACAGCCTTTTGGAAGAGTGTTCCAGATTTCCAATACCATTTGGGTGAAAAACTGCTTCCTAATTTCACTCCTAAATGGCCTAGCTCTAATTTTAAAATTATGCCCTCTTATTCTGAATTCCCCCACCATAGTTTATCTGTATCTATCCTATCGAATCCCTTTATTATTTTAAAAACCACAAACATCACCCCTCAACTTTCTAAACTCAAGGGAATAGAGACTAAGTTTATGTAATCTGTCCTCACAATTTAACTCTTTAAGTCCTGGTATCATTCTGGTAAATCTGTGGTGCACCCCCTCCAAAGTCAATATATCCTTCCTGAGGTGCCGCGCCCAAAACTGAACACAGTACTCCAGATGGGGTCTGACCAACGTTCTATACAATTGAAGTATAATTTCCTCTCCTTTATATTCCAGCCCCCTTAAGATAAAGGGCAGTTGTATGTATCCAATTGAATGCAATGGACTCCATTAGCTGGGCTGTATTATATTGAAAATTTATATTTGAATTTTCCTTTATTTAGGATAGAATGGTTCTGCTTATCCTCGGAAATCTTGTAAACTGGTCATTGTAAGTACAGATCTATAACATATTCAAATTCAGCATTGTTGTGAATAATTTAAAAAATGCTAACCTATGTAGAGGAATTACTGCAGATCTCTTTGAGAAATATCAATCAATACAGGATTGGATTTTGCAGCTATGTTAACATGCTAACCTAGTATATTTTGCTATGTATACAGCGTTTTGCCCCACAAAATATACAGTCAATTCATTTTTCACTGTAAAGTTTTCTCTTTCTCAAAGGGGTCTGAAATAGTTCAGAGTATCATATTCTTAGTGGGAGTGGGACTAAAAATGAGCATAATTCCTTATAAATGAACCCAAATGGCTAATCTCATCATGATAGCTAGTAAAATTAGTGTATTTATTTACCCTTGTATGGTAGAGATCCTCTTGTGATGCTGAGATTAAGGTGCACTGTTGAGGCCAGGTAGAAAGATTGCTCAAACAATTTACCCATTCCTGACCTGTTATTGTTTGATATTGATACAGATTGCTAAAAACTGATTACTTTTCTGTATACCCCTGGAATAGTAACTATTCAATTTATTTCCTACTGCCTATCCCCTTGTTTTTAAGAGTTTTGTGATAGATGAATGATGGTGGACACCAGCAGTGCTCTAGCAGAGTTACCTATTGGATTCATCTTGAAACCAAAGGTTAGCCGATGCATCTCATATCCCCTACAGTAACCCAAAAGATTAAAGAAAAACCTTTGACACTTTTAATATTCCCATTGTTATATGGGAATATAACAATGAGATATTCATCGTAACAGATAAATCTGTTGTTATGATGATTTGTAATTTAAAAACAGATTTGTCATCGTAATAGATGAGTCAAACATTAGTCACAAATCTGTTGCACTTAATCTTGAAAGCTGTAGATGTCTTGCATCTGATCTTTCTGAGTTATGTGGTCCTTCAGCTATATTCCCCTCTCTTCCACTGTGGAGTCTCATCATTTGTAGATTTTGCGCATTCTTATATCCATTAACTGTTACCTTTCTTTCAGCTCAAGGTAATTCATGCTACTAGAAGCAATTGCTGAGAAGCAATTGTGCCTAAACTTATATCAGCAAACTGTCCAAACATGGAAGCAAAGAACATCAATGAAGATTAAACTCAAACCTTCCCAAATTTTTATAAATGTATTCCCTTTTGCTTAATTTTAATTAGCAAACATATTTCTTTTTACTTTTTCACATTCTTCCAGTGGTGCAAGCATGGCTGACCAGCAACAATCACCTTTATGTTCAAATACTAGAACTTCAGTGTGATTCTCTTATCATTAGTCAATCATCCCATCGACCAAGTGAATATGATTCTCTGATTATCAGTAAATTTACTGACCAGTAAAAAAAAATCCAAAATCAGTGTGTTTACCAGTGATTGGAGAATCGCTGCTTACATTTCCTAAGTTCCTAAAATGCTCTACGTACATTATATTTTAATGACTTATGGGGACAAAATGAAAGACAAAACTTAGGGGTTTTGAACAAGTTAAAAATAACCTTATAACAAGTATAATATTCTGTGCATATCTCACTATTTAAAATCTTTAATTATATTTAATCAAAGCATATAAATAGGCTTCTCGCCTTAATTATTACTTGTTTATCGATTTTAATGTAGAATGTACAATTCTAAATTAGTTGTATGAATTTTCCCTTTCAGTGCTATTTTTGGTTTAGTGTCCAGGCCAAAAGATTTTGCTTCATATCTCTTGTGCATCTTTATCTGCAACCTGCTGCTATATCTGGCCTTCTACATCATAATGAAGGTATGATTCTATAATTTAACTTTTCTCCATATACTGCACATTTGAAATATGTTTTGTTTCTTTCACAAACAGTAAAGACAGCAGTTCTTACCAGATTATAGGAACATTGATATATCCAGTATTTATAAATTTTGAATCCCCCCCTCCCATGAGTACTAATGTACGACTTCTTCCTACAACAACACCAACAACAACAAGATTTCATTTATAGAGCGCCTTTCATGTCGGGAGGACATCCCAAGGCGCTGGACAGTTGGGTCGGGACCCGAGCAGGGGGGAAATGGTCAGGGTGAGGGGAGGGAAGGGAGGGAGAGAGGAGGGGGTAGAGAGTCGAGACGGGAGCTGAAGGCACGGTCAAAGAGAAAGGTCTTGAGACCGGCCTTGAAGGAGGAAAGGGAGGAGGCAAGGCGAAGGGGGGGATGGAGTTCCAGAGCCGAGGGGCAGAGAGGCTGAAGGCCCGGCCACCAATGGTAGGGCGGTTGGGGCGGGGGATGTGGAGCAGACCGGAGCCAGAGGAACGGAGGGTATGGGCAGGTAAGTAGGGGGATAGTAGGTTAGAGAGGTACGAGGGAGTGGCCTTGTAGGTGAGGATGAGGATCTTGAATTCGATCCTCTGGGGGATGGGGAGCCAGTGGAGGCGAGCGAGGGTGGGAGTGATGTGGTCGCGAAGCCTGGTGCGGGACAGTACACGAGCTGCAGAGTTCTGAATGACCTGCAGCTTGTGGAGGGAGGTGGCGGGAAGGCCGGCGAGGAGAGAGTTCCCATAGTCCAGCCTTGAGGTGATAAAGGTGTGGACCAGGGTTTCAGCAGCGTGAGGGGTGAGGTAGTGCCGTAGTCTGGCGATGTTCCGGAGGTGATGGAAGGCGGTGCCAGTTGTGGTGCGGATGTGAGGGAGAAAGGACAGCTCAGGGTCGAACAGAACGCCGAGGTTCCTGACTGGCTTTGAGAGGTGGAGAGTGCAGCCTTGGATGCTGATGCTGTCAGCGCCTGAGGTGCGGAGGCGCTGACGTGAGCCAATCAGGAGGGCCTCGGTTTTTCGCACGTTGAGTTGAAGAAAGTTGTCTCTCGTCCAGGACTCGATGTCGGACAGGCAGACTGTCAGGACATCGGTGGTCGTGGAGTTGAGGGTAGAGGAGGAAAGGTAGAGTTGGGTGTCATCCGCATACATGTGGAAGTTAACCCCATGTCTGCGGATGATGTCACCAAGGGGAGCATGTAGAGGGTGAAGAGGAGGGGACCGAGGACAGAGCCCTGAGGGACACCACACGAGACAGTGCGGGGACTGGAGGAAAAGCCGTTTGTGGAAACAAAATGAAGACGGTGGGAGAGGTACAATACAATTGGTATATCACACTCTCAGATCAACCTCTAGCCAAAAGCCATCATACTTTTGTAATAATGCTGTGTTTAACCTTATAGAAAGTCACAGAAATGTAAAATGGGAAGTTGATTTGTAAAGTTAAGTTCTGCTATAATGGTTGAGATCCATAAAATGCTACTCCGCGCACTATACTAAAGTACGCTAGCCAGTTTTGCAGCACATGAAATTAAGCTTAATGCAGGTAATGCTACACATAAACAGCAATTATGAATAAAATTTTGAAGCAGTAATACTACTGAAGTACTAGAGTACTTTTATATTTATAGACTGGATGGATTGATTGATAACCCAGATTTAATACAGCACTGCTGAATGAGATTTCAGGCAAAATCAGACTGTATCAGTCGCAGATTGATTTCCCCATAGAACCTGTTACCAGCATTAAGCATCATTGCAATACTGTTTTAGTAGCTGAAACGTCTCTTATAGTAGTCTCAAATGCAACCCAAGTTTTTAGATGAAACTAAATTATCAGTAAAACAAAAACTGATCATATGCTGGAATTCTAGGCATTTCAGCCCCATCATTAAATTAAAGTGGAGTCCTTAGCTTAGTGGTTAGAGCATTCACCTCGCAAACGAGAGGACCTGGGTTCGATTCCTGGGCAGGGAGAAACATTAGGCAAGTTTACCTAACGGTAAGTAGGAACCTGGTTGTTAGTTGATTGGCAGATTGCTCTTCGGGGGGTAATAATCCCTTCAAAAAATTTTAAATAATGATAATTTGGTCGCTCAATCCACAACTGTTTGTGGGACATTGCTGTGCACAATTGGCTGCTACGTTTCACTGACAAAATATACAGTCAATTCACTTTGCAATATATTCTATGAAGCGCTTTGAGACGTCTAGGACATGATGAGGTGCTATATTAAATGAGAAGATTATTATTACTAATTTCCATATTTTTTTTACAGCTACGAAGTTCTGAAAGCATAAGGGCTATTCCTCTTTTCTGTATTTTGGCAACTACTTTTATTTGGGCATCTGCTCTTTACTTTTTCTTTCAAACATTAAGTAGTTGGGAGGTAAGAAAATGTATTGAAAATATTATATTAAATTATTCATCTTGAAATATATTATAGATGTACAATGAAATAACAGTGAGATTATTGTTTATTATAATGCTTTCTCAAATGCCAAAGAATTAGGAAAGTACTTCAAATTGATAAATTAGTAATCAAGTAATCATATCATTTAAATTAATAATAGGAACGCTAGTCTTTGATACACCCCCTTTCCATCTTCTGCTTAGAAATTTCCTATTGCTTATCTAGATGTCTATTTGTCAATTGTTCCTTCCATTAAAAATAGGCAATGCCCCTTGTTATCTCACTAAAATTTGCTTTCACCTGTGATAAGCCCTTTGATTTTTCCGCTTCTATTTGTACCCTTACCCTAGTTTCAATATATAGGTGTTGTGGTTGCTATTCCAAACATTCCATTTTAAGTTACCTACTTATCTTCTTGTCCATTTCTATTTTAGGTAATTAAATCTTTTCTGCTTTTGGATAATTTTCTGCATGAATCAGGTGTTATCTTTGCTTTGCAAAAGAAATATCTTTGCTTGGGCAAGATCTGAATTGTCAGAAATCACAGATTCCTGTTAACAATTACTGTGGCTCAAACCTTGTGGGATCAAGTTAAGTTCAGTAAGGAAAGTATATATGTTGCAAATGGAATTATGGGTCTACATAACTCAGTAATGTATAATTTATACATTATACATTACATTATATAATAATATTATTATTATTATTATTACTCCACTTCTATGCAATTGCTTCATAGAAAACTCCTGCAGAGTCTCGTGAACAAAATCGTGAATGCATTCTGTTGAACTTTTTTGATGAACATGATGTTTGGCATTTTCTGTCAGCTACTGCAGTTTTCTTCTCCTTTTTGGTGAGTGTTATTCTGTTGTTTTTCTGCTTTGGAAATCTTTATATATTTTTATTTTCTACAGAGATTTACCAAAGCAGTGTACATACATGTTATGTACATGTAAAAAACACACTTGCTGAAACATTGCATGGGTAGATATACAAAATGTTGGTACATAAATTGCTATACATTAAAACAAATATGTTTCAACATGTTTTTATTATAACAAATATGTTTTAAGTTATGAAATGTAATGTAGCATGTTAAGGATATCTTTGGACCAACTAATTTGGCTCAATAGCAGATTCAGAGGAGTCTGAATCTGCTATTGAGCCAAGTTTGGAATTGGAATTTTTATCACCCTGCTCCAGATAACCCATCGAACCAAAGCCTTAATGTGTAGGGCGGTACAGTAAAACTTGCATAAGTTATAAATCGTATAATCACCTAAGTCATATATTCACCCGAGTCCCATTTAGTTTCTTATCAAAAACACTTAGATTGTTTTGCACTACTCATATTAATCACCTCCTAACTTGTAACGCTGGTCCCATACCTCCATTACTCCCGCACTTACCGGCTGCATTGATTCGCAGGAAATGACGTCCTGACCTGTTGACGCATACACAGAAGTACTTAATTTCCCGCAATTCAATGCGATTCCAATGCTTGCTGGTAAGTGCGCATGGTGCGACGGGTCATTGAATCGTGGGAGATGTAGTCTTGACGTGTCACTGCATGCGCACTTATTGTCTGCAGTGATTCACTACTGCAAGCGCTCTGACCGGCTAGATTGAATTACATGTGCGCAGTGTAGAATGATTAAATCAGATTTTATATGACTTATACAGTTTGCCTGCAACTCTGACTTTACGTAAGTCACATTAAATTTTATGGTTCTGACTCTTGCGAGTTTTACTGTACTAGCTGGACAAGCAGCAGAAAGCTTACCTTCGCTCAACAATGAACGGCTGTGTGGTTTTAGCTATTTAAAGTCTAGGAGTATCTAAGTGTGTACTCTAAGGTGGCAAGCCTTGGCGCTTTTCAACCTGCACTTAAATTCTCCAGAATTAGGTAAAAGTATGGTGTATCCCTCTGAAGAAAGAATGCTCACTTCATTCCAAATGGAAACCATACATATGTAGTCCAGTTATAATGTGTTTATTTTTATCTGCAAATTGTAATATGTTTGCAGTGTGGATTCCATTCACTGTGTTTCTGCAATCAACCTGCTTGTTTATTGCAGATACCCATTCCAAAATTGCATTATATTTCATCTTGAACTAAGGCAAGGGCTGGACCTGATAAGTGCTCAACAACTGGGAACATATAATAATTATGGCTGTAATAATTAGGACTATTTTCTGTTTACAGGTTCTCTTAACATTGGATGATGACCTGGATTTTGTAAGGAGAGACAAAATCCCTGTGTTTTAGGTTCATCTTGGGCTTGAAAAGAATGTTCATTGATCAGGCAGTTGACCAATGATATACATCAACGAAAGCATTTCGTTGTATATACAAAAACAAGCTTGCAAAATATTCACAAACAATCCTGCTTAGAAAGTGATTTGAGTTTCATTGGTTACATTGTAGCATGATATTTAATTGTTCAATGAAAACTATAACAGAAAATGTGTAATTTATATGCCTTAATGGTAGTTATATATGAAGCAACATTGTGTTAAAAAAATTGCAACCTGGAGTGGTTGGAAATGCACAGTAGTGTGAAATACAGTGGATTTTGTGTGTTCTAGGACCAAGCTTGAAGGGCCAAAGAGCCTTTTGTCATTCCATGTTTTTGTGTACTTGTGTGCTAAATGGAATAGGCTGCATTAGGAATTGCAGGAAGTCAGTTTCAGAATTAAGATGGGATTGAAGAGAATTTTCCAAAATGCTGCATCATTTCTGAGGAATTGCAGGCCTCTAATGCTTAAGTCTTGGAAAATTTTCAATGCCCTAAATACGTCATTATTATAAGGAATTTTAAAGAAATATTTAGACTAATTACATTATTGTGTCATGAGTATTATCTGCTATAATACGTCCTCCCGACGTGAAAAGCGCTATATCAAATGCAAGGATTATTATTATTATTATAGCTGGTGCTTAATATTAATGTTTGCTATTAAAAAACAATAACAATTTTGATATTGTTCTGGTTCTTAAATGCAGAAGAAGGTCTGATAACCTGCATGCAGATTTTCTCTCTATGGAAAATAATTCTGTGTTCACTTGATTAATGAAAACAGTTGAATAAATGTGAAAAATCTGAAGAAAAGTATTGCAGTATTTATTTTTTCCTATGCACACTTTGAATTCCTGAAGATAGTTAATACTGAATTCACTTGAGTGATGCATATTGCCATTAATACTAAAGAAAACTGGAATCACATTTACATTAATTCAATGTAACACTTGAAATTCCTCAATGGTATACTGGATGGGGCTGCAGCTTACTGGTTTGAATTGCTGGACTGTGCTGAGTTTGCTGGTCTCAAATGAACTGCATAGGGGCTAAATTGTCCCAGGCCTTCCCAGAGTCGGGGAAGAGAAACCAGGCAGGTTTAGGTATCCCACATTGAGGAAGTTAACAAAATTGGGAATGTGCAAGCAGAGAAAAGATGCTAAGGGGAGATCTTACTGAGATACCATAGGGATAAGTCAAACTGAATCCTAATAATGTTTTTAATATACTATATTCATAAACTACAGTGGGTAGGGGGGCAAGTCAACAGTTTTGATTTAGTTTATGTAGAGAGTGGTGAGTACCTGTATATAGAAGTGTACCGAAGAAGAGTAATGAAGAAGATTAATTAAAAGATACAGTTCTGCACGAGCACTGAAGTATAAGGATTTTACCATCAGAGGGAGCCAGAGAAATACAAATACAAACTAAAGTACAGTGATCCCACCACCAGAAGGGGGCAGAGGTCCAAATACTGAAGCAGCCACAAAATGTAATCAGTGCTGTGTTTTAACATTGTGAAATGATTACCCTGGTTTATACCTTCAGAATCACGTTGTACCCAGTACAAAAAATGGCATGTTAAATCTTGGTAGTTATTAGACAGATTGGTTGTATAACACTAGCTCTGTTGTAGTGAATAGTGTTTGTAAAAACATTCACTGAAGGTTTTTGGCAGTTGGCTTGAGATGGGAGGAGGGGGGTGGAGCAACGAACCAAGTATAATTCACACTTGACACATCTATGCAGTTTCAAATTGAGAAATGTGTATTTTTAGGAATGTCGATACAGCAGAAATTGGCCAGTTCTGATGTTGTTGAGAAAGAAAGATCAAAGGGTGCAGATCCATAGATCTTTAAAGAGGGAAGTCCAGGTTGAAAAGGCCATTAGAAAGGTACATGTTCTGGTATCCCCTTGCCCCCTCTCATTCCATCCTTCCATGTGCTAGAATAGTAATTTCTTCCTATAAATTATAACTATTCACGGTACATGTGTACCAGTGGTACATACAAAGTAACACGTTATAACAATTACAGTGCATTGACACTGCAAGCTGCATATAAAAACAAAATTACACTTGTAAGGCGTCTTTCACGTTGGGTGGACGTCCTAAGGCGCTGGACAATCAGTGTTTCAGGCCCAAGATGGGGGTCGGAATCGGGGAGGGTGGAGGGCAGGGGGGGAAGGAGGGTGACCGAAGGCATGGTCAAAGAGGAGGGTCTTGAGACGGGTCTTGAAGGAGGTGAGGGAGGGGGGGGGGTGAGGCGGAGGGACTGCGGGATGGAGTTCCAGAGAATGGGGGAATGTGAAGCAGGCTGGAACTTGCTGAGCGGAGGGAGGGGGCAGGTTGGTAGGGGTTAGGAGGTCGCAGAGGGAGCAAGCCCATGGAGTGCTTTGAAAGTGAGGACCAGGATCTTGAACTGTATCCTGTGTGATGGGAAGCCAGTGGAGTCAGGCGTGGATGGGGTGATAGGCTTTCAGAGCCTGATGTGGGAGAGGACACAGGCTCCAGAGTGCTGGATGATCTGAAGCCTATGGAGGGAGGAGTTGGGGAAGCCAACAAGCAGGGAGTTTGTGTAATCCAGCTTGGATGTTATGAATGTGTGTATAAGGATCTCGGCAGCTTGTGGTTTGAGACAGTGGCGGAGCCAGGCGATGACGCGTAGGTGGGGGAAAGCAGAGTGGGTCATGGCACAAATGTGGTGTAGAAAGAATAGTTGAGGGTCAAATAATACGCCAAGGTTCTGGACTGGCTCGGTGAGGTTATTCATTACTATTCATAATGAGAAACTGTACTATTAGATAACTGATGATGCAGAAATTTTTCAACTCTTTACTTCAATAGTAGGGCAATAATTGCAGCTTTATATGTGAAAAATATTTGAACACCATATACTTTTGCTCAGACTCCTTGCTAAGCCTAGGCTGCAGACTGCAATGCAGTGACACATTATGGCCAACTCTTGCCATTTTAGATTCGTACATTTCACTCACTCTAAACCCCTCACCCCCCACCACGGACACCTGATGAATCTCATTTTAGTCATGTAAATGCATCTGATAGAAATCTAAGTGTCTTCAGGACATGGAACTTCTAACTCAGAGCACCATCTGAAGAATTGAAAGGAAGGGGCTATGAGTGATATGGCTCTGGTTGGAAAAGTTACTGATCTTGTATATGTAAACAAGAACTTCCCTTATAACCGTGTACTGACAAGTTCAGTCACCTAACCAACCATCAGGTGGGTCCTTGGTGTGTCTGTTGGGGGCAGCTGGATGTCATCATCTGGAGCGCTTCTTGGAAAAACTGTAATGTAAATCCAGCTCACGAAACACTGAGTGGTTAGTGTATTACTTTGCAAGTGAGAGGGCCTGGGCTCAATTCCCAGGCAGAGTTAAACTCCACACGCCTCTGTTTACCGAGCAGTAAATGGGGATCTGGTTGTTAGTTGAATGGCGGCTCGCTTTCCAGGAGCAAAAATCCCTCAAAAAAAATTCAGTGGTCTCTCAGTCACTCAATCCACGACTGCGTGTGGGACACTGCTGTGCGCAATCAGCTGTCTTGTTTTGCCCACAAAATACACTTTACAGTACATACTGTGAAGCGCTTTGAGACGCCTGAACAACACAATAAGGTTTCATAATGAATGCAAAGATTATTATTGTATTTCAGCATGTGGACAGGGAGACACGCTGCGCGGTGTTCACTGAGGGTGAAGGTCGCACTACTGCTCTGCTCTCTCTACTGCCTGCACTGCCAGCCCTCCGCTCTCTCTGCTGCCGCACTGCCAGCCCTCCGCTCTCTCTGCTGCCGCACTGCCAGCTCGCCGCTCTCTCTGCTGCCGCACTGCAAGCCCGCGGCTCTCTCTGCTGCCGCACTGCCAGCCCGCGGCTCTCTCTGCTGCCGCACTGCCAGCCCTCCGCTCTCTCTGCTGCCGCACTGCCAGCCCTCCGCTCTCTCTGCTGCCGCACTGCCAGCCCTCCGCTCTCTCTGCTGCCGCACTGCCAGCCCTCCGCTCTCTCTGCTGCCGCACTGCCAGCCCTCCGCTCTCTCTGCTGCCGCACTGCCAGCCCTCCGCTCTCTCTGCTGCCGCACTGCCAGCCCGCTCTCTCTGCTGCCGCACTGCCAGCCCTCCGCTCTCACTGCTGCCGCACTGCCAGCCCTCCGCTCTCTCTGCTGCCGCACTGCCAGCCCTCCGCTCTCTCTGCTGCCGCACTGCCAGCCCTCCGCTCTCTCTGCTGCCGCACTGCCAGCCCTCCGCTCTCTCTGCTGCCGCACTGCCAGCCCTCCGCTCTCTCTGCTGCCGCACTGCCAGCCCTCCGCTCTCTCTGCTGCCGCACTGCCAGCCCTCCGCTCTCTCTGCCGCATGCCAGCCCTCCGCTCTCTCTGCTGCCGCACTGCCAGCCCTCCGCTCTCTCTGCTGCCGCACTGCCAGCCCTCCGCTCTCTCTGCCGCACTGCCAGCCCTCCGCTCTCTCTGCTGCCGCACTGCCAGCCCTCCGCTCTCTTCTGCTGCCGCACTGCAGCCCTCCGCTCTCTCTGCTGCCGCACTGCCAGCCCTCCGCTCTCTCTGCTGCCGCACTGCCAGCCCTCCGCTCTCTCTGCTGCCGCACTGCCAGCCCTCCGCTCTCTCTGCTGCCGCACTGCCAGCCCTCCGCTCTCTCTGCTGCCGCACTGCCAGCCCTCCGCTCTCTCTGCCGCACTGCCAGCCCTCCGCTCTCTCTGCTGCCGCACTGCCAGCCCTCCGCTCTCTCTGCTGCCGCACTGCCAGCCCTCCGCTCTCTCTGCTGCCGCACTGCCAGCCCTCCGCTCTCTCTGCTGCCGCACTGCCAGCCCTCCGCTCTCTCTGCTGCCGCACTGCCAGCCTCCGCTCTCTCTGCTGCCGCACTGCCAGCCCTCCGCTCTCTCTACTGCCTGCACTGCCAGCCCTCCGCTCTCTCTACTGCCGCACTGCCAGCCCTCCGCTCTCTCTGCTGCCGCACTGCCAGCCCTCCGATCTCTCTGCTGCCGCACTGCCAGCCCTCTGCTCTCTCTACTGCCCGCACTGCCAGCCCTCCGCTCTCTCTACTGCCCGCATTGCCAGCCCTCCGCTCTCTCTGCTGCCGCACTGCCAGCCCTCCGCTCTCTCTGCTGCCGCACTGCCAGCCCTCCGCTCTCTCTGCCGCATTGCCAGCCCTCCGCTCTCTCTGCTGCCGCACTGCCAGCCCTCCGCTCTCTCTGCTGCCGCACTGCCAGCCCTCCGCTCTCTCTGCCGCACTGCCAGCCCTCCGCTCTCTCTGCTGCCGCACTGCCAGCCCTCCGCTCTCTCTGCTGCCGCACTGCCAGCCCTCCGCTCTCTCTGCCGCATTGCCAGCCCTCCGCTCTCTCTGCTGCCGCACTGCCAGCCCTCCGCTCTCTCTGCTGCCGCACTGCCAGCCCTCCGCTCTCTCTGCCGCACTGCCAGCCCTCCGCTCTCTCTGCTGCCGCACTGCCAGCCCTCCGCTCTCTCTGCTGCCGCACTGCCAGCCCTCCGCTCTCTCTGCTGCCGCACTGCCAGCCCTCCGCTCTCTCTGCTGCCGCACTGCCAGCCCTCCGCTCTCTCTGCCGCACTGCCAGCCCTCCGCTCTCTCTGCTGCCGCACTGCCAGCCCTCCGCTCTCTCTGCTGCCGCACTGCCAGCCCTCCGCTCTCTCTGCTGCCGCACTGCCAGCCCTCCGCTCTCTCTGCTGCCGCACTGCCAGCCCTCCGCTCTCTCTCTGCTGCCCCGCTCTCTCTGCCGCACTGCCAGCCCTCCGCTCTCTCTGCTGCCGCACTGCCAGCCCTCCGCTCTCTCTGCTGCCGCACTGCCAGCCCTCCGCTCTCTCTGCTGCCGCACTGCCAGCCCTCCGCTCTCTCTGCTGCCGCACTGCCAGCCCTCCGCTCTCTCTGCTGCCGCACTGCCAGCCCTCCGCTCTCTCTGCTGCCGCACTGCCAGCCCTCCGCTCTCTCTGCTGCCGCACTGCCAGCCCTCCGCTCTCTCTGCTGCCGCACTGCCAGCCCTCCGCTCTCTCTGCTGCCGCACTGCCAGCCCTCCGCTCTCTCTGCTGCCGCACTGCCAGCCCTCCGCTCTCTCTACTGCCCGCACTGCCAGCCCTCCGCTCTCTCTACTGCCCGCACTGCCAGCCCTCCGCTCTCTCTGCTGCCGCACTGCCAGCCCTCCGCTCTCTCTGCTGCCGCACTGCCAGCCCTCCGCTCTCTCTGCTGCCGCACTGCCAGCCCTCCGCTCTCTCTGCTGCCGCACTGCCAGCCCTCCGCTCTCTCTGCTGCCGCACTGCCAGCCCTCCGCTCTCTCTGCCGCACTGCCAGCCCTCCGCTCTCTCTGCTGCCGCACTGCCAGCCCTCCGCTCTCTCTGCTGCCCTCACGGTGGTGGTTACCTGAGGAGGGCGGCGAATGGCTGAGGGGGTGATTGACGGCAGGTGCCTGTGGGCGGGGCCTCTGGGGGGAGGGGCGACCTGGATCAGAGCCCCGCCCCCCGCAGCCCCGCCCCCCGCGCCCCCCCGCCCCTCCAGTGCCTCCGCCCCCCCCGCAGCCCCGCCTCCCCGCCCGCAGCCCCACCCCGCCCGTAGCCCCGCCCCCTCCCTGCAGCCCCGCCCCCCGTGCCCCGACCCCCCGCCTTCCCCTCCCCTCCCCCGTCCTCCCCTCCCCCGCCCCCCCGCAGCCCCGCCCCCCGCCCGCAGCCCCGCCCCCCCGTGCCCCCCGCCTTCCCCTCCCCCCCCGCCCCCCCCCCCGCAGTCCCGCCCCTCCCGGCCCGGGGCTGAGCTCGGCGGCCCTGACCAGCAGCGGGCGGCGGGTCGGGTCGGGTTGGGGCGGCCAGTGAGTGAGTGCTCGGCCCTGCGATGGAGAACGTGGACGAGTGTCTGGCGGAGGAGCGCGTCGGCAGGTAGTGAGGCCCCCCCTCCCCTCCCCTCCCCCTCCCCTCACCTGTGGCCGCGCACCTGCCTGTCCGCCGCCCGCCCGCCCGCGCTCAACACCGCTCACCGCCCGGTGCCCCCGCGGAGAAGCCCGAGAGAGCGGCAGCCGGTCCTGTCCTGCCCGGTCCCCGGGTGTGAAGCCGCGCTGTGGGGGCGGGCGGGGACTGGCGGCTGGTGATGGCTTTCCCGGCGGTGTGTTTGCAGAGTGGATCCCTATGGATTCCGAAGACCGCAGGATTTCGATTACGTGTCCTACGAGCGGTTCATGTCCGACTACCTGACGGTGCTCACCCGGAGGGCCATCAAGTGGTCCAAACTTCTGCAGCGCAGCAAAGTGGAGAAGAGCGTGAAAGGTGAGGCGTGTGTCGGTGGCCGAGCATTGCCCCCACTGTGCCCCCGAGGCTCTGGGGCTCCTGTGGGGGTGTGTGAGAGAGGGGTTACTTGCCATGACCCCCCCCCCCCCCCACCAGCACTGCCCCAGAGCCCGGGCTCACAGCTTTAATTATGTTATGTATTAGAGTGAAGGTTTTGCAGGGAAAGAAAAACCTGTCAGCATTCATTTAATACATTCATTCATTAAATCTGCCTGTTTTCAGAAAGCAGTAGTATTGTGTCAATGTTGGCCTCAGTGCTGACATTAAATTTGCTAAAAGTGCACCTTTCTTTCTTTGAACTTTTATAGTATACGGTTTATTCACAAAGCTTTGCCTGTGAAGCCCTCTCTGGTCATGCGATCCCAAGTTGTTCAGCGGTGCGGTGGCACTCCTGCCTTTGAGTTAGAAGGTTGTGGGTTCAAACTCCACGTCAGGAATCGCATCGTCTAATCTGACACTTCAGTGCGGCGCTGAGGGTGTGTCACATTGTAGGAGGTGCTATCCTTCGGATGAGATGTTAAACAGACGCCTGTTCAAGTGGACGTTAAAAATCCGATGGCACTATTCGAAAAGGGATGGGAATTTCTCCTGGTGTCCTGGCAAACAATCCTCCAAATAAAATGTAATCATTCACCTCCTGGCTGTTTGTTCACTTCCATTGCCCTGTGCAGATTGGTTGCCGTGTTTGGCCACAAATAGTCACTCCACTTCACAGTAAATCCTGTGAAACACTTTGAGATGACCTCCCGATATGAAAGGTGCTATACTAAACCAAAGATTATAATCTAAACATCCTACTCGTCTTTGAAAATGAGAGTGTTTATGATTGTTCTTGTTGATTGTTATGCATGTTACATAACAAAACAATTTCCAAAGACTTAAAATAAACCATGGTATTATTATATTATTATAGATTGGTATTGTTACCATGGACTGTAGAGTTGATTCATTTCAAAGTGTAAGTGCAATAGTGGGAGTTTGCTGTGTTCTGTGCAAATGTTGTTGTATAGTTGTGTATCTGTAGGTTTGCAAAGTTTATAGTGGATGGATTTCTGTTTGTTTAGGAGAAGCTTTGTATAGCGTGTTGTAATATTGCTTGATATATTATAACTGGGTGTATAGAATAGTAAAATAATATCAGATGTCAGTTCATCTTTCGTGATGTCTGTTCCGCTTCAGTTTAAGATGAATTGTGTGGGACTGAACTTGCTTGTAATCGGGGCACAATTCTCCTTAGGCTTCATTAAAGTTAATTTTTTCTGCATTACGTTTTTAAGGAAAAAAATGAAGAATAAAATGGGTGGTTAGCACTTAAGTGGTTATTTCATAACTGAAGCTCTTACATTTGGAAGGGTAAACTTGTGAGTCAATTAAGAGATTTATCTTATTTGACTTAAGGTGCAGTAGTGATATTTTTTGGTAGGAAAGAATTTAACAGCTGCTGATGAGGTAGATATAATTTCTGGCTGGGAATTATTGGTTTGGTGCCACAGTCAAGCGCTCCGGGACGCTACCTCGCATGAAGAGCACCATATAAATGCCAGTTGTTGCTGTACTAACGATATGTGCAACAATTTACGATTGTTTTTCAAACCCAGTTCAAGCTGTGTGGGTAGATATAAATAAGTAAATTTAGGATATGGAAAACTGTAATGTGATAACCATGATTTAATTTCCTAGAATTGACGTAGTCCAATCAGGTTTGACCAGAAGGAACAATAAATAAAGAAGTAAGTTTGATTGTGGTGATCAGTGGATGCTTCTTAACACAATATGTGAAGCAGACTGTTAGAGTATTTGCAGTAATCATTCGATCTTTAGCAATCCACCAGAACAGTAATATAGAAGACTGTGAAAACGCCAGCTCCAGTGCTAATTGTATTTGATACAGTATTAAAGGCATAGACCAAAATTAGAAAGATATTTGTTGTGCCACTTCAGGAGAGCCCAATAGGAAGGCATAAAAGGGAGAAAAAAAGTGCTTCACAGAACTGAAAAATTAAAGTAAAACTGGTGTGTATTAAAGGAATTTGTAACAAAAACATTTTCTTCTGGGGGAAAAGGAAAACCTATTAATTTCAAGTGAAATTAAAGATGAATAGTTGCCACACTGAGAAATAGATATGCAGAACAGAATTTAAACAAAAGCGGTTAGTGCTGTTAGTTAACACTTTTATACATTAAAAAATGGAATTAGAATTAAGTACAGACTGAGTTGAGCAAATACTCCATAGTTATGATTGTGTACTGCTGGGGAATGGGTTATTATTATTGTAGAGGAAGCATTTCAAGGTTGAATAGTAGATGTATGGAGATGAATGAATCCTGTCTTTATGGAGGATCAGTACATAATTTTACTTCAGGGGAAGAATGAGTGGTTTGGAGTCCATATAGTTTTGAATCATCATACATCATTTATTTGTTTACCATATGCTCTGGTCTTGTGTGAATTTAATAAGTATGACTAAAGCTTTGAAGTTTACTACCAATGACTTAATGCATTTACTTTTAGCTGTTTTATCAGGAAAGCTGGAAAGCATAAATCACAGCTCTTGTATTTATGCTCTTTCGAAAGGCAGAATTGATTATTTTAAACCTATTTAAGCTGAAATGCTACAAATGTCTTAACATAATTTTAAAATTTTCAAGGTTCATAGATTTGCCAGTTTTTTTTAAGAATGTTTTCAATGTAGTGTTGATTTCATTGAGTTTTGTATTTACTGAGTCCAACTGAATGAAGAAAAAATGTTAACTGTTGAAATGGAACAAAATTACAAAATCTTGGGTTAATTGACTGTATTAATTAACCATTATTATTAATAATTAAGAATTAACCATATGCATTCAAGGTAAACTAGTTCTTACTGTTTGCTAGTTTTCTTAAATTGTTTTTCCAAATACAATTTTTGATAGATAATTTTTTTCAGTTGTTAGTTTAGCTCTGTCGGACGTTCAGCCTCTGTAGTACCAGAAGTTCAATTGGTAGTATCAGCATTTTTGATTGATACAGATATGCTTTGAAAATGAATTGAGATGTTTACCAACATAAATAAAGAATATCTTCGGTAATGCCCTCTTAACAATTGAAAATTGTGTTTGAAAAAAATTTAAGAAAACTAGCAAACAATAAGAACTATCTTATCTTGAAGGCATATGGTTAATTCTATACAGTCAATTAACCCAACTACTATATAAATCGTAATTTGTGAGTTTTTAGTTCACTTCTTATTTTAGAAATCACACCTCGAGTCCCTCATCAAACTTCTATCAAATCCCTATATTTAAGTACTTGTTTTTGTTCTCATAAAAGTGAAACGATACATCAGAAAAGGTATTCCAAATGAACACCGCAGTCTTATCTGGATGATTGTTAGTGGAGCCCAGGCACAGATGGAAAAGAATCCGGGCTATTTTAGGAAACTACTGGAAGGGGAACAAGATCCGAAGCTGGTTGAAGCTGTAAAAACAGGTAATGATAATTCAGTTGGTGTTGTATGAGGTGTGAAATTATTGGGAGTTTTATAATGCTCTATATTTTTCTTTACAAACTTATTTGTTTCCTTATATTCTTCAAATTGCAGATCATATTTTATATCACTACAATTACAATTATTATTTTGTACATTACTACGGTTAGAAATTTTAAGCAGTTTTTTTAAGAATAGTTCGTATTAATGCTAACAAAGATTTTAGATTAATATTGCAAATTAGTTTATCTTTTCTAAAGAGAGAGACACGATGCTGGTTTGATCTTGAGTTTTAATATTTTCTCACTTTTGGTATGGCCTCACGTAAAGGCTTAATAAAAAGCCTAACTGAAATTGTTACTCATTCTAATTATGAAATTTGGCATGTCCTTAAGATCTTAATTATTTTGCTTTCCATCTACTTAACTTATTTATCTTTAACTTTGCTGCAGTGGCCAACAAGAAATAAGCTTGCGTTGAGATTTCCGTGATCAACACAGGATGTGTAAATGTGTTGTTGTTACATTTTCCTTGTTAAAGCATATTAATACATCAACCAGCATGCTAGATGATTAACAGCTTTCAATTTATTTATTTTACGAAACTATAAGGTCATTACAGGTCATTAGAGTTTGCCGTAAGATCCCTTTCACTTTTTTACCACTAAGCCCAGATCACCTATGAAATGGATCACATCCTATTCAGATATAGACTGTCATAATGCTCAGTGGGACTCCTCTTTTGTGCTGTTTAGAATCTGCCTAGACTCAGTAGTCGTCTGTTCTTCCTCTTGCCAGTTTGACCCACTCTTCTGAGACTACTAAACTGGTCAAGAATGTGTTAAAGTGAAACGATACATCAGAAAGGGCATTCCAAATCGCACTCGAGTTTCTTTGGTGTTTTTGAATTAATATGTTGTAAATGTTTGTTCAAATTCGAAGGTTGTTCCAAAATGCATGATCTGTTTATTATGAATGAATATCCTGGATACTTGTCAATTACCTTAGCTTCACCCAAGCAGTCTGAAAAATGTCCATACAACTAGGCTGGGTAGTGAACTTCAAAGGTCATACCCACCAATAAACAGGATAGACCATAGCAGTATATCTTTCAGTATATTCGTTGCAGCCTTTCAGGAGGATGCTCAGCTTCCCAGATGAGCTCAGTACATTACATTGGATGTAGTTGTAAATCTGGATATTGATTTGTTTATTTTGCTATTGAATATATTGGCGGATTTCCTTGTGCCAATGGTGGTGCAGTCTTCTGATTATGTGGTATGTGAGATCTATATTGCTGACGTTGTGGAGAGCAATAAGCTCTTCCATGTGTGGTCAACTTTTCTACAGACATGATATTACAGTACTGTAAAATTAAGTCCATAGTTACTATTGACCCAAATTCTCTTCATTGACTTTGGGACTCCTATAGAAGAGATGACCTTGGACTTTAACTGTCAGATTAATCTGTCAATGTTCAATTATGTGGTACTTGGTGATGCTGTCGACACAATCTGCCCTGGTCCAAATACTTTGAAAAGTCGTCAGATCAGAGAAAGAATATTTGAGTGAATCTGCCAGTAAATGTGAAAACAATCTCTTAATTGGGAATACTCTGAAGGCATGCAGTGTCAACACTTGTATAATCAGTTCTTGTAACATGGACTAATGCCAAGTGCTGCTTTCAATTTTCACATCAGAACTACAGAATCTCATTTGGTGTGGTGTGCCATCTTGAATCACCATTTCATTTCAGCCATACTTTGTGACAAATCTGAGGTCATCTCTCCTGAAGCTAAACTGGGTTCACATTAGGGACAGAAGTGTTTCCTATAATTATATGGACATGTTTCATAAAGGATTTAATTTACAGAAACTGCCTATCAAATCCATTTAATAGTGGGACTAAATGATAGCTCTTTCGGAGAGATGTCACGGACACAATGGACTGAATTATATCCTTCTGTGCTGTAAAATTCTAACCTTTATTAAAATATTTTGGGTAATTAATGGTTTCAACATGTGAGGGTGGGGTTAACCTTAGCAGAGATGAACAAAAAAGAATAGAGATCAAGATGACATGACATACAAAACAGTAATAAGCACTATAGCAAACTAAATTAACAGTCAACTCCTGAGAGACGAGAGTACCATTGAAACATAGGACTTTGATGATGAGAATTGGGAGTTGTTTTGAATTGTTCCATCCCCTCCCTCATTCCCATGATTACCTTATCCCTTTCTTCTGTTTCACTATTCCCTTGCAATGCCGGCAAGGTGGGGGAGGGGGGAGAGATAATGACATTATGATCAGAAAAATGTCATCCTATATAGCATAGAAATTGCATAACAGATGGATGTCAATGGGTCCCTTGTATCTACGTTAGAGTAACACAAGCCTAACACGTTATTTTGAGATACACTGCTCTGCACATCCTGACTGTTCAATTCTGATTCTATTCCTATATCAAAACCTATATTAAAGCACAAGCAGCCATGTGGATATTCAATGAAAACAAAAACAGAAGTTGCTGGGAACACTCAGCAGGTCAGGCAGCATCTATGGAGAAAGGAAAGTGAGTTTCGGGTCTACGACCCTTTGTCAGAACTGGGGCATGTTGGGAGGGAGAGGCTTTTAAGGGCTAACAGAGAGGGGGAGGTAGAACAAGGAAGACAAAGGAAAAATGGGGTTAAGGCCAGGGGATAATGGGTTAAAGAGGTGCTAATGATGCAAAACAAAGGGGGGAATTGTAACAAAGCAGGGGAATAGAAGTGTTAACATTGCAGAACAAAGTGGGGGAAAGATTACAACAAAATAGGCAGACCAGAGAGAGAAAAGGTGTGTCTGGGACCAGGATGGTGTGGTTATGGTCACAGAGGAGGGGGAGGTGGAATGTGAGCTGTTATGGTCTGAAATTGTTGAAATCGATATTGAGGCCAGAGGGCTATAAGGTCCCTTGCAGATAAATGAGGTGCTGTTTCTTGAGTTTGTGCTGTAGCTCATTGGAACAGAGTAGGAGACCGTGGATGGAGAGGTTAGAGTACGTGTGGGAGGGAGAGTTGAAATGGTAAGAAACCGGAAGCTCAGGGACAGAATGGAGGTATTCGGCAAATCGGTCACCCAATCTGCGTTTGGTCTCCCCAATATAGAGGAGACCACATCGTGAGCAGTGAATGCAATAAAGTACATTGGTGGTAGTACATGTAAATTGCTGTCTCACTTGAAAACTGTGTTTGAGGCCCTGGACAGTGGTATGGGAGGAGGTGAAAGGGCAGGTATTGCTATGTTACAGGACTCCACTCCACTTGATCATTCAGAGGTAACAGGTTACATCTAGGGTTACATTTTCACAGATTCATAAAATGTTGACAATCTAATTAAAAACCTTCAGAAGGATATTGACCATATTGTTAAAATAAATGCCACCACCGGCAACAACAACTACTTGCATTTATATAGCGCCCCTCAGCAGAGCAGCATCCCAGAGTGCTGAAATCGAGGATTGAATGATATGAGCTCCACATACTGTCATCTGACATTGGTCAGACATTCAACCTCTGCTCTGATGTTGGAATTAATAATTTGACTGGTTTAAGAATAAGGTCGAGACCTTGAGAAACAAGGTCAGGATCGAACTCACTGGAAGCTATAGTGGAGAATCTTATCAGTCGGAAAAGTCAGGGTTACTCCATTATTTTGTATTTCTTAAAGACATGAAAGGATTTCAGTGATTGATGCACTTTAAGCCTCTGAAAGCCTTTATTCTGTAGCACCTTTCATGTTGGGAGCACATCTCCACAGAAGTGACTGGAAGATGAGTCTCACTATATAATAGTTCAGATATCAATTGTCTTGCAGTTTTGCAATTTTTTTTATTTCTTCAGTAAATTATTCATTGCCATGAATTAGAAATGGATTATTAAGCATCAGCACGTGGTGATGAAAGCCGGACTCCTTTAAGTGTCACCAATCGTATAATAGAGAAAAATCAATTAAAATTGAGTGTGTTTTACAGTATAAAATGCATTTTTAAGCCAATATTCTTATATTTTGTGTTTTGTTTGTTGATTATATATCAATTTTTTTCCCCTCCTTCCCCAGACTTGAACAGAACATTTCCTGACAATGAATATTTTCGAAAAAATGCTAATCCCTGCTTTCAGCGTGAACTTTTTAATGTTTTAGTAGCATACGGAAACCATAACAAAATAGTCGGTTATTGTCAGGTATGTTGTACTTTTTTTTAATAAAGAAAGGTTTATAATTCATGCTATAGTTAATGTAGCTGGCTCAGTTTGCTACACACTCAGCTCTGCATTATACAGTTGTAGGTTCAAGCTCATCGTCCAGACTGCTAATCCAGTGCAGAACTATAGGAGTGCTGCATTGTTTGAGGTGCAATGTTTTGGATGATGTAGATGTCAAGGTCTTGTCCCTCTTTTCAAAAGGATCTTAGAGATACCATTCTTTAGATAAATTGGTCTTTCATATTATGACTGTTTGGTACCTTGCTTGTGCAAATGATTGCCATGTTTTCCTTAAAAAAATCATCATTAGACTTGTCATTAATTACCTATAGTAATTGCCTTTGAAAGCTTTTCCTTCAATGGAAAGGTGTTCTATTTTTCTTTGTTCTACTTTGCTATTTTAATTTGGCGCAGTTAGTAGTAATCTCAGCTCTGGGTCAAAAACTGGGCTTTACAACATCAGGATTTAAGCTCATAATCCAGGTTGAGGAAGCACTATATTGTCAATTGTGTTATCCTTTAGATGAGATGTTAAATCTTGGCCCAATCTGCATGTTCTTCTTATTCGTGTATACAAGGGAACTTCTTAGAAGATAAATAGGGAATTATTAGAATAACAATCCTTGAATTTGGTGTAGCACCTTATTCTGTCGTTAAGATATCTCTAAGCGCTTCATAGATTATACTGTAAAGTGAATTGACTTTGTGGGCGAAATGCAGTAGCTAATTGCAGACAACAGTGTCCCTCAAACAGTCGTGGATTTAGTGACTAAATTATTTGTTTTGAAGGGATTATCCCGGAAAGCGATCTCCAATTGACTAACAACTGGGTTCCTACTTACTGCAAGGTAAGCAGAGGCATGTGGAGTAAGGAAATTTGCCTAAGGTTTCGTCCTGCCTCGGATTAACTTTGTTTGCTGACTATTATCTCCCCCTCATTCAAATTTATCATTAAAAAAAGTCATTCATTTTATTACTGTTTGTGGAACATGTTTGGTGTAGATTAGATGCTGTATTTGCTTTCAAAACTAGCGTTTTGCCCACAAAATATAGTCAATTCACTTTACAGTATATTCTGTGAAGTGCTTTGAAATGTCTCAAAGATGTGATAAGACTCTATTTTAATGCAAGGATTATTATAATCCTTGCATTAAAATAGCAAGGATTATTATATAAGATGTTAAACTTCTTGCGTCTCATTGTGTGAAGCACTTTGAAATGTTTTGATGCCTTTTTGAGGGTAAGAGTGACCTTTTTCTTTTAAGAATAAATTCTTTTTTTGGTGTCTACAGATAATGGGGGTCACCTGCTCCCAAACCTCTTTATTTAACATGGAAAAATGGTATACAAGAGCTGCTTGGCGAAGTGCTTTCACCCTCTTCCATGTAAGCACTTTGCCAAGCAGCTTTTGTCAATATGCCAATATGGTTGAATTCAGGAACTTCACATCAGCAAAATTACAGGCGAGAATAGACTTCCTTGCAATTTATGATGTAGTGAATTTCATTGGACTTTTAATGTATTTTGCAATCGTATATCAATTTCTACTGTTGACTAATTCATGACTTCTTAAAACATTTGTACATTTTTATTGGTATTGTGTCCAACCAAACATAACGTACCACCAATTTGTATTACAAATCTTCCTCCGTGCCCTCGTTCCCTCCTTGGTGTTTCTCTGTGGCATTCACAGGAGCTGCTCCCAACCAATTAGCAATGCCTCTGTTGAATCTGCAGTTGGAGGGTGCATTGGCAGCCTGGGTTGCCTTGCATGCTAACATTTCTCCCGTTAGATTTCACATAAGACAGTGAGGTGTAAAATGCAATCTTCTCAAAGTGGAATTGAATCGCTAATTGTGACTTCTGGTTTGTGAATGTCAGATTGCAAAGTTTCAAAAAGTGATAGTTTTTTGCTCTGTTTTGTTCCTCCATTCCTTCCCTCCTTTACTGTGTCTGACCTCAGCGCAGTATGTGTAACTGTTCAGTGTCACAATAACATCCTTTTCATGTACAGTAATTGTTTTTGTCAACCCGACATAGGTTCCAGTCGTAATTTGCATTATGCAATATCTGTTTTGACACACAATATAAGCATAATTTTTTTTGCTGTGTTGGTTCCTTATTTGGGCCTTGTTTTTCCACACTAGTTATGATACCGATAATCTGCATGAAACAGAAATGCAAGTTTGTAGGAATTTGACTGGGATCATTCAGAAGCTTCAGCTTTAGTTCAGTGCTCTTGTTAACCCTTTGAGTACTGGTTTTGTTCCTGCTTAAATGTGAGATGGAAAAATGGTGGCAACTAATATTTTGTGTCAGATTAAACGAGGGAACTCTTATCATAATAACTTGTGTTGTACCTTACCTGAAGTGCTTGTTTCTCTGGGTGCAGAAATATGAAAAAAACTAAATTTTTTGTTCAACTTTTAAGATCAATAATTTTCTCATTTCATTGCCTTTGTTTTTCAGGGCATGAATTTTATTGCAGGGTATTTGATTATAGTTACCAAGGATGAAGAAAAGGCGTTCTGGTTATTAGATGCCCTGGTTGGAAAAATAATACCTGGTATGTTGCCTGAAAGTTGTTATTCTCTGTATATAGAAACATAGAGACACTCCAGAAGGTTACATACTTATTACTCAAATGCATTGCCTTCATCGTTTTATGCCATGAGTCTAATAAGAGCTCTTTAAACAAAACTGTTACAATATGTACTGTTTTAAAAATCGCATTATTGAAGATTTATGCACTCTTGTTAACAGATTTCTGACTTTTTTCTAATGTTTTTACATCAAATCTTACTTCAGTACTAGAAAATTATTTTTTTCAATTGAAATGTTTAAATAAAATTTCTGAGCTTGTCAACAATGTCTAGATTTGCACTAAAAACTATTGCAGTTTCCCTTAATATTTTGTGTATTCCACTCACAAGTGAGCACATGGAATGAGAAACTACTATGTTTTGTTTTCTACATTCTGAAGAGATCTTCTCAACCAATTAATCTTAACTATTTATAATCTGCTTCCTAAACTTGTGTGGGGTTAGAGTGATCCTGTTTAGATTTCTGTAAAGAAGATAAGATGCGGGAAGTACCAGATGGATGAAAACAAAGTCTGCAAATAGCACAAAAGATTTAAATGAGGGTAATGGTGCTGTGGATCAGAGGCAGTAAATTACAATGGTGATAGCCACTCAGGGGAGATTACATACAAAATAAAGCACCAGATAGGCAATTGCAAAACTGCTTGAGGTCATTTGTAAAACACTGACCCATATACCTTTTTTCATAGCTAAATAATAATAGGTATCTAGCATTAGATAATATCCACTGGTCAGTGAGTTGCTAATATTCCAACCACATCATTTAGGAAAAATGTACTTGAATATTAAAGCCTTGTTGTGATCTCTTATACATCTTGTTAATGTAAATTTCCAGTTTGACTGTTTTAATGTTCCATTTGACTGTTCCACTCTCACAGAACACACCAATGACCTCCCAATACTTTGTATCCTTGGCGGTTTCACTTAATCTGTTCCTTAAATAAAATTAGAGATGCTGAAGGAGTGAGTTTGAGTCGAATAAAGTCAAACTATGTTCTCCACAGTTTGTGATATTAGAACCTCATGATTGAGATTTACAACCATTATCTTTTCAGCCTATATTTAATATAACTAAATATAAATTAGATGCATTGAACTGACGCAGAGTCTTAACTCTTAGGATTCTTGCAGGTCGACAGATTCCTCCTGCCTCTAGATGGGTTTTATTCATTGTCAGCTCATGCATCGATATTGAGAAAATATTATCATAATACATCCCAAACTTTAAGAGTAGTCTTATCACTGTGATATCAATGCCAGCCTGCTAAAACCAATGCAAAAATATAAAATGAGGGTTAAAAGCAAAACATTTTAAGATCTATTATCAGTTCTTGATGGGAAGCAAATTGTAAGCAGTTAGATTAAATCGCAGCAATTCTGAAGAGAAGCTCCATTCAGAATACTCAATACAAAGCACTGTTGTTTACGGTCTTCTGATTCCATCTGTTCACTTGCGTGAGAAGTGAGAATCAGCCTGACATCCTTTTTTTAAATCTAATTTCTTGCCTATTCTCCAATCCATTTTTTGTTTTTGACTTTTGTTTTATTAGGTATCAGCTTGGCTCAAATAGTAGTTCTCTTGCCTCTGGGGCAGAAGGTTGTGGAGGGACTTTGAGCTTACAGTCTATTTTTGACATTACTGGAGGAGGCTGCATTGTTGGAGTCCTGTCCTTAGCATGGGATGTTAACTGAGGTTCCCATATGTCTGTTTAGCTCATTGAAACTATGCTGATGCATACTGTTCTTATTCCAATTGCTAGCTCTTTCTATATTATGCCTTTTCAGATATCCATTCAATTCCCTTTAAATGTTGCATTCAGTTTCTTTAAAAAGTTAGTTAAAGAAACTGTAAATGGCTCCTACAAGACAAACCACATGAGAAATGTTTTAACATTTTTAAGGTAAAACTATGTGGGTGAATTACGATTATGAGCTCACAGTCTAGGTTGAACTCCAGTGTAGTGCTAGGGGAGCACTGATTTTCAGAGGTGTCATCCTCTGGATAAGATGTTAAAACCATGTGCTGTCTGCCGATTGAATCTCATGGCACAATGCAAAAAGAAAAGAGAGTTTCTTCCAAAGTCCTGGCCGACAATCTAGCAGGTAAATTAATCATTCATATCATGGCTGTTTGTAGGAAATTAGCTGCCACGTCTGCCTACAATACCCAGTCACTATACTTGACAGTAATTCCCTTTAAAGCGTTTTGAGTTGTTCGTGGCTCTTGAGCCTCCCCACATCAAATATTATTACTACTTTCTGCTGAATTGCACTAGAATGGTGCCTTATCAAATTATTGTGGCTCAAATTGCTTCACAGTGTAATAATTGTTTGTATGCAGCCACAGTAGCCATTTGCAATAGCACAGTCCAACAACAACAAATTGCATGTATATGGTGCCTTTCACCCCCGGTTAGGGTTCAAACCCTTCACTGTCCAGTGCCTTGGGATATCATCGTCACTGTCATCCCAAGCCGTCAGAACGTGAAGGGTTTGTACCCCAGCTGTGAGTGCAAGAAACAGCAATGAGGTGAATGCCTAATTAATCTCGACCATTGTTGGCCAGCATAATGCGAGAAATTCCCTTCTGTTTTTGAATAGTGTCATGGGATCTTTAACATTCCCCTGGAACATTACCTTTGATAATTCAGGAGTCCCCTGGTACTGTTAACCCAGCCCGCGAACTTGAATACACACACATTGGCGTTGCTTAAACGGTTAAAACCTTTAGTATTTTCCATAGAATACATTTTCTTTTGAACTCAGCCATTTAATTTACATTTAAAAACCTCAAGAATTCTGACACATGAATGGTGTACGTTCAGACTTTGGATGAATTTAGGGCCTCCTTTTTTTCCAGAGTTACTTGTTGCAAAATAAGTTAAACTGTTTTACTGTTCATATAAAATGCATGACTGAATTGCTCTGTGATGAGTTATGAATTTTGGATAAGGAGACTTTAGAACATGTAATATATTTCCCAGAAGTTCCAGTCCTGAAGGAGACTTTTCAAAAACAAATGCCAAGACAGCTAGTTTGCTGCAAAATGCTTGTAGCTTTTTTAGTTCCCGGATTCTGAGTTTGTCACCTCATGAACATTTAACAGGTTGGTTCATGTGGCAGCACATCACCTTTAAGTCTGTAGGAGGTAATGATCTTTCTAGCAATGTTTTCCTCCTTCCATAATTGATTAGTGGTCTTATTTTGATGCTGCTCTTTTGCTATTCTAGATGTGATGTGTTTCAAAGATGTCCCATAGTGATTTCTAGCACCCAAACAGATTGCAGATCAAACCTGAGACTTTTTAATACGCAGGGTTTCAAGTTTCATGCTGGTTGGTAGCTTTTCCAATTAACTTCTCAGGGAAGCCCTGGAGGATATATTTTCAAAGCAAAATAACTCACTTACCTCATCGCCTCCCCTTCCAGTGATGAAGCAAGTGAGCGAGACTGGCCTTCAGAAGAATAGGAGTTTATTTTAATACAAATTCAATTTTAAAACATGAAAAATGTTGCTTATAAAATACTTCTGAATTAATACGTGTTTAGGAATAGGATTGAAGGTTTGGGTATGGGAAAAGGGCAGGTAAATGGGACTGAATAGATTGCTCTTAAAAGAACCAGCACAGACAGAGATAGGCTAAATTGCCGCCTTCTATACTGTAAATTCCAATGATTCAATGGTTAACAACAACAACAACATGTAGTAATAATAAATGACTTGTAATAATGCAATTTGTTGTTATCATGACGTTTATTTAAAAAGGTAAATTTTGTCTTGCTTTCTTTCTTTTCTCCACTTGACCCAACAATTTGTAGCTCGCACAGTATCTGGTGCCCAAAATCTACAGTTTGCTTTTTGTACAACTTTGCAGTAATATGTGGGGAAGGGAAGAGCTGCAAAGGGACAACAGCGTTCGAGTGTTTAAATGTGATTTTTTTGTTTGTTTGTTTAGTCAGCTGTTTGGACACGTGCAGAAAACCATCACCATGTTCAAGAGTATCCACACAAAACTCTTGGGAGTCGTACTTATACGTAGAAATTTGTGTTTGTCAAGAACTGACACTAACAGGACACACCCTGCTACCTAATCCTGAGAAGTGCTAGGCGCAGGTTGGCAAGAGCCAAGGTTTGGGACTCCAGAGCATTCAAAGTTTCAAATCGTTTCTCTAGGAAGTTGAGGAAGCTGCAGCGGCCAGGGGTATGACAAAGATCTGCTGTTTTAGCATTAAATTACAAATTAAAAACACGTGGAGAGAAAATTCCAATGAATTAGTGATGGGTGAACAATAGTTTCTGTATGAAAAATACTGCTCCTCCCTGTGACAGCCAGATGTTTAAGCCTGAAGTAATTTTGCATATTCAGTCAATTTAAAAAACACAGTTCCGGATGTCTGGTGATATTTAGCCTGATAAATGCTTTTTAAAATTAGATCATTTAAAAAGTCCTTTATCTGTTAGAAATGCCTTTTTCCTCTTTTACAATTTTGAATGTTAAATGCAAGTTTATTGTTGATTTCCGAATCGTGTTCTATTTTGATTATGTTAGTTTAGGTTCTGGGTGCCCAGCTGTCTTCCTGTACCCCTTCCTCTGCAATGTACAAACAGTTTAAAGGGACGGTCCCTTTGTCTCTTTGTTGAAGACTGAAGAGTAGTTGAGCATTGCTGCTGCTACACTTGCAAAAGACTATGGTGCTGATCCTGAATGCACTGATTGGGTGGTACCATCAGATTGGAGTTCCTCACCCAAAATACTGTCTGGCCAATTCCTCCTCAGTTATGCAGAGGAAGGTTACCTCTGACGCAATCAATGTCTCCTCATGTGCTCCACTGTCTGTAAACATCCTTAGCTAATTGAATGAATATTGGAAAAACAAAATGCAAAATACTGCAGATGCTGGAAATTTGAAAACAAAAACAGAAGTCGCTGGGAACACTCAGCAGGTCAGGCAGCATCTATGGC